AGGTCGCTTTATTTTATTTTTATATGAAAAATGATTCATTTAAGTTGATATATGAATGTTTTCTATTCAAGTGGAAAAGATTCGATAGTAGTCGAGTTAGCTTTTTTCATGTAAACGTTGAGGCGGATAGCATAAGAAACTCAATGAAAGCTATTCAATAAAAAATATTGCAACAGAAGGAATTTTTTTTTGAAAATCCGATTTTGAGAAATGAATGCAGCATTTTTATGAAAGCGAGATTTGGTTCATGAATTTATTCAGCAAGAATCAAAGGTTGAAATTTGAAGTAAACGACTGAAACATAAATCCAATCCCATACATTAAATGCTTAGGATTATCTGAATTCAAAAGACTTTATTTCAATTTAAAATTGAAAAGTCAAAACATGACATTCTTTACTACAACATTCTTCTTTTTTACAGAAAAAAATGAAACTTTCTTTTCTGAATTAACCTGATTTCTTACAATAACAAAAACTCATGAGTAGAGAACAGAAGAATGCAAAGAACTGTTTGCACGTGAGGTTCTTATGAAGAATGAAAAAGCGGAATACAAATTTCACTTGCTTCTGTAACTACATACAAGGATCCCGTGAAAAGTAAATTGAAAATGAAAGAAAACTTTTAAAGCTCCTTTTATGTGCAAAGTTATGCTTTGTTCGGTTTCCTGGCAACTTATTTTTCCTGTTTCGCACGTCAAGGTGTGAACCAGCTAAAGAAGAAAGGAAAAAGGCATGCAACTGTATGAGTAAATTACTATTTCACCGGAATAATTTGAATCGTGACTGCAATGTTAACGCGCTTATCAAATCTCTCGAAAGTTGATTGCAAGAACAGGAAAAAGTTTTTGCTTCAATGAGCCTAAGACATTTATACTTTTGTGATCAATGTTTTATTGCTACTGATGTTGGTTTCCCATAAAAAGTTTTACTAACATAGAAATTGAGGAGAACAAAACAACAAACATAAACAGAAGAATTAACTGAACCTCACAAATAATATTTCAATTTCATGGTTTGTTGTAATCGTTAGTTATTGTGCGGCAGTATACACATAATCAGTAAAATATAATTTCAAGCATGATATGATTATAATTCATTGCCTGGAATACCTCATAAACTGCCTCCAAATTTCCTGCCTTATGAAGAGTCTTTTTGATTTCTTCTTCTTTTGCGGTTAATCAAAGTTAGCACGCACGACTTTCCACATACTTTTCAAAGCACTCACGCTTCGGAAGTCAAGGGGAGAGACAAGCATTAAAAATATGAGTGTAAACGTTATCATAAGCACATTTTCTGTTTATTTATTCATGTGGTAATTGAAAATAAATATTACGTAATACATAATATGCTCCCAAACATACATAAATATATATAAAGGCCCGTTCAATGTTGGCTTAAATCGTTTATTGCTAGCTACAGCGATTGAAATACGATGATGAAGCATGCATGAATTTGAGGAAGAATACATTTATTTATGAGGGTGAACATTCAATAATGCACACAATGATTCTCTTATCAATCGCCGGAAAATTTAAATCTCGATAGTAAATATTTAGCTCCACTTTTTTCGACGTCAAAAAAAATGTATAAATAAAAATTTAGACGAATAAAGCTCATGTTTTATCAACATTTTTATGTTCACAAATTATGGTGCGAAAAAATTGATGATGCGCGGATGTTGAGGAGCGTGAATGGAGCAGAGAAACATCATAATGATTTTTCACCGCTTTTAATGGTTAACAGAGCATGGGCAAGCGACAGTCAAGAGGAAAACGACGGGGAAATTATTCAAACTTTTTTTTTCGCTTTACGAAATAATAAAAACTGCTCTCGGATGACAAATTTACACAACGACCCATGCCCACCGTGACGAACATAGGAAAATTCTAGTAAAATTTCGTAATTAAATTGTGGCTTTTGTAGCATCACATATATTCTGGACTATGAAGCGATAATATGACAACGCTACATGACATGAAAGCATGAATGATTTGTATGGAAGTTGGACGACAAGCGATGTGATCAAAGATATCCCAAGAATGATTGATAGGAGATGGAAAAAGTTTAATCGTTGTAAAGGAGACAAAGGGACTGCGAACAAAGCAAGCGTCGTAAAGCGAAGTCATAAATGTGGAATGAGACTCTTTTCAACCTCTTGAAGAAAAATGAAGAATCGACATTAAATATTTTTAATGTTATTAATGTAATGTCTGATTACTTTCCGGCTATCATTGAAATCAACAAGCTTTTGAAAATCTCATCAATGTTTCTTACGTCAACTGTTTTTTTTTAACGTCATTAAAGCCAACTCCAATATTTACGGTTTTATTTTTAGCTTTTTTCACTAATAGTCAAGCAAGTTAGCCAACAGAGGTTGCCATTTCCTTCTCTCTTTCATTACAATTTGCCTTTTTCTCTCATTACAGGAAATCAAAATAAAGAAGAAAATTTATGTTCTGAACTTTTTTTCTCACTTCGTTTTCGTCATTTGGAAGTAATAATGTAAAATATCTCCAACCTTTACATTTCTTAATGACTGAAAAAAGCTGTTATAATTGATTATTATGTCGAAGATAATGTGCGAAAGTTGAGGGTTCCTGTGAGCCATCAAGATGGTCGGAAAAATCATTAAACCGTGAATGGCTTTTGTTCGTTCTCTGATTACTTCAACTTTATTGTAAAAAAAAGTGAGAGAAGTGTTGTCGTTAGGAAGCTTGAGGGTTTCCTGACACCATCGTGAATGTAATTGATATTTTTTTAAGGTTAGTCCCTGTTATTTTTACGTTCTTAAGATTACCGAGAACAACCATTAAAAGAGTGTTATCAAAAAGAAAATGCGCAGCTGTTAAAAAATTCTCAGTAAAGTCTTTAATTCATTCAATCAATAAAGATGTGATGAAAAATTAATTAAAGAAAAGTCTTACTGAACTTTGATAAACTAACTTCAAAACACAAGTTTTAAAAACTTTCGGAAAATAAGGTTAGTTGTAATTAATGTAGTTGAAGGAAGTTTGTAAATTTATATAAAATATCAAGTAAGATATTTTATAATCACTGTTTAATCAGTTTTCAATAATATTAATTTAGCTTATGTTCACAAGTTTAGGTTTCAATAATATTTGATTTCTTAAATCTTTCATTTGGATTCGTTTTAAATTGAGTAATTTCCGCTTTTTCAATGACATAATTAATGATACTTTGAAATTCAGAATATATCATGAACGAATATAAATATTTGCAGTATTTAATACTTTATGTGTTATAACATAATTCAATATCTGAGAGTTTATGGTGAAAATTAATTCTTCTTCTCATTTCAAGCTTTTATAAATTTCATATTTCATCAAAACTCATCAAATTTAATGTCAGTCACATTGTAAGCTTAAGTGCTCACCCATTCATCTTCATTCATTACATGAGAACTTTATTAAAAGCATGCACAAGTTATTGATATCAAGCTTATGTTTCTCAAACAGAAATCATTAATATTTTAAAGGAAAAGCTTGAACAGCTTGAGATATTTTTGCAGATATCAGAGAAAGTTGGTTGAATCAACAATATTGATTATCGAGAATATATTTTCTAAAAATAGTGCACAAACTTTTGTTTATATCAGTTGATATCTGTCGTTAATATTCCTGCTGCGGTAATAAAAGAAAAAAGTTTCTCATATATTATAAAAAAGACTTTGAGAGCTTTATAAAAGCCACAAGCCATTATTTAAACGAGTATCAAATTTTTTTAAGATGAGAAATGACAAAATAATTTTCTTCTGATAATTTAAATTTCATGTTACTTTTCACAAGAAAGTCCCCGAGTTGAAAATTCTTTTTCTTCGGTAATAAGAGAGAACACGCACCATTAAATCAAATATGCTTAGTGAGTGTATCAAAGTTAATGTGCATCATGTTAAGACGCCGAGTAGCGAGAACTGTAGAACATGGATTCAGCGTAAATAAGTAATGTAAGATATTGAGTAATAAAATGAATTTATTACGCTATGGAAAAACATGAAAATACGTTAGTGGCAAAGCAAGCGAATGAGAGAAATGTTATTATAACTTGGTAGAGAAAATGGAGTCTGTTTGTCTGTTTTTTTTTTCCTCCCTATATTCGCAGTTAATAATACATTCTACATGTTTTCTCAATCCAAATTTATGTTTATGTTTCTTCTGCTTGTCTTTCCAGTTTCGAGCTTTTCTTCTCGAATCGCTTTGTGGGGTTGTGGCGTCTTGTATTGACATGATATTATCTTGAGAAATGTTCAAAGCTTGTTTCTTAAGATATTTTTTCGTTTTTCTTGCGTCTACGCTGTAAAAGTTTTCCACAGCATAAAAGGAAAATTTACTTTGACATACGTAAATAAATTCAACTAATGATGTTAATTAGTAATCACATTTTTGCTAACCATGAATTTTCTTCATGACATTTCCGTTTTTACGACGACAGTGTTTCAATCATTCACTTACATTTATAGTTATACCCAATAATTTTCTATTCACCGTTAACTCCCTCATAACTCGTTGTTTTTATTGTATATCTTCCTATCTCACTCTCTCACTTATTCATACACACTTCCCATAGGCGATGAAAGCTATTAAATCAAATTAATAGATTCAATGTAACGCAATACATATTGGATGTTCCATTTGATTGATTCGACCTAATTTCACCATATGTTAACACTCATCATTGTCAAGAGTTACTCTGCTTCTTACATCTTAAGCATCATTTTACTTCACCGGTTTATTGTTACGTCCTTTGCTGTCAATTTTTGATTTATTCATTGAAATAATATTCTTTTCTATCGAATCAAATATCTTTCAGTCTTCTGAGGCCAAATACATCACAGGTTTACTTAACGCATACATACTCATGAGAAGAAGGAAAGGGGAAAACATTCCACATGTTTTATTCAGAAAGCTTTATCAGAAAATAAGTATTTTGATGGTACGTGATCATAAAATCAAAAACAACCATTAAGGTTTGATTGTAAATATTAAGCACGTGGAAAGTTGAGTGTGTAATCAGGTGTGTTATTTTCTTGCTCCATACATGTAAGCAAGTAGCAATTTTCCGGACCTTTTATATAAATATTGAACAATATGTACCGTCTTGTTATCATGGTTGTTTAACACCAGTAAAAGTTTGATTCACAAAACTTTCTCTTCTTTTTACCGATTTCATTCCAAAAAGCTCGTTTTTGCACGTGAGATTTACTGTTTGTACGCAACGATTTCAGCAAGCTAGCACTAGCATAAGGTGAGAATACGAGCATAAGTAGTCATTGAAAACTGATGTGTCGGATGTATAAACATTATTTAAACATGAAGCTTTGCTTTTCACAAATTCCGGCACAGAGAAACTTTTTAAAAATACATGAAACATTAAAGTAGTTTTTAATAAATAATTTAAATCTTAATTCTCCTTAAGATGATTCTTAATTTCATACATCTAATGTTTTCAGCAGAGAAGTAAGCTTCTTTCCATTTAATATTTCCTTGACTTGAAATTAATCTTTCCTCAGTACAGCATAAGTACATTGAGATAAATTAATGGGAAACAAGACATTCTCAAGTTTTATTCAACCGGTGAGTGTTCTTTGTTGAATTTTTCGAATAAATGCTTGATGCTTACTTATGCCATTGTCTGAAGAGAATCCCATGAATTTTTAACGTCAAGTCATCATCATGATGCATTAATTATTCTCTTTCATATGTCGAATGTTCTTTTCGTGTCATGTCGTATTTATGCGTATTTTTCTACATGAAAAACAAGCATTAAGTTTTCATATCATGTCTCATAATGAACTGTCTTAGCATATAATGTCATCTCGACAAATAGCTCCTTCGCAACGATTTATATCGTCGTTTCTTTCACTTCTCTCTGATGAAAATTGAATTTTAATTACTTTCGAAAATGTGTGTTGTTATGTCACGATTATGTGCTCAACTACAATTGAGTTCCTTTCAAAACGAGAACGTTTCCTTATGCTGCACACCATTTCTAAACATCCAACTATATATGTAGGTGGGATTGACATAGAAACGAGGAATATTGTTAAATGGCCGTCATACACGAGCACTCAAGAATTTTTTCCCCTTTTGTTTATATCACAAATATCATCCAATTGCTATGACTGAATTCCTTTCGTGATATTTCTGGAAAAAAAGGTCTTCGTTTTAATTCGCATTCCACACATTTTTACCATTTTTCGTTGCTAGGAATGACAAAGAATTTCTTCTGTTCTATTATTGATTACCATTTACTTCATGGAAATAATAAACGATTTTCGAAATATTGAATTTAATGCAATCATATGAGAAACTTTATTTCAAAGTTGACATTTTCTTTTATCTTCTTAAATTCTTTAAAAAAGCTACGTTACAGCCAAATCAAGACTTTGATAGCAATCATGACGGTTGTCGCCCGTTCCTAAGTTTTTCTTTCTTGTTTGTTGATGGCGATAAAAACTCACTTTGTAGATATCTTAATGACACTTCACAATTGATGTTTTTAAAAGAAATGAGACAAGCAATGAAAAACAGAGAATAAGGAGAAAGAAAAAATGACAATCTTGAAGATAATTTTTGTCACAAACAAAACAACATGGAATGAGAGCCAAATGCGAAAAACGTTTTCTCGTTCTTCTGTTCCGATGGACGAAATGATGAGAAAAGGAAAGACGAGCAAAAGAAACAATGATGAGGATGAAAAATCGACAAAGCTATAAAGGAACAGGAACTTACAAGAACCGGAAAACAAACCGGATGATTTCAATTCAATGAGAGATGATTTCTTGATGTTCTGAGTCTCTTGATTTTCCATCAACTACCGTTGATCGGCATAAAATATCGTAATTGCCTTTCAATATCCTTTTTCAAGAGTGAAATTTAATGAGGCAAGTCAACCGAGATGTGTTTCTTTGCTTTTATTTCTCATTCCACTCTTCTCCGGTCTCTCAATGACTGGTCTTGGCGAAAGGGTTCACAATCCTTTAGCCTTTAAAATGCTTTTCTTGTCGGGACAATTAAGATCTCCTTTTCCTTCCGAAAGCGACGTTAAGACGAAATTATGATTTTATAAAGCGTGTAACTTTTTTATGTAAATTTTACATTTTCCAAGCGCGCACTGACTTGGGCGTTGTTTAATTAGGTCCTTGCTTTTTCTGCAACATTAACGGTCGATGTAAATGGAACATATTTTAATTTGATATTTTTTCTCTCGTCCTTAAACATTTATTCTTCATTATACAACACTCAAACTACAAAGCTAACATTGCGAAATGAAATACCTCGAAGAATACGAAGAAGAAAATCAATTTATTTCTGTTGATTAAACTTCCTATTTCAAGATTTTGTGGCAAATCAAAGAGACGAATTAAGGAAACGGTTATTTATTATTCCGTTTCCTGAATACGACCTTGGAGAGACGAAGAACTTGAACTGAAGAAACAATCACTGAAGCGGTTGAAAATTATTAATCACATTTACAGTAAAGTTGAGATTTGCTTCGCATAATTTCACGCTATCAATTCCTAAGGGACTTGAGCGTTTTTTCTTTTGCGTTTTTTGCTTTTATATCGAACAACACGAAGCGAGCTTGAATGCCAACGACAAATTCCTCAACGCTACACGATTAATGCAAATGGAATTATTGCGTTCAGAACCCATTCGAAAATTTCAATGTTCGCTTTTTGGTCGGAGTCGTGACAAAACAATGTCATGGAATATCATGGGATATCATGAATGTTATTAGAATTTAAATTGATCTTTTAAATCAATTTTTTATGAGCAATTTGAAGCGTTGAAATGCGTTAAAGGAAAGTCTCGTTTAATTCATATTCTGATTGTTTCATTCTCACCCACCAGCAGCGTTATAAATTTGATTTATTTATTTATTGGAAAACATTGAAAGGTTGAAATCAAATCAACTATAACAATCATATCAAAATGTAAATGTGATGTTTATGTAACATTATTAATTAATCATGTAAGAATCTGATATGTGGGTATAAGATTTCAGGATTTAAATTGATTAAATCAAAGAAAACATGTGACGAGACCTTAAAAAAATCCAAAAAGGAAATGAATTTGAAATTTAATTTAAAATTTACAATTTGCGAATTCAAATCAAATCGTCTGTTGCTATGTTGTCTTGAAATTCAACTAGATTTTTAGATATAAATGCAACATCTGTTAAAAGAAGAAGATGCGGAAGTGCTTCGATTGCTTCCTTTCCGATTGAAAGCAAATTAAAATTGGATTTTCAAATGCTTTTTTCTTCTCTTGTTTTGTTGTGCACATGAATTTAATTTCGCATCATTATGCTATGCCCGTTATGCTTACTTTATTAATCGAAAACGAAAAGCTTCTCGGAGCTATACGAGAGCTTATTAAATATAATAAAAGTTGGCATTAGAAGAACGTACATGTTTGATTTATTTTCCGCTTAGATAAAAATCTTGGAGAGTGTGTTCATACGTTTAATTACAATAGTTAGTGTTCGAATAGGAGAAAAATTCTTTGTAAAAATTGAACATACTGCAAAGCATATAAATCACATAATTTAAAATTTTAATTTGAAATTGAATAAATTCAAATATGTATGCAAAGAGTTTGTGATTTCTCTACTCTTCAGCATTATGTTCAGTGAAGCATGGAGATGGCCTGAAAATCTCACAATTTATGTAGAGATTTTATAGAAACAGATTCTTCTAATTCTCTGCTATAAGTTCACCCGTCACTGCCTCGATCTGATTTTAAACTTTATATGTTCAACGATGTTCTCTTGTATGTTGAAGGAAACGACGTATATCATAATAGAAGGTTGAAATTTATGCGAACGGTGTTTATAAACGACTATTTAATCATTGTATCATGTGCTGTGTTTTCATGACATAAAGACGAAGCTTTCAACGGAATAACAATTTTATCTCCCAGTTAATTCTCAAAACTTTTTTAAAGCTTCATAATGTTTTCAAAAGCTTAACTCTGGAAGTAGAATAAAAGTATGATAATCATAAAATATAAAAATAAAAAATAAACTTTGGAAATGAAAAAAAGAACAAGGCACATTAATACACATTATTTATTTTTTTTCATGCGCTTTTAAACCTCGCATAAGCTTAAAATGACATAATTTTGTTATTGAATAATTAAATTTCCCGTCTGTGTATCAGAAATTTCTCCGTTTTCGCGCACGCTATAATCGTCAACGACAAGTTGATGAAATTTTCATGTAGTGACTTTAAAACAAGAGTCAAAGTTAATAAACAATTTTTTACGTCACCTTGACATAATATTTACAGCAGCAGATAAAATTGAATCTATAAACAAAACATAAATGCAATTTAAGTTCCACGAAAGGCTTCAAGCCTTGAATGTGGAAAAATTTGTCATTTCCTATAATTTTGTTTCCCCAAAAAATTAACAGAATTAAATTTAAATGACATGAAACATAAACAAATTAATGTTTAATATATGCCCTTAAGTTATGCAAGAATTTATATGAATAAAAGCCTACGAAATTCTCTTTCTTCCATTTTCTAAGTTTTCCTTCACTGAATTGATAAAATTTGTATAGAAAAATTCGGAATTTTCGCATGAATTCCTTAGAATATCAACCGTAAACTTGGAATTTCGGGATTGTTTGAAATATCGCCATAGCCTTAGTCACAAGGATGAAATTTCTAAAGGTATTTTATCTCGAACCAACAGTGTGATCTACAAGCCCTTGAGTTAATAATTCATTCATTTATTCCAGAATTATTCTTTTCTTTCGAATATTAACGCAACCTACACTCAGCTCCAGGTTCTTTTAAGATTCTTACCTATTGTGCCAGAAATAATCTGCTTTTTTCTTTTCTTTTCTTCGAATACCTTTAAGTTTTCTATTCCATTTTCCATCTTACTTTGTCTTCTCAAGATACTTCGAAGAACACTTTTGTAAAGAGAAGAACAACGTTAGAAAATGTATAAGTCTGCAGATAACAGATATTTATTATTTACGAGAAAAACCTTATTTGCGATCTTCAGCGATTTTTATTTGTGCATCGATATTTGAAGCAAAAGCTTGTCTGTTAAAAATTACATCCACAATGAATAAAACTTCTAAGAAGAAAATATTGGATCATAAAAGCAAAAATTTTCTTCATTCTTTTGCATCTATTGCAATCGTCAGTCTGAAAAAAGAAAACTTCGTAGAAAATTTTCTTTTCTATTTTATTTATTTATGACGATTGCATATGTTGAAATTGTTTTCCATATCTCATACAGTGAGTGTACTTTATTGAAGCTGTCCGTAAGAGTCAGAAAAATATTTCTCAAGAAGCTTAAAGAATTATGCAAGATTCTATTTTCTTTCAACTCGATATGAGAAGGATGAGAGTTTGATATAAGATTAAGGGAATTTCCCAGACATTTATTTATGAAAACAGTTTTTTACAAGGTTACTAAATATTTCATCTCTCACTCCCTTTTGATACAAAGTTATTTTATTGTTCATACATCTAATACTTTGATGCCTTAGAAAAATATTTATCAGAATCACGATCGCATTAAATTCTCATTCTCCTTCAACATCAAAGACAGTTCAAGATTCTTGACCGAGAAAGTTAAAAAATATTTTTATTTACATAAGAAAGCACTTCAAAAGAGAAAAAAGTGAGGAAAGGAAAAACAAGCTTATGCAGACATGACCTTATAAATTGTTAAGAATTTTCTTAGTGAGTAAGCGACTCGATTGGAAAGTAGTGAAGGAAAAGACTATAAACTTTCCATTCAATATTCGAATATAAATTTATTTGCACACCTCATTCACCTTGCGTGACTACATTAAAGTTTCATGTCTTGATTTTTTATTTAAATAATGCATTGAGTTTGAACTATTGTTGAAAATTTTGAGAAAAAACATTGATTTTGAGTCCGACACGAAGAAAAATACGATAAAAAAATAACAACCCATTTTCCATAAGCAAAACAACTCAAATAAAATGAAAATTTTAGCTCAGGGGAAAATTTCTTTTCATCTCTGTGAAATGATGATGTTTTACTATGTTTTTTCCCTTTCCAACTGGAAAGTTTGTGCGCAGTTGAAAACGTTTAACAAGGAAATGCGTTTATCGCGCAGAAATGGAAAATTTGACGATTGTTATAATTCTCCCAAGTCATGAGTTCAATCAGTTTACTAGTGACACTCACAGCAGTTGAAACGGTTTGTGTGAATTTTGTTAACGTTGTGGGATTTGTGAAAAGAAAAGGAAGAAAAGAAAGAAATTTAAGCGAATTTTGATTTGAGGAAATTTAATCCAATGCCATAAAGGATTTTAGCATGAAATTCGAGGAGTTTTATCCCATGCTTAAAATGAAATTACATAGCAGTAGATAAAGTCTAAAGCTTTATGGTTTGAAATTAAAAGTTCGATTTTTTGAAGCTTCCAAAGGATGATCTGAAAGCGTTGATAAAAAAACGACTTCAGGGAGAAGGAAAATCGATTAATACATTTCAAAGCGAGCCTCTCGAGAAGAGGCAGAATAAAAAATTGTGTGTGGGGTAAAATGACTCAAATTTACATGCGAAAAACCGGAGGAAAAAATTATCGATTTGTCAAAATTGCAAGAGAAATGTGCTTCTCACCTAAGTTCCACTTCGTAGCTCACATTATCAAAAATGTTCCGTAAAACCCGCACAAATTATAATCAAATCAAAAGTGAGCAGAGTGTAATTTATTCAAGTTATTTTTTTTCTTTTTCTTTAGTTCGTTTCGCTTTTTTTCATCGCCGCAATTTTCGAGGAGAAAAAATATAAATAAAATAATTTGTGTGAATAAAAAAAGAAGGAAAAAGAAAAAACGAGGAAAACGTTAGGAAGTATGAAAAAATTTGATTGATGAGCCGGGAATGAAAGCATCGGAATTCGTAATACTATTTGTACACTGTCGTGAGATGAAAATGAGATGTGCAAAAAGGATATAAAATGTCAAGTGCTATTAAATGATTTTTTTCCTTCCTTTTCACTCCCCCGCATTATGAAATGAATCTTATTTAAATGATACGCTCTTTTGTGCTTTTATGCGCTTGCAATTACATTTCCACTTGATTAAAAATTAATGTTTGTGAAGTGAAAATGGTGTAACGTATATGGAGATAAATGTTTTTTTCCCCTTTAGGTGAATTCCTTGTATTTAAAAGAATATCTAAGGAGAAAATATATCCTTGAAAAACTGAGAAAACATGGTTAGATAACTCGATACAGTGAAAAAAAAGGTTCATTAAAATAAAACAAACTGGAGCTTTTAAAATTCGTTTTGAAGTCAGTGAAGCAGTCAGTGTGTCAATGAAAGAATAAAAAAAATATAAAAGAGTAAAATAAGATATTTAAAATTAAAGTGTACTCGATTTCGTTTTTTTGATGAGTATTAAAATCAGTTATTGTTATTGATGTACTCAGATAACAACAACGATAATCTCTCAAACAAAGCACGTCTCATTGTTTAAACAGCAATAACAGCAGAACGGATACAATGAGTAAATATGATTTATAGGTAAACATTTCCTTCTGATATTAAAATCCTTTGTTTAATGTAATTTCAATCCAAATATTTTCTCGTGAAAAGTAAATGTTAATTTTAAGTATACAATGAGCTCAAAAAAAAGAAAATATTTGACATTTTCACTTGAGGATAAAAAAATTTCCTGTCAATTTAATCAAGTAGACACATAAACAACACGAATATCTCTTCATTTTTTTTGGGAACATATTTGCATAATACAATGAGCTATAAAAGAAAATGTTATTTATAGATCTGAACATAAATTGTGTCATTTCGAACAAGAAAGTACAATGTCAAAATATTATTATAACCTTCGACATATATATTTATAAGTAATTTGATGGAAAGATCAATCTAACCATTCAACATTGAGAATAAATTACTTTTTCATAAATATTTTGTTTTGGGAGGAACGTTAAGTTGCTTGCTTGTTATATCAACGAAAGTTTTTCAACTTGAGTTTGTGTGGATAAATATTGAATCAATGAAACCCTTTTCAAATAGCGTCCGAATGAAATTTTAATCAAATTAGTGCGTCAATAAAATTTTCATAGTCGACGATAACAGTTTCAAATAGAGCTAATGTATTCATATTTGTTGAGTGAATTGGAATTTAATGGGACCGGTTGAAGCATATTTACACAAATTAATATGCAATAACTATTTTATTACAGAATTTATCCTTATTCATAAGAACTTTTTGGGTTTAATTTTTTCTCATCATGCAACAATGTGATGAAGAAATTTCATAAATTATTAAGGAGATATTTGTGAGCTCAAGCTTATCCCTACAAACAAAACATTCAATTTACAATAATGTTGATGGTCTTTCGTTGTACAATAAATGAACATTAAAAATTTATTCAAAAATTTCATCCCAAAAATTGTTAGAACACAAAACTATGACATCAGATACATAGTCAAGGGCAAGTTCTCTATGTAAATGATGAAACTAAACGAGTAGCAATTTGAGCATGGAAAACTTTTTATTGACAGAACGAACCAACATAAATTGCTATGCATCTACTCAATTAACAATGCAGACATGGGTTTTGAAATAAATAAGCAACAAATCATAGCTTTTTACGATGCTTTTTTGCTAGAAGCTGTATCATCACGAGTTTCTGCCATTTGACATCAACACAGAAAAGAAAGTTGAAGTTAAAATATATCCAATGCAGATACGAAACAGATTAAATGTAGAAGAACATAAGTTGTGACTGTGGCATGTTCAACTGCAAATTTAAATTCATTTTAACGTTGAATTTAATTTATTCTTTTTGTCACGATACCCTAAAGTAACACGTGTCATCAAGAAAATTATTTTTCGTTTCATTTAATGAGTTTCCTTTTTTTACTTTTCGTGAAGAAATTTCTTTTGTTTATTTTTAAAATTTTACGATGGTAATTGCTTAACAAGGTTTTTATTCAAATGTACTTAATTTAATAAGAGACTTATTTGTTTCAAATTTCTTTTTTGTTAGTTGTTTTCATTTATTTATAAGGTTTCATGGCACGTTCACATCATTATTGATATTGTATGCTTTATTTCTTTCACTAAATAATTTGTTGAGGTTTATTGTGTTATGTTTAATGAGCAACATGTGTAAATCTTGTATAATCAGGTCAATAATAAGAGAATTACCTAATACAAATTACGCCTTCAACATGAACGATTTTTCACTACTCTAGATATTCTCCTCATACCACGATAATCTCTTTTAATTTTAGATTTCATCGAGATTAATCCATAAGAGAGTAATTAATGTTTACTCACTTAGCAACGTAACTCAATACTTTAAAACTTTTATGATATTTTAAAAGCTTTAATTTTAAATGAAAAGGTAAAAAGGAAATTCGGATGAAATTTGAACATCATTGATTTTCTTATTATGGAAAAGTGTTGATGATAAGAAAAACTTTCAAGATGGAATAAAAGTTCAACATCAAAACTAATTAAAATCCTTGAATTTGCTTATGCTACAATAACTTTAAATTGCAACCTTGCTGCTTTACAGACATTCTTCTTCAACACTCTTTATTTGTCTATCTATCTATCCAACAAGGAAAATTTCATTATAGCATCTACATGCTACATCATGTCGAAAGCTATAAAATTGTTGCACACTTTTCAAATGACACACTTCAGAGATAATCAAATAAAAAGCTCGATAACTAAAATGCTTGTGGTTTAATATCTCACATGTACAACATTCAGATGAAAACAATCTCATGCTCTATAAATTTAAATTGACACTACGTTTGCTGAGCTCATTTCAAATTAATCTTACGACGACAAGATGTTTCCTAGTTATCACGATTTCATTTTAAATTGCTCCTTCTCAGAACTCATGAGAGAAAAATTATCTGTCGTAACATAACACTTTGAGGAAAATGAACAATGAAGTTTCTCGTTATGTTGTGTTTATGATTGTGTTGCAGTTGGCATTTTCAGTCTGAAATGTTGGCTTCCTTTAATTTTCCTCCTTAAGAACAACATCCGACGAGAAGGAAGCATTCTCATGAGATTTTATTTCTCAAGTTGTGTTTATTTTTAGAAAACCTACCAACATCTTTCTCTGTTCCTGCTCTTATAATGTGCCTAAAAGTTTCACATTGTCTTCTTCTTCTTCATCCAATGTCATAAGGTCGAACCTAATCTCAAGATTGTTTAATTTACTTACAGAATTGTTTATTCAGATAATTGAAGTAAAAGTTTCGGAAACGGAACGATAACCAAGGTTACAAATGAGTGAACAGTAAAATTTTCTTTGTTATTTCTTTGCTTATGACGTCAAATGAGTTGAAAGGCCAAAGAACTGACGTTTCATGCCCTTTAATATTTAAAAAAATTCATTCAAATGTTTTCTTTTCTTCTTATATCAATCTCATGATTCTGAGTTCATGATCCTTTCTTCATCGTTAAAAGTTGCTCAAAGATAAAGATTAAGACATTTTTTCGTTGATGAACACCAAGGTCACATGATGTAATTACTTTCTCTTTTTTGTTTCATGGATTCAACAACTTAATTAGCACAAAAGAACGTTCAAAAACAGAAAAACGAAATTTTTATGCGACGAAGGGAACATTCAAGAGAATCATTCATCTGAGTCTTCTCCTTCGTGTACAGAAAAAGTTATGTTGTTTCCATATTTTTTTTACCTTGCCGGTCTTTATACTTGTTCGTAAAAATTTGAATAAGAAGCTTCAAACCTCCCTGGTATTTACATTTTTTTTTTCTTTCTTCCTTCGTATTTCCTTTGCCGCACTCACAACATAACGAAGTCACCTGAGGCTGTATATGTTTTTAACTTTTTTTTCCTTCCTTCCTTCATGTTGTTCTTTCATTATACTCGCATTTTCCATGAAATTTAATCGCAGGAACGTTTTTCGTTATTAAATTATTTTCTCGTTTTCGGTTACGTGTTCTTGAAACTCGCTTGAGTTTATCTGGATCTGGATACATTTTTGATAAGCTTTTCTTCTTTTTCTTTTCATTGATATTCACACATATACACAAACACCACACAAACATATTCCTATGTACTCTTCCGCTGATTCCATTTACTGATTTGAATTCAATAGCTTTTATCCAAGTTCGATCGTGGATATGAAGATTGAATACAAAGTATTATGCTTATTAGATTTATGAGTACACAATATTTCTCCATTACATGCAAGAAATAGAAGCAATTACACTTGATTCTCATGCTAAAGGAATCTGAACCAACTCTCACTGAGTAAGTTATACTTGTAGATTTTCTTGTTGTCATTGTTTTCCGTGACATTTCAAATTACAAAATCCATTGTGTGTTTGTTCATGAATAAAATAACTTTGTAGAGCTTTCAGGACACAAACGAATTCATGTTGCTTTGAAGCATACATTGCTCATGGCTGCTCGTAGGTTGGTTCGTTCAAAAATTTTGTTTTATTTTGATGACTAAACTTGAAAAAAATTTAAGGTCGAGGTTCATGAAGCAACATTACTTAAGTGGAATTCTAAATATTATTCACAACATTTAGACTGAAACACAGAATAAATTACGTGTCAATCTAAACCTAGACTTTGCTTGCTTCCTACATAACAAGGACAATAATCCCATTATTCTTTCGGTTTAACACAGGCAAAAGCATAACGCAAGTTCCAGACAGATTTATTGCATAACATACATAGATTATGTTATAAGTATTAAAACATGTGGAAGAAGTGAAACGGATTTATCGATTTTCCCCCTGTTTGTGTGGGTGTGAAATAATTTATGTTTTCATAGTTGATTAAACTTGTGCATAAGTACAAGACTAGACGTAAACTCAATAAAGTTTAAACCTCAACAGCGGAAGCATAAAATTCTTATGTACAAGAAGTTCCTAAATGTGCAAATGACTTAAATTTTCATAGCTGTTGTTTCTTTTATTAAGTGTTTGTATAAGATCAAGTCACAACCTAAATTAACATATAAATTAACTTCTCTTAATAGGATTCTTTCCACTTAATTTCAAAGGTTTTGTCAAAACAAACACGTGTGGAAGGTTGATACTGTTCGAAATGAGTTTCTTTTTTGAAATGTTGTTTGATGTTACATCTTACATTTGAAGCCTTAATTATCAATCTAAAATGAAACCTAAACAAATTTAGGTGAATTTTTCAGTCATTTTGAATTTCTGTTCCTTATACGGAAGCAAAGAAAAAACCTTTTCAAGAAAGGCAATCGGCCATGAAGCGTAAAGCATTTCATCTTTCTGATTCACTGCAGTGATTGAATCACCGATTTATATGAAACGAAAAAGAGAAATTTTATTTTAAGAATCAAATTGATTTATCTAAAATGGAAAATATTTTTCATCGAAACTTGAATAGAAAAAGTTTTTGAGTTCATGTTTTCGATCCACTCACAGTTTAAGACTTACCTGAACGTGCACTTAAAACGAAACGACCGCACCGTCATTCAGAAAGTAACTTAATATTTCTCAACTCATGCTTTAGCATAAGTGCACGACAGGGGAGAAGAAATCAAAAATGAATTTCGTTAGCATAATATTTTCTTTAAGTGGATCTTGAAACATGAGCTTCCTTTTAGTTTTCATATTTCTTGCTGATACTTCAACATGTTGGATTAGGAATTGAGAGTGCCGTTCAGTAAGTTCAACGATTTATTTTGTCACGAAAAAATGAAGCGCGAGAATGAAATTTTCATGTTGAAACTTTGACTCAAATTTCTTAAAGCTTTTAAAAATTGTTATAGAGAAGCAGAGCTAGGAATTTGTGTATTTGAGAATGCTGAAAAGGTTGGAAATGTTTTCGAGTAAATCCGAGCTTTTATACAAAGTAAAAAAAAGAAACCTTAAATATAGCTTCAAGGAAGTGTGTAACTAAGTGCTACAAAATAACGTCACGCTTTTAAATAAACTTCTCGGAAGTAAGATACAAAAAAATTGAATCAGAAACCATTTGAAATAAAAGAAAAAAAAGTTGAACGGGAGTTTCGTGAAATATCTATTTTTGGAAAGGAAAGCTGAGAACTTCAATTTGAGATTTCTTTTTTACACTTCGAAAATGGGGCTTCTAGATTTGATGTTAGAAATGAAAGGGTTTTGTAACTGAATATTTTCTCTGTTTTCCCAGAAGGAACGTCTTTCTGAACATTTTGCGGAAACCTTTCGTTGTATCACATGTCATATACTTATGCTTAGACTCGATAAGAATTATTACGACATTTATGCTGTGAAAAATAATGAGGGCGAGAGGGTGGAAAACCCTTTTTCGTGCCCAATTCGTATTTAGAAATGTGTTGGAGAAGCCTAAAATTTGAATACATGAATCAGATAAATAGAGGAATATGTGAGCAAAGTATTACAAATCCTTTTTCCGTCTTGTTTACCGTGTCGTGTTTAGATAAATAGTAGCAACCCTTTATATTAAATTAAATTATTTGTCATGTTCTTGCACCCTTTCCTACAATAACGCTAGATTAGAAGATTAAAAATGATTTATGATAACTTTTGCAGACAATTCCACCTGATTGGCATCATGAGATTGCTGGTGAAAAATGGCTGACATTTAAATCTGTTGTTTCTCAATTAGACTTTCTTTGTTTGTTTATTAAGCTTGAAGTATTACTGACGATATTTTCTCAAAATTTTCTTAATCTTTCGTCTTTAATTACTTTCTGCCTTTCGTTATTTATCTATCGAATTTTAAATATTAAAAATTTAAATATGGAGCAATAAGCAAGAAATGTTTTCAAGAACCGAGTTTTTGGATTTGCACGCAAACGAAATTAAAAATAAATTCTTATTTTGCGTGATGGTTTTTTGAAACCAACAAGGAAAATTATTTTACGATAGTTCGTTCCTTTTTATTTTGTGCGCCTATCGGAAAATTTTATTTATGTGTGTTGCTTTATTCAACGATTTAACTCAAGCTTCTGTTCTAATTACAACTCTTTATTGTTGTGGGTAATCATCTAATTCTTTTCAATATGAAATCACTTATTTTGCTCAGTTAAGAGCGCTACAACACGAATATTAATCGATCGAGTGTTGGTGGCATAACGCAAATCGTGATTTTTCACCTTTTTTACATTTTCATTTAATAAAGAAAAAGTCACTTTGGGGGATGGATCAAATGTTACAAACGAATTTATTATTTTCAAACAAACGATTCTGATCAAAACTTTGTTTTCCAAGGCCGCTTTCCAATTCGATCAGAGATATCAGACGCCTTTTGGAAAGTTTTTGACATAACACAGTATTTCAGTGTAATGGGAAAAAATGAAAAACAAGAAGAAAAAGAGGAAAATACAAAATAAATTTTCCATGGAAAAATAAAAGGGGAAATGAAAATAAAATTGTTGAAGGTTCTATAAGCGTTTTCTTTTAAATTGCCTTCTATTCAGATATATGTATAAAGTTTTATATATTTTTCGCTTTCCTTTTTTCTTCTTTTCATTCAAACTCAAGAAAAAAAACCTCTTTCGGCAATCAAAAACATTTCCATAAATTATCGTAATCCGTACAGATTCGTGAATTTCCATTGTCGTCTTGAAGGCGGAAATTGTCAAGTGATTTCAGCTATTGTCTGCCTGTCTATTGATTAGAACTTTTCATGAACTCTATAGAAACATTAACTCCCACGCAATGGGATTTTTATTGCTTCTAATCCAAGAAAAAGAAAAAAGTTTCTGGGTCAAATATTCAGTTTTTTTTATTGAAGAGATTTTCTTATTCTCCTTGCGGTGCTTTTATAACTCGTCGCCTCAGCGCTTCCCAACTCTTGACAATTTTATAACTCTTCTGTGAATAAAGTTTTTGCTTCTTTTCATTCCCCAGCATGAAATAAAAGAATAAAGAATCGAGCTGAAAGGAAATAAATAATTATAATTATATTTTTTCCTTCCAACAGTTTTCGTTTCTTTCTTTTACATTTCATTTCCGAATTGACTGTTCTTCAAGTCTATTAGGTACCTTAGAAAGGCTATGCTTATAATATTGATTTTGTTTTTCCTTTCTTATTCTTATTCTTATCCCAAACCTTAGGGATACATACACGACAGTTGAAAATATACAACATTATATCTATGTATAAGAATTTAAAATGTAAAAAATAGGAAAGAAAAGGATCACAAATTGCCTCGAGAAGTCTTCTAGCTTTTTCCGAACCGCTTCGAAATTTGGGTTGATCTAAGAAAATTGTTGATGTAAATTTTAGTATAATAACATTCTTGGTTCTATAGGTTTTCCCTTCACTTCATTTGCTTTCATATTCTACTAACAACAGAAGAAGAAGAAGAAAAAAAAATGTAAATCGTGACATGAAGGAAAAAAGAAATCACGATAAGATTATAAAGCAATTAAAAGTTGACTTCGAGGCATACAAAATTAGGGGAAAAGAAGAAATAATCGTAAACATTATAATATATTGAAGTTTATATTTCTTATAATTGAGACGAAGTTCTTTTTGTTATCTTTCCTCGTTTACTAACGGAAGACACTCATCCTTTATTCATTCTCTGTGTTTATATTTCCAGATCGATGTGCAGAACTTCATCAGCAGCTTAAGGATTTATGAGAGAAACAATAACGCTTAAAGACAAAGTTTTGTATGTGAAACAAAAACGTAATTCGACATTCGCCCGCCCACCCCATAATGTGTAAAATAAGTGGTAGTTTCAACATCCGCAACTATCGTATCATAATGTTCTTCGAGAATATCTTAATTTTAAGAGGATCATTTTACGGCACAACTTAGGCTAATTAAACGTAAATTGCTTTGACGAAGATGCCTTTAGAGTAAGGAAGAGAAGAAAGCGAGCAAAAGAAACTTGCCAGAATAAATTCCTCAGAATTTAGTGAACTTGTTATTGTTGCTGCTAAATTGTTGTTTCACTTGGAGGCAAATCAGAGGTTGTAAATAACATTTTATGTGCCGAAGTTAGAAGGGGAAGATTATTCTTGTCGTGTGTTCTTTTCCGTTCTGTTCGCCTGCGTCTCGTATGTGAAGGAAACGCAAATAAAATAAAACAAAATTGAGTCCATAAAATCCGCAACGTTCATCATTCACTTCCGAAAAATAACTAACAACGAAGAATTCTTCGCTCAAGTGTCAGTGACTCACACCTGGAACGACAACCATGCAATATAATCCGTAATTGTATCTCTACGGAAAATGAAAAACAAGTAGAACGAGTCATGATGAAAAGCTAAAACAGTGTGACAAAGTGGTTCGTAAAGTTAATGGTAGATTGGGAATGAAAAGACATAAAAGTGAAATAAGAGAAAAATATATTTACGAAAAGATATCGAAATCGTTCAAATACGAATAAGAAAACGATTTTAATAGAAGAAGAAGACGAAATATGGCAAACTCAAATACTTTTATCCTTCTTATCCTATGGATGATAATAATAATGATTGGTACATCAAATACAGGTAAGTTAAAACCTTAGAAATATATTTTCCTGTTCAAGCAATTCACATACACACACAAGAACGACGCTTGATGATAATCGTCGAGAAGATTTCAATTCAATGACACCGGATGAGTGAGTGTCTTGATGCTTTTGTAAACAGATCCTGATATCAGTGAAAATTTATCGCATTTTCTATCGTTTTCCTTCTCCCACTCCACCGTGGAAATTCTTGAAATAAAATGATATAAAATGTCGAATTTCTTTAAGAACGTTCTGTTGGGTTGAAGAATATACAAAAGTTATATTGAGAAGATGAGTTTTATGAGATTTTCATCGTGTGAAACGCAATGTTAACATTATATTCTGGCATTTTATTGTTTTTCCCTTTATGGTGACAATAAAAACTCAAAACACCTTAGTAATCACATCAACATTATGAATATGTAGACAAATGGAGGTAATAGATGGGAACTTCATTACTTTAAGTGGCTTTGGTCGCAAGCGCTAATCTAAAAATAATTGCAAGATTACGAAACATCAGCTACACTTAATTTTGAACGCGTGTTTGGTTTCAATTTTCTCGACACTCGACTTAAGCGGTTGAAAAGAAAATTTCTTTTATTCCATTTTTCACGAAAACTGTTTTGTAAACAGAGAAACAATCAACTCAGCATTCGACACGACTTTGAAATCTGCTACGTTTCAAATTTACTCAACATTTTCCATTAGAACACCGCATGTCATGAATGCGTTTCACTGTTTTTGACTTTTTTTTTGCTTTTTATATTTTCATACAAATTATGGATGAACGAAAATTTTGTGGAAATGGAAAAAGAGAGAAAGAAAACCAGACTAACATACATCAATTCATTCACTCTTTTTTTCTTCTTAAGGGCCTTTTCTCATTTGAATGAATATTTATATACGCAACAACAGTCATTTGTACTCCAACATCATGCACACATTTTAATTAAATAACATTTACATCAATTAATATGCTTATGGCAGAAAAATGTTAATTTTGACACAGAGCTACATACATGATGATGCTTTTTATGATGAGTTTCGTTTCGAATTAACCTTCGTGTCTTTTCAAGAACGTGTCTCAGGCAGTTACTGAACTACTCAGCATAATCATTTTGAGAAGAAGCATGAATATTTTCTTTTGCGTCATGAATAAAATATTACAGGAAAATTATGTTTAGCCCAAAAAAAAACAAGAAAAAGAAAAACATGTATGATGATGAAGATTATCGATTACTAAAAGGAAAGTGAATTTACTTCGATTTGTTGCCTTCCTGTTCTTCCTTTTCATATTTCTTCATCATCATCTACACCGGCAACACCAAAAAGAAAAAGTATTCACACACGCAGATGTCATTTTCAGTTCTTCGATGTCAGAAATCAGGAAATTGGATTTTATCGGCAGAACATTGAAATGGCTTTCAAAAGTGTCTACTTTTTTTTTCGTGAAACGTAAGATATATTTAAAGGTACCGAATCTAAGGTTGAAGTCGATGACTATAAGTCTTTCCTGGCAATTTCAATCCAAACGACAAAAGTAAACTCATGTTGTGTTTATGTAAGGTACACCCTTTTCCGCTCTTTTCCTCCCTTGAACATTCTTTCAAACGAGAAATGATGGAAAAAGCGACAGCAAAAAGTTGATAAACAGCTAAAGAAAATATCTTTTACATTATCAACGTTCTAACTTAGATGGAATGTCATCTACAACGTTCTGTAATTTAATAGAAGTCCTGGAATGAAAAAAAACCAGCAAGAATTAATCAATGAAAATTTGCTTGCTTTTTATCACAAAATAATTTTGTCGGATTAATTTCAGCTCTATATAATTGACATCATATCATCAATCTAGATTTCTGTTATGCCTGATAATCCATTTTGTGTTCAGCTGCAGAAATCCATGCGATGTACATAATTCTTTATGAAGCCTACGTGTAAATTCAAAATAAATATTCAATGACAAGAAATTCACTGGCATTGCATGCCATTGTTTTGAGTAGTAAATGGGATTTTTATGTATAATACTCATTCGTGTATTGTTGAAGAGTGGTGTGGAGTATGTAAGAAGCTTTTTATATTCAAAAGCTTACTATAGCTATGGAATACTTTCGAGGTGACGGAAGGCTTAAAAATTATGGTGGGAACGCTTACACTTTAGCACTGCACTTAAATTGAAAGCAAGCACTGTTATTGACTTGTTTCGTTTCCTTCTAGCGTGTTAAATTTGATATTTAAAATAATTACACTGATAAATTTATATTTATAGTACTGATAGCGACCAACTTTGTAGCGTGATTTGAAAAACGCAACAGAAAAAAAATTTAATTGAATTTTGCTACTTAACCACGTGGTTGCCAAATAAATAAATGTTGAAAAATTTAATGTCGTGAATCATATCATAGCAATCGAAACAGAATGTCGCCAATTCTCGTGAGAACTGTCAGAAAAAAGAAATTGTCAGAAAGAAGCCACTTAAGTGGTCGAAATATTACGAATGAAAACTCAAGGGTGCCAAGAGAATTAAACTTGAGCTTTTTCCTCTCTTATTTATGGCATCGTCGTTAAACTTAATGGTTAAGAACCTTCTCATAAAAAGATTAAATATTTTCATTTCGCTCACTCGCGCTGAGAGAAAATGGAAATTTATTTCGGTTAAAATACTTTCAACAAACAATAACAACAATAAATTACCGTCACAGCGGATGAGGCATCTTTATTTGATAATAGGAAAATTTTCCATGAGGTTTTATTAGCCTTTAATGAATTTTCTTAATGTTTTTTCGCTTTCATCGTTGAAGCATTTGCAGATGCTCGATGGTTTATTGCTTTAACTTTTCGTGTTCATCATATAAAAGTTTTGAGGAAAAAAAGGGAAAAAACATGAAAGCGTCGGTTTAACTCACACGCTCGCTTTCCTTAACAATAAAGTATAAAAATTTTCTGTTTTGTTGGATATTCAACCACGTGAACCATGCGGTTAAGTTATAGCCATTTTTATGTTTTACAAACAAACCGAGAAATCGCCAAACAATGGCTTGGATTTTCTTTTCATTGTCAAACATATGGAGGGGAAAATTTTTCCTAGCACTCATATTTCAGTTATTTTTGTGGTTTTTCCTTCGCCCACACTTACTCGTCTCATATTTTTCTCTCTTCTTTTATCCTTACAACAATCCATTTCTACAACGATCTCAATTGTTTACTTTTACGTATGCTTTTGTTGAGTATGTAGTAAAATGAATAGAGAATAGAAATAAGAATAAAATAAAAGCAAGAAATCCTGAATCCCTTGAATAGTCATTTGTAAATAAACCACAAGATGAATGATAATACAAAAAAATTGGAAAATAATGACAGTGGGAGAGAGAGTTGGAAGCATTAACTGGCAACCCTCTTACAATACACTACATCACGTTTTTAGGGAAGGAGCAGGGAAAGGCATGAAGATATAACAAGAGGAAACTAATGTGTCTTCATTCAAGACTTCAGCCCTTGCCAATTTCCTTTCCATCTTTTGTTCAGAGGGTGACAATTACATCGAGTGTATTTGAAAGCAGTCTAAATGCGCACCCAAATTTTATTTGTATTCATAATTGCTGTCTTTTTATGACAAAATGCCAACCATTTATTTATAAAGTTGTAAAAATTAGAGATTGCTTTTTCCTAGTCTGGAGATTAAATGGTGGGTGCCAAACAAATTGGAAATGCCGATGTTGGTATGGAGACGATTTTTATGAGTTTGTTAAAAAAATTCAGAGTTTCTTTTTTTATCAATAATAAGAAATTTTGAAATTTCCAACGGAACTCGCCATCCAAAAATGTATGACAAGAAATTACCTTCATTAATCTTAAATGAATCTGAGATTTATAACAACTTTTTATTAAATCTTTAAACCAAATAACACATATTTATCGAAATTGGTTATTAAGGCAATGTAAAGAGAATTTAAATCTGCAAACAGTAGAGATTTCTTTCCTCCACCAACAATTTCAAACACGCTAGAAATATTTAATTAAAAAAATTAATTGCGTAATATTTTTCATTTTAAAATGTTTTAAATATTTTGTCTGTTTTTCCTGTGAAGTTGAAAAGGAAATGAAGTGGCCATTACCACATGTTTGTTCATTTTTAGGTCAAATATTTGAACTCTCTCTAAATGTGCCTCAGACAGTGTTCGTATGTAAGTGGAAGAAAGATAAAAAAAGTTTTATCATAAAGGACTTCGCTAATTCCCAGTACCATTCTGCTCAAATTTTATTTGTGGAAATTTTCATCACTTTTTCGGCAGCCAAAGCAGACTTTGGCAATCATACAATAAAAATAAAAATAATGCTGAAAGCATAAAAAAGAAATTCTGCTTCGTGATTTCCTTCACGTCCGTACCCGAGACATTTTCAACAACAACAACAATCATCAACCGCCAACCTCCTCCTACGTCTGTAGAATGAAAACTCTTCATCCAATTTAATTAATAATATATTGTGTGCATTGAATCTGAAATCCGATGTCCAGTAATTCAACATACTTGTGTGTATATGTGTAGTTGATATGAGGAACACGAAAGATGGTTCAATTGAATTTCTTTCTCATCCTATCATAATTTTATCATTCACAGTGCAAGGCTCACATCGAGATTTAAGCAGACAAAACAAGGACTTAGCCATGCTGACACAATATTCTAGTAATAATTTAAATAATCCGAGCAGTTTATCGGGCAGTAAAAGTTACGGTTCAGCTTCTGATGTGGATGTTAATCGGAGTGGTCCATACTTTGACGTTGCTGCTAGCAAGAACGTACGTATGACAAAAGCATAAAAACATGTTTTTAACTTTAACAATTGACATGTAAATCCCTCTCTTTTTCATGATTTTAACGCGATGGAAAATCATTGAATGTTAGCACAATACTCTAAAGTGGCTTTAAAAATAAATATTTTTATACCATCGGGATTTCCTTTGTGTTTTTGCTTTAAATTTACTAAAGAATATCCAATAATTTCAAATATAAGCAATAAAAGTTATGAAAAGAAGAGAAAATTTTCAATTCTGTTATCATATCAAAAAAGATCTTTTTATAACATTAAAAGAGTTGATATGATGTCAACTATTATCCTATTAAAAGTCTGCTGCATCTAGAGATGCTTCATTCGATGTTCCCATTTTTATTCTTGACTTTAATTTACAATTTTGAAATGGTTTTTGGAACAAAGAACATATAACATTAATATTTTACTACAGGTCACAGCTCTGCTAGGGAAAACTGCTTATTTGAATTGTAGAGTAAAAAATTTAGGTAATAAAACGGTAAGTATCTGAAAGCAAGCTGAAAGGACATTTCTCCTATGTATATAAAAGCACAAAAATTTTCCTGCTACCTTTTACTACGTCTTCAGTTTTTACTTTGGCCATTTTTCAATAATTTATGCTCATGCATAATTCATTGTTCCTTCATAAAAGATAGAAGGAAAAAACAAATGGCGAGTAAGCTTTCCACACTCTTAAGTATTCCTACGCACCATCATGAAAACTGTATAAATTTGGGATAGTGAAAGGTTACATCACAATGGTCGAGAAAATCGAATAACTATTTTCTGTGGTCATTTTAGTAGCAATCAACCTCCCGCCTTGTTCCTAAATATTGCTTTTCGAATTTGTGGCAAGTTCGTTTCTCCATGTCAATTTCAGATCCGACATATTCATGAGAATGACTAATTAATTTTCATTGAAAATTCATTGATTAGCACAACTGGTTAAGGCAATCGTGACAATTTTTGCAGAAACTTCCAAACTTTTATTTTGAGAAAATCAACTTAACTGGCAAGGTTGGGTTCCTTAGATTTCCAGGGAGGAATAAGATCGTGTTTAATATTGAATATTTTTACAGCTTTCTATCTGATTGAAGATTGTTTCTTCCGTTTATGATTTTATTTTTTCTTTTCCTTTCCTTTCTTCGGGTATATTTGCTCACTCAACTTGAAAAATAATTCATGAGGCTTCTCGTTATGCCATTTTTCCTCTACTTATATCTCTGAATTGAGCACAGGCATTAATTTGAGATTAAATTTATTCATCTGTATCTCGCTATGTTGTCATAAGACCCCAAAAATATTTCCAATTAACTGAAATTTGTATGAAAATGGTTTTTTGGTAGTGTGCTAAATTTTATCTAAATATGACCCAGATAAGAATAATTGAAAGCATTTATTTGTTTCTATTTTGAAAATGGGGATTTAATTTATCAAAAATAAGTTTGCTTTATACTAAAAATGCGGGGGTGGAGAAACTTCGTCTCATTTGCTTCTAGATTTTGCTCATTAAGCCGCATTTGCAATTTATCTCGCAATGTTTTTTTTTCTTCATTTATGCTAAACTGAAGCCAACATAATCACAGATCTATGTTGGTCATTAAGTGATAGTCCGACCAATGGAAAATTTCATTATCGTAGCGAGGAAAATTTTTGCGTTTTCTTCTTCTTCTTCTCTTTGTTGGATTTAGTTACATATAAAAATTAATTGAATTTCCCTTATATTGCGAAACACTCGTAGATGCTGCTTCAAGTGTCATGGGTTAGGCATAGAGATATTCATTTACTGACTGTGGGAAGATATACGTAAGTAGATAAATACATAAATAGAAATGGAGATAATTTTCTAAATTTCATTACATTAATTTAATTTTCTTATTCGCGGAAATATCTGCGCTTAGGTATACATCTGACCAAAGATTTAAAGCCATTCACCACCCACATTCAGAAGATTGGATGTTGCAAATAAAATATCCACAACATCGAGATTCAGGAATTTATGAGTGTCAAATATCGACGACGCCGCACATGAGCCATTTCATCTATTTGAGTGTTATTGGTGAGTTGATTTTCTCGAATATGTATCATCTATATTTGTTTATTTTATCCTACAAAAGATTCATTGTTGTGGTCGGTCGGCTCTTATTTTTTTTTTTTATTTTTCGTTGTCGTTCAGTTCCTATAAAAGAAGCCATGGGAAGCTTAACATACTTTTTTAATGACACAAAAAAAAGGCGACAGCAGAAATATTTTCGTGTCATAAAATGATGTCATGTCAAACTCAGTCATTCTCCTCGTAACCTTCGCCATTCATTTTCCCATTTTTTATCCCTGTTGTTGTGATCTTACTCATCGTTCATCGAAAGGAAAAAAATGTTTATTTATGTTAAAAATCATAAAAAAATATGTTGATCTCGGTGTTTAAATTTATGACGATGACATTAAAGCGTCCTTTCAACTTCTTTCTTCGGCATCACCATCTCTGTTCATTTCTTTCATGTATCAGTCCTCGAGAACTTGATGGAAGGTTACGCTTACTTACTTATTATGTGACCAGACCTTTTTCCACTATACGAATAAAGAGAAAATAGAAAAAGCTTCCTTTGCGGGAAGTTTTTCTTTCTCTTTGTATTTTTTAGCTTTTGTCAATGACTTTTTATCATTTTGAACAATATGAAAAATAAGAAAGATGAGAAATGGAAAAATCAAAGGTTTGCACAATTTCAAAAGCCTAAAAAGTAAAAAAGATTGGACAATTCCTTTTAATGACAGCTTCGCATTCGATTACAATCACCGCTAGAAATTCTTTTTCTATGCAATTCACAGTTCCTGAATACTAAACTGGAACGGTAACAAATACGTTTGTACATTTTCTGCTGAATAATATAATGTGTGCTGAGAATATATATGAAACTGTTTGACATCAACTAACAAACAATATTCCGCTCAACAATAACAAACAACATGTTTTTTGCCCTTCCTCTTTCAATAAAGCTTGCTTTCTTGAACATTGAGAGAAGAAATTAGAAAATAGACGTTCGGCTTGAGTTATATGTGTGCGGCAAAAATCACCACCGGAACAATAAATAAAAAATAAATTTGATTTCTGATTCATTGCTGATTTTTATCGAAAAGCAGATCGTAGCGAAAAGTAAAGTTGAAAAAAGGAATTTATGCTGTCACGGGCTTCGATTTTCTTGCTGCCTAACTTCGTTCGAAGCGTGGTCAAAACATTTAACTGACATTCATTTGTATTCTAGTCTCTCACTATTCTGTTTATTGTCGTAGATAAAGCTCAACTTTATTTTTTTTTGTGTTCGTTGTTCATCTTCAACACAAGTTACTTGCAAGGCAATAACAAGACAAGAGGCATAAGATGGAAAGAGGGAAATATTTTCCCGAATATCCTTATCAAGTTGAACGGATGTCGAGGAAATATAATAAAAATTGATTTGAAAACTTTCGTTTTTGTTCGTCATGGCTTTTTTGCTCTGCCTTTTATTTACGGAGGGAGCAAACAAGGAGAGTCAAGCTGGGGTGAATTGGATAATAATAAACAAAGATTTCTCTAGTCAGACCGACATTGCCTGGAGTTCAATTCTTCATATAAATACACAACAATCAACGAATAAGCATAAAACTGTTTCACTTTATCGCCTATTGATTCTGCATTAAAACTGTAATTTATTGATCAAAACATTCAAATTGCCTACAAATAAAAATGAAATGAAAATAAAATGTATAAAAGCTTTTCGTTTATTGTAGACAGAATTAAAATCTCCATTTACCACTCGAGAGAGAAAAAAAGCGGTTAATTGCTTGTGTTTGTAAAAACAAGCTTTCCGACAATAATTCATGTCTGATTCAACACGCCGCGAATTTTTCTGTTTCGATATGTTTCTGTTATAATAATTTTTTTGTTTCTCCTCTCGTCTTTGCTTGCTTTAATAACATTTTTCAGAGCCTTCAACGGAAATAATTGGAGCACCGGATTTGTACATCGAAAGCGGTTCCACAATAAATCTTACTTGTGTCGTTCATAATTCTCCTGAGCCACCTGCATTCATATTTTGGAATCATAACAATGCTGTGAGTACTTTTTTCTCTAAAAACAAAAAAAAAGCTTTTTTTCCTAAAGATTTCCCAAATGTGAGTGAAAATTTAGAAAGAGAACAAAAGGCACATCAAAGATCGCTGGTAACAGCGGTTGAACATGCATCATGGCATATCTTACCATCATTTTACATTTCATTTCTTTTATGAGCCATTGAAAGCAGCTGTTGAAAATGGATTTCTATCCATCTCTCGTTTTACTGTAAAGTTGAATTTTTATGACCTTCATGTCCATTGCATTCGGACGAATGAATGAAAGCTAAAAAAAGGAAAGAATGAAAAAATATATAGAAAAGTTTTTGATGGACAAAAAGAATAAATTAAAAAGGAAAGATATGCCATGTGGTTTTAATATCTAACGTTCCTTGATGGAAAGAAGAATTAAATATCCTCATCTCTCTTTATCTCAAAAATATAATAAAATTGCATGATCCTCAATATGCTTTTTTTTAAAGATATGAAAGCTATGTAAACCATGTTCAACACCAAAATAAGCAAGTGAAATAAATTGTTCCTTAAATTGCTTTTTTCTTTTCTCACACCTTTCTTTTAAAAACCATTTTTGTGGTCGCAAAATTACTTTATAGATCATAAGCTACGACTCTGCTCGAGGTGGAATTTCTGTTATAACAGAAAAAGGTGAAACATCAACATCATTTTTGCTCATCCAAAATGCAAGACCATCTGATTCAGGACAGTATCAGGTGAATATAAAGTGCTTTAAATCTATGTTTGTGTCTGTTGTGAAAAGTTATAGAAGCGTGGAAATCAGTGAAAATAATATTTTTTCCCATTTTCTCTTCTCTTTCATATCTAAAGTGCAATCCTTCAAATGCAAAGAGCCGAAGTGTAACGGTGCATGTTCTTAATGGTAAATACTTTTATGATTCTGTAGTCGACGTTACATCGTATGCAAAAATTATTATGCCAGAACAGTTTGAAATAAAATTAAACAGGTGCTTCACATTCTGTTTCCAGGGGAGTTCCCAGCAGCAATGCAGCGAGGGGGGCCATCGCATCATCAAACGTCGCAGCAACACTCTCTCTTCATCTGTATATCAGTATTATGTTCCATGTTTTCCTTTATCAAAATATTCACAAGCGTCTAATACAAATCGGAGGTGATTTGTGCACATCAATAAACAACGTTTTATTGCATACGCACATTAATTTCTATTGGAAATCGACGAGATATTTTCTCATATGGAAACGAACGACGATAATGGAAGAGAGAAGTAAAAGCAGTCAGATTTTTAGATATAATATGTTTACCTACAATAATAATAATTATGGGAATACAAAATGTATTGAAATGTCCCCTTTGAATATAAAGAACAGAAAGACTCACAGCATTCATAATACTTTCAAAACAAATTATGATATTAGGTGAGAAATGTAATATAAATGTATATGTTTAGTGAAAGAAAAACAATGTTTTGCTTTTCTCTTTCTTGACTGTTGATAAATGAAAATAATTCTAATGAAAAGTAATGTTTTATGATTTGTTTTGAATGAAATGAAAGACAAACAGAACAAAAAGGAAGTTTTGTGTTTGCTTACGTTTTCTTCGGTAGCGATAATGATGGAATATTAAACAGATAATGAATGAAGAATATTAAGCGATAACTACAACGAGTGCTCGTTAATTAGCAGAAGAATGAAATCCATTAATTGATTAACTAAGAGTGTCGGCTCTCATTATTCTAAACGCCTTTTGTTTCACTTATTAGTTCCATCTGACATTAACAAACATTTACTTATTGATGAAATATAATTATCACTATGAAAAGAACGTGTTTCCTTTTGTTTTTGTAAATTATTTTAATAGCTATGATTTTCATGATTGATCGTCAAGAGAAAGTTATATTTATGTTGGATATTTATTTTGTCATCATTTTATGATGAAAATAAATATTTGAGGAACGAACTTTAGCAAAATATAAGTTCTGTTAATTTCATTGAAATATGACGATGCTTCCAAAATTTTCATCATCATGTTAATCCCATGCAACATAAGTAAAATCACGCTATTAAACGATAACCATAAACAATACAAATTTTTTAAGGCCTAAGAGAAATTCGAAGAAAAAATGTAAACTTTCTTATCTCTTTCTTTTCTGAGTTAACTGAATGACGAATAAATAATAAAAATCAAATAAAAGCAAGTATGAGGTAGAATATTTTTCACGAAATTATTGTAACATCCAACGCCCGCACATTTCTTCAGAATGTGAATAGGAAAAATGTGCGAGAAGACTGAGTGAAATAATTTCCCGCAAAGAAAGGAACAGCAATTTGCTTGAAGCGACTTATAAAGTTAATCAAAAGTTTTGTTTAATTTTTTCTCATCCTCCATCTTCAAGTTTTTTCCAACGAGAAAAAAAAGATGAGCGAGGGTTGAAGTCACAAAATTTCATTTCAAAAAATATACTTTTCTCCGACATTTACAACAACTCGCGGAATTATCACACGCGACAGATAACATTCCTTAGACTTAACGAATGTGAACGAGCACAGAAGTAAAAAGGGAAAATGTTTTTTTTTAATATGAAAAATAAGGAAAGAAAATATTCTATTAAAAGTATTCAAAATGTAAATGTATAATGAGAGAAAATTATGTAAATTAAAGAGAAAAGATGAAGAGTAATATAACATGAAACTGCGTAAAAATACTTTTTGAAAATAAAAATTATTTAAAGAAAGGGAAATAAAGGAGAAAAATTTATCCATTTGAAGTGTTATGCGTTTTATTCGAAAGAAATTTTAAATTTTCAGAGGATTTCTCGTGCTATTATGTTCAAGATGAGCTTCCTAAAATAAAGATCCCATTTGTGAAGTTTTTCATTTCAGCTTCGACGAGTCATGCTTACTTCTTGCGTTTTGTGCTTGATGAACTCATCCAAGCTGTCTTAGTTCTCTTCTTTAAAAAAACCAAATACAAAAGGAAAACTCTCATTTCTATTAACGTTTTTGTCGAATCTTTTCATTAAAGCAAAAGAATATTCAAAAGGTAAATTTGTTTACATCACGTTCTATAGCAGAACTTTTCATATAACGAAAATAGGTCATTTTTATACCAGAAAAAAGATTAAATATTGTATATTATGTTACATAGTTTTTTATAAGATGTGCATAACGAAAAAAGAGTTGCATTCATTTGAAAACCAACATTATACGAGATGAATTCACTTTTCCTTCCGTGCAAAAAAGATATGAACATTTTCATATCGCTTCTATCAACTGCTCAACGTTATTCATTCATTTTTTATGGAAAAGTAATTCATGTTTCCTGTAATTTTTTTCCCCAACATTTATCCGGTAACAGCGTGACATTTGATGTAAATTTTTCCTGCAGGTTACATTCACATCCCCTTTGAATGAAAATTCCCCACTGACAAACACAGCAAGTGCTAAATTATTAATGCATTTTACAAACAGAGCTGGATAATGGTTAAAAATCGTTTCTAGATAATGGATTTAAAGTTATATCGTCGATTCAAAGTCAAACATATAAATGGGGATGAAATTTTATATGTAAAATTCATTTTAAATCATGAATTCAAGCTCTGCTTTCAAGTAACATATTTATGAAGCGTGCGTTGTTATTACCTACATGGTGAAACGTTGAAAAATGTTATAATTTTCACTCATTCTTTAAATGAAATGTTATTCATTTCCTAGCTTATCTATTAACAGTCGTACAGATTATAAAAATAAAACTTGACGTTTAAAAATGTAGGCGTAGTATTTGATTCAGCGCTTTTCAACAGAAATTTTTTAATTGCTTTCTTCAAGGAAATAAAGCAACAGATTATAAATTATTAGAGTTTCTTAAATATCAAAGCAAACTTGAATATATGTAATTATTGATTTATTTGGAACTAATTAAAATTAAAATAAATAACAATTCTCTCGTAGAATATTTTTTATGTGTAACAAAAATTTATTTGACGTCTTTATGGCAGCAGTTTTGTCGATTTCTTTCCATCAAGAAACTAAAAGAAAAGCTCAATAAATTGAAAGAAAAAAAGCATCAATATTCGTTATAGCAAACTTTTTAGCACTTTTGTTCATGTAAGATTACTATGCCAACGATCAAGAAGCATAAATGACATCGTGGAGCTTAAAACTAAGGTCCAGAACGCTTTTTTATTATGATGAGAAAATTCCGGGTTCAGTATTATGATTGTAGGTCGAGCAGTTTCCGCTTCAATGTACTAGAACAGAGTCTGTTCTTAGCATTTTCCTCGACGTTTAAAAGTTTCAAGCATAAAAGAAGTCATATAATGAAAAGGGTTTGACGAATTTTCCGTCCAGTAAGATGGAAAAATGGGAAGGAGGGTTGAGGAAAGTTTCTTTTTGAAACGCAAATATCCAGTCTACCCTTGTTTTCATCTAAAAGTTGTAAATTACAGCTACTTCAAAAAGGAAAAGAAAAATTGAGAATGAAAATGGAAAAGGAAAGAAAAAAAAATAGAAATTCGATTTGCCAAACGCCTTCACTTTGATCACAATAAAGGATATTTTCTTCTTTCCTCCGCACATAATCGATTCGAGAGAAAAACATTATACAACTGAGTGAAAAAGAGTTTACAATTGCCAGACATCAGGAGATGATATCGAGTTCCATAAAGTTTGATTTTGATTGAGGTGATAAAAAGTAATTTTAGGATTTTCGTAGAAGGGAAAGAAGGAAAAGAAGCAAAAGATTGAGTCTGAAATAGGCATTTATTTTCCTTCTTGGGAGGGTATTTTCTCTTATTTTCCATCCTCAATTTTCTAGAAATAAATTAGAGCTTCCGCAGTAATTTAGTCGAATATATGATGAGAAAGTTTCAAAAAAATAAAAAAAATCATCCGGATGTTGGGATCGAAATTCATGCGGTGAAAATAAAATTTTCTGTAATAAAGTCTCCCTTTAATGTTTTACTGCGACAGAGAAAAATCACTGATAAGCAATAGAGGGAATAACAAACAAACAAACTCTAAAGGTTTGTAAAAGACATTTCTTTGAAGCAATAAAGTGTAAATCGAATGGCAATAAATATCGAAATAGAAACGTCGTCTCTGCGATAAATGTTGAGAAACAAAACAGCAAAACGATCAAAATAAAGCAAATGAAAGAAGGAAAAAAAACTTGTTTGAGTCATGTGGAAAAAAATTTCCCGAGAAAATTCATTTGGCGCCGTTGAAACAATAAATTACAACGAGTCTCGCAATTCGAGCGAATGGGTTTTAATGTTTTCCGAACAATCATTTAAATCATTTCAGCATTCTTCAAATATTCTTTTACGATATGACATAGAAATCTCAGCTCGACGATACGCTTGGATGAGTGTTTTGAAGTTTTTACTGTCTAAAAATTATTGGGATTTCTTATGTTCTTAACATCGCATCATGAAGGGAGAAAGTTCGCTGTTAAGCTCATTCTAAATTGGCAATTGGAAGCTCGCTTTGCAAGCATGAAAACTTTTTATCAAACAAAGAAAAAAATCTCCACCAAAGCAGTCAAAAGTTTCAACCTTTTTACTTCTAAAAAAAGCAAGTGAAACGATCTGAAAGAGCAATTTTAAATCTTCTTTGCAATTGCATTTTTCTTGCTACAATTCTCTTTAGCTCAGGGTGAAATATCATATTTGGAAGGTTTAAGCTGAATATTTTTTACAGGAAATTTGACCTTGGATTGTGACGTTTTAAGGTTGATTATTGTAGGAAAATAAAAGTTCTTTAATAACTTTTATCAATCCGTTTCGTAATGATTCATTCATATGTCTTTCATAATAAACTTCACAGTTTTCCAAATAAAAACGTCAGTGAATTTGACAAAACTTGAGATTCGAGAGTTTTGATGGGTTTAGACGAAATTCAATTTCACCTTGTTTATACATCACTCTCAAAGCGCTCATACATAAAATATCAGAAGCGCAAAGTAAATATTTACAACTCCTCCTTCATACTAAAGTAGAAATTGTCACTGAACATTTTTCCAGTGGCATTTTAATCTATTTTTAGCGAACATCCCGTTTCCATCAGGCGAATAAGCAAACAGTTGCTTTCGACACAAAAAAAAACGAAAAAGTTGAAGAAAAGAAAAGTTTGTTTGTTGAAAGGTTTTGATTGATTTTTAATATTTCATGTCTCGAACTCGAATTTTGATTGTGAAAAGTCAATAAGAGATGTATTGGGTCGAACAATAAAAGTTAATGGACAGTTTCTCATTGTTATTGAATCAAATTTCGAGATTGCTCGTAAGAGCCACCAATAACTTTGGGAAAGAAACACAACGTCATTGCCAGCTCGAATGATTAAATTAAATTATCCACAAAAAATTTAAAGCGTGACACAGAAATTCAATCTTCCATTAGCCTCGAATACAGTCACCGACTGCTATGTACATAAATATTAAAAACCTTTAATTGAAAAGTTTCATTGTCGAGTCAAGAATTTATCTGAAAACTTTACTATCAGTATAATTTTCAACTTTAATTGGTTTTAAATATTAAAAACAAAAAGGAACTTTTTATTTTCTTGTTTACAATTTCAATATTAAAATGAAACTCTTTGATTTCTTTTTATTCAAAAAGGAGCTATCAAACTTCCTAAAGGATTTAAAAAAAAAGGAAATTTGATTTGAAAAAGTTGAGTACTTAATTTATGAAATTTTCTTCAAAGCAATGCATAAAAACGACGCAGACTGAGGGTAAATGAAACTTAGCAAAGAAACTTGAGTAACACATGGCTCTTAGGATGATTAAGTGAGAGCAAACTTTTACAAGCGATAAAACTTCTCCTTTCTGTTCTTTTCTCCTGTGCAATATTTAAAATTGAAAAGTTTTATTTTTTTTGTGAAATTCGGAGAAAACGAACAAAAACATGTATTAAGAGTGAGTAATGGATAGACGAGACGGAAGACATCAAAAGCTAATTTCATCGAACTCAAAATACATCACGATTAATGCGCTTGCCTTCCTCAGCATAGTTTGAAAAAACTTGAACGAAATTTTATTTCACAAATTAAATAATTAGATGAAGATGATCTGAACTTTGTCCGCTAGATTACTCAAATGAATAAAACATTTATGCAGAAAAATATAAATTAAAATAAAAAGTTCTTAAACTCATTTTTCAATTTTCTCTCTCACTAAAAATAATTTCTGCAACCAGACGTGAAATTTTCTGCTTTTCTTTTTTTTCTGCACAGAAAATTAATAGAAAAGCATCCATGTTGAAGTTTATGTAAGAGATATTTAAGTAAATCTTTTAGTTAACCGCGGAACGACAGAAGGTAATAAAGAATTGAGTAAACAACTAAACCAAAAACAATTTCCTGTAGAGTCGCAAAACTTATGGGTGTATGTGATACTAATAACAAGCTAAGAAAACATATAATATAGGAAAGATATAAATATTATGTTAGAAATATCGTACGACAACAAAGTACACAGTTTGCTGGTAAATTTCTATCGTTTCGGGATAATGTTAGGAACAAATATGTACATCTAACACTTGGGATTCGTTCATTCATCACGTGAAAGGTTGGCAATTTACGAGTTAGAATTAATTTGACCCAAAAATAGCTCATATTGCGAGAGTTGTTTCCATACGAATGAGTTTAAGGAATCTGAAGCGACATGAGTCATGTTGAAGCCCACACAAACACCAACATCAAGCATAATCAAAACCCCAAAATTTATTTTGAGAATGGTGATTTAGCATAATTTATTTTCTGCTCGAGTTAATTTTGATTAGTCTAACATTTATTTGACTTTAGCGCCAAACACCAACATAATCACATGGATAAAGTTGGAGCTTTAATACGTGGCATTGAATTGAATCGGATCATCAACAACCATATGAAGATAAATTCAAGGATAATTTATTCCATTCAAAAACTTTTCCTTCCTTTTTCAACAACATAGAAAACTTAAAGTCGGCGTTCTAACTCATTGTACCACATTTGCTTGGAGCTTTCGATTTATTTACGTGGGACAAGACAAAACTTTTGAAAATACTTGAAGAATAACTTCTTCGTGTTCAATTTACCGTAAAAATGACAAGGAAGAAAAGTTTCTTCTCGTTTTTTTTTCTTTTTAGTAACGTGACAACTTAAGTCATCGAAAAGTTTATATTCAATCGATGGAAATCACTTAGATACACCGTTCAAGGAAAGTTAGAATTTCCTCTTTTGGAAACTTTGATAATTAAGAAAACTTTTTATTGTCATGAAGTTCACTGAAACATTAAATAGACTACTTAGTGTTTAAACTGTTAAAGCATTCCACATCTCTGTATGTTGATGTCAACTTATTCCTATGCAGTTCCTCTATTAAGAAAAAAACATAAATTTTCTAAGTACATCAAGTCATTGTTCAATAGTTCATGTCTTATCTTCATCAACAGAAGAGCCAATTTTCTATGAATACGATGCAAAGGCAGCATTTCCGTAGTCATATGATATTTAATACTCCATAATGTTTCTAATGTATAAGTTATGAATAGCAAGGCAATTATTCTAATGCCTATTCAAAGTCAAAGAGTAATGGTTCTTACTTTAATTATTAGAGTGTCTAATTGACCTAGAGAAAAACCAATAGATGAATGAACATTACATTCCATTTGGAATAATAATAATCAATGAATTGATAAAAATCAGAAGCGAACAAAGCTTGTAGAGCAAGCATTCGAGTATAAAAAACAATGATCAAGGAAATATGTGCCTTAGAATTCATTAAAATGAAAATTGGAAATACTTTCATATACATTTATTCGAAATATTCGATTCGTAGCGACAAAAACTTTTTCCTATGTTCTGCAAGGATAAAGCATTGAACCTGCTTACTCAGTAGAATAAGTATTCGCGAAAAACGAGAACCTACTTCATTTTAATGGAAAAGAATTTTCTTTTTGGCGTCAGAAGTTCGCTCTCATCGTCACCGCCAACGCTTATTTTTTAGGGCGCACAGAAAGCGAGGGAGAAGAATAAAAAAAAACTTCAACATAAACAGTTTTTTCTCTTTGCTTTTCATTGAAACAATGTTAAAACAAAAACAAGAAGAAAAAAAAAGCATTTTGTCTATGCTGAATAGCGGGAAATAAAGTTATACATTTTTGTTGTTTCTGAGAAAGTTTTTGCTTGCGTTATAAGTTTTTGCCCTTTTTTTCTTTGCCATAGTGTCGTGAGAAGAAATAAACTCATCTGTGAAAGGATAACTTTGGGAGAAGGCTGATAAAGATAAACAGGGAAGTAAAACAAAAGAAAAACTGTTGTCTTAATATAAAGTTTGACTTTCAGCTTTTGTTGTTTTGTTAGTTGTGAGATTTTTTGAGCTTTTTCGATATGTTGATAGTTTTTGCATATCTGCAATCATCTGAGTGAGAAATAACAAACATAAATATGACATAAAGATTAGAGAGATACTGATCGATGAAACTTTTCAAACGTTTAACAAGAAGAAACTCATGTCGGTGTGACTTGCTACGAAAACATTTTGATTTTCAATTAAATTTTCTTCTATTTATGTAACTTGATTCAAGAGCAAGAATGATGGCGAATTACATTCCAAAATTTATCAGTACTTAATTTGCATATTTCGTCAACGACTGTGGAATACTTAAAAGAACAACAAAAAGTGCTTGTTTTTCAGACTCTCCTCTCAAATGGAATGTAAACAATGCCGAAACATGGTGTAATGTCGGTTTTTGTTAAGATTCCATTACTCTTAGTCACATAATTTAATTTCGATGCGCAAATAAGTTCTTCGAAGACTTAATTGGTTTCAGTTGCTCTCACTCCTCAGCAACATTGTTTGTTCTTTTGTGAGACATTAAGATGAATGATGAAAGAAGAAAATTGTCAAGCGTTCTTCAACGCAATATGTGTCGCGACGACAAAAGAGAAAGTTAGCTAATCAATAAATATCTGCATTAAGCCACCATCTCAAGAGTAAGCTTGATGTCGTGTGAAAAATTCATAACGCGTTTCTTTCTTATTTTTTACGACAACAACTGTGTTCACTTTCTGTGTAAAATTCAATATTTTCCTTCCATCTCGTGCCATGAGCCTCGGCTGTTCTTTCCGCTAACAATATAGCTTTATAATGAAGGGAGTGAAAGAAAAGTTTGAGGAATGAAGAGAAAAACAAGCGAAGGCTAACACAACAACAAGAAAAATTATATTTTTCGTTGATTTATCAGATAAGTGACGAAAAAAATTTTTTACGACATACATCATCTAGCTTTCTTCTCTCTTGTTTGTCTTTTGTTCTTGTATGTTAATGCTTTAAAATGAAGATTTACATTTTTCTTCATCCCCGCGTTACATTTTCTCCTTCTCGTTCGTTATATTGGAAGTGCTTTTGTAAAGAAGAGAAAAGTTATGAGATAAAAATATATTTTGGATGTCATACTAGCGATTCAATCCCTCAAAAGCAGAGCTAAAGATTTTCTTAAATTTCGAAGAACTTTTCTTTTCAATCTTATGATTGTTGAGCTTTGACACTGATCTCTGACATTTTTGGATTATCAATCACAAGCAGAAATAAAGTTTCAATGAAATTATTGAAGTTTTTCAAAGATCGCGATCGTCATCCCATTTAAAGCGAGCATGTTTAATCATAATCAAATCTCAATCTCTGCTTAAAAACAAAATGTCAATTTCATTTTAAATTAAATATGTAAAGAGCTTATTAACATTTCCATGGCATGAAAAAAAAATGGATTTGTTGTAAGAGAGAAGTTTCGCATTATAAAACTAGTTTAATTTTACTAGATAAAATAACTTTAAACTACTCTGCTGTGCTATAAAGTCATCAAGTTTAGAAAAAACCGAAAAAATGTTACGAGAGGAAATTGAGAAAATTTAAAAGCATCGCATCATTAGAGTTTGTGGCTTTGTAGACAATCTGACATCCGTGAAGATTTTCGTAAATGGATCTGATGAACGTTGAATTGTTTTTATTAAACTCCATCAACCGCAAATATCTAACGACATCAAATAAGATGGAAATTGTATTGTCGTCGTTGTCTTCTCATTGATTATTCTTCCACACCCACCCGTCGATTGTTACATTTTCCGTTTCAATCGTTCTTAGCGTGAAATTTCTCCAATTTCATTGTTTGTCAGTTAGTTTTTGGCAAAATATCTCCATGGTGGTAAATGGGCGTGTGGCTTGAAAAAATGTCTCTGGTATTGATTTCCTTTATGTGACATTCTCTAATTTGAATAATCTTTTTCAATTTCCGAGTAAATATTTGTGGATTTGATTACACTTGGCAAAAGAGCCACAACATTGTGTTGAGTGTTGAACTGAAAGCATCTATCACTGAATTTAAAATCAATTGAGAACAATTTTGATGATGATGATGATGATAAATGTTTGGTTTCAGCATTATCGTTTCTCATGTCATCACATATTTGCTCATCATAAACAATTCGAAGCAAAACTTACATATTTGCATGATGATGATAGAATTGAATATTGATTTCTGATGAAAAGAGGAAAATGTTTGATTCATTGGATTTGCTTCTACTTGGCACTTCAGGCATCGTTTTGGAAAGGTCAAAATAAACTTTCAATGTTGTAATAACATGAAAGGGTTTGCTGAAAATAGATGAAAGCCAAACACTATAACTCCAAACTGTAGTAACTGGAAAAGTTTTTTTTAAATTACTTCTCATTTCTTTGACTTGTATTTGAATGTAGAGACAACTTTTAGCATTCAAAGTCGTACACATTTTGACTCGTTAAAATAGATTTTACAATAACTGAAGCGTGTAACAAACTTTACTTTTTTTGAGCTCGCACCGGAAATCTTCAAATCAAAAATCTATTCTTCTTTTCCCTTTTTAGTTCACGTCCTTTGTGCATTAAGTCAAGCGAGATGTCAACGTGTCGAGAAGAGAAAATTCATTCAAAGGAAATGCTAAAGATCAAAGAGCAGAATTCATCTCCATTAACCCATTTGGATTTAAATCCCCACACAAACAACTTTTTTACTATCCAAACAGCGAAATATTCATCTCGCTTTCATCATTTTGTAATTACATTTAATGTTTCTTTACGTCGATGCTCTGATTTCCCTTGAGTATTCTTTCGCCAACTTATTCCGAGAAAATGTCGCTTGACGTCTGTTTTCTTTTTTTTTGCTTTCTTTCTTCTGTTTTTCGTCGCTCATTTTCTACTCCGAGAATGCTTTTTCGAGCTTTCCCCAATAAAAGTATTGAGTGGTAAAGGAAGTAAACAAATTAATAAAGATATCCGAAAAGATTAGGAATGATGGGATTTATTATTGTGCTGATGATATTTACTGCTGCAAGAGTGATTTCAAATTCATACTTGAAACGACAAACATTGAAAACTTTTAAAGAGGGAATGAAGTGGGAGTGGGCGGTATGCAAATTTTCCACTAGAGTCCAAAATACTATTAAGAAGGATGTTGTACACTTCTGTCGTGTTTAGAATCTCATCATTGAGACAGCAAGTGTTTTTATTCTTCGCCTCATTCGAAACCTATTCTTTATTCTTCTCTCTTGCATATTGCCATAGGAATAAAGTTTGATAATTAAATTTACATATTCAATGTAATGGACGAAGTATGGCATACATTAAAATTAAACAAACTGAGTTTTATTGCAGCATTCTTCTTCCATTTCCACTTAAATTTATGGATGCATTCAAGAGCGAAACCATTTCTGAAACATAATCAGCTTCATTGAAGAAAATTATGCAAGCTTCTGAATATATAATTTTTGTTGTTGTTATTACTCTTGCAACACAAAAATATTTGCATAAATATGCATGAATCATGATGTTTCATGAGCACAATTATACAACTTCTAATGTTTGCTATGCTTTTGAACAATGTCGATATTGATTGAAGTGAATTCGAATAAACTTGAAGTTCGTTGCGAATGTTTAACGACGGTTTATTAATTAACCAATAATATTTAAAAGATTTTCATGCCACAAATCAAATGAATGTTGCGACGCTTTTCGATTAATTCTTTGAATAAATTTTCATAAATAGAAGGGGAGAAAATCCCAAAGATACGAATCATTAAACACAGAACTATAAACATAAATAATTTAAGTTAACAAACTTGAAAAGGTTTGCGTGCTTTTTCACAGTTGTTTGACAATCAAACTGTGTGCTCACCAAAAACGAAAACTTTTTCTTGTCTTCTTATGGCTAACAAGACTTTGTTTTGTTGTTTGTTGTCTGCTGTAAAGCATTCCATCATTTTGACACCTTACTAATGTGTTATCATATTCGATTTCCCTTCCTTTCATTCTTCTAATATGTTTTCTGCTTTTTCGATTCTCTTCTTCCAAAACAGTGGAAAATGAAAAAGGTAAAACTCCACTCGAACCGGCATCGTCGTGCGTAATATTGTATTCAGTTTTCAGTAAAAATCCATTCAATAAAAATACGAAACTCACTCAAAAAGCTATACATAAATTACTGCAGCATTACCATTATAATAACCAATCGACACGCTATTTCAGATTGCCTATTTGTGTGGCTCTCTCGCAATGTTCAAAGACATTTCATTCTTTTTTTCTTGAAGTTTGCTTTCGTTCCCCGGTCGCATTTATTCGCAAAATGAAATAAGAAAGTTTTTTGTTATACATTTTTTCCAGACTTTTTTTTTCATATGAAAGCAAAGCAATTATTCGATAAATCTGCTACGATTTTGAATTCAAGAAATGAAAATTCTCACAGGGCGGTGGAAAAAATGTTCCCTTTGTTCACTTTTTTCCTAAAGGATCGCGTGATTACTTAAAATTTAGCTCCGAATTATTTTTTCTTCAATAGGGGAGAAAAACATATTTAGTAATGAACGAATAATTTGATGAAAGTAAGTCATTGGATAAGTTTACGTTTTGGATTTTGTCGAGACGGAAATATATTGAATTTACTCTTCATTCGCCTTATTAGACTCGTTAATTTGTGGTTGTATAACAATTCTCGTTTCAAAACGAATGACATTGTCTGAACACAATAAATCATTAGATCAACGATAAATTTACCAAGCTTTCTACATAAATAAATAATCAAAGATTAAACATGAAAAGAAGAAAAATAGATCGCACAATTGGAGCGACTGAATCAACAAATGTTACCTGTCTGGAAAGTATATAAAAGTCTAACAAAATAACATGAAAAAAACATAATCAGGATAACGTTATCATCCAATCAGTTTTCTAATAGAAAACGAGACTAGGATGTGTGGGAATGTTGAAGTAAAAAAATGAAATCAGGAATCTCATAATGATCTAAACCGTTTGGGACTGAAGCATTTCTCAAAAGAAAATTCGTGTTTTTGTTGTCTGGAAATCTTTCGCACAAAAAGAAAACTTTTAAGACTTCGAGAAATAAAAAAGTTTAATCAAAGATAATAATTCATTTGGCACCGGAGAGGAGCTTAAATGAATCTTTGTTGTGTTTGGAACATGAAACATTTTTATACCGCAGAAAAGTATTACATTGAGAACATTTGTCTTCGTTGGGATATGGTGAATGTTGGAAAAAGGAAAGTGAAAAAAAGTTTCTTTTTTATGGCTTGCCGGTGTAAGAATTTCAAAGCTTCAGAACGCTTTTTAAGCTCAGTTTACAACAGTTTTCAACTACAACTTTTCAAAGGTTTCCCTTAACAATTTCAAATAAAAACCAATAAAATTCATTTGAATTGTAAACTTCTACAAATGAAAATGGAATAATGTTGACATATGGGAATAAGCAACAGTTTGCTTTAGAAAAATTTGTCAGATTTTAATTAAAAACTTGCATCAAATAATCTACCGAAAAAAATCAATACAAAGATTCGTTATTTCCTCGTTAATTTAATTCCAAATTGAACCAATTATGTATGTTCTTATTACATAACCCATTTGCCACCAAACTTAAAAACATTATGAAGCTCTCGGAATCTCTCTCAAATTACACATAAAACGCTGACTTAAAAACTAATTATAAACATTTTGCAAGCTTTACACCTGAAACATATAATTTTCCAATGCTCTTCTTTTTTTTCTGGGGTTGCAAAATGATTCCTAACAACCACCAACCGAGGTTCAAACTTCAACAACAGAAAGGTAAACTTAACAGTAAAAGTATATTCTTTGAAACGTGGTAAATCCTTTCTGGCTTATGCTTTCCGCCGTGTTTCCCACACTTATCGATTTTTGTGATTGCCGTTGCTTCCGACCTGACTTAGTTTAGCAATATTCTTTAACGACACTTTCCCAGTAAGAACATAAAACTTAAATTAAAGAAAGCAATTCACTAACTTGAGAAAGTATCTACTTAAGAAATTCATTTAAAAGAAAAAATAAGTTTGCTAGAGCCAGAATTAAAAATGTTTCAGTTCTCGTTGGTGAAATAAAGTTCGTGCGCATAATTGAATCATGAAAAGTTTTTGATCCTACAGATTAATGATTATTTAAGAAATTTAATTCCTTCTACAGCCTTTAAAAGATTTGCATCACAATACCGATAAGAACAATGATCTCATTGCTGTTAATGTTGAGGCTTTTTCCTACTTTCTTCACCTTTCAAAATTAATTTATTGCTTCAGGGTTATCATGGACAGTCTCTTTACTTTCGAAAAATTAGAAATATTTATGAACCTTTCAAAATTCCCAAGACAAATCTCACTTTCACCCTTTGCTCGTTCTCCTTCTACAAAAAAGTAGAAACTTAAAATCATAAATTACTGTTCATGGAGAAAAAAAATGTTTACAACTCACTGGTGTCTACGTAAATGTGTAAAGCAATAAAAGGACATTTATCAAACATTAATAATTTTCAATGGGATATAGAAAGCAAGTATGAAGGTTGAATTCCCTTTTCAACCGTCTTACGCATCTTCGAACTTGAATTTAAAAGTTTCTCGTCTTCGTACGATACCGAGTTTTCGTGATTTATGTCATTTCATAAATAATCATTAAGGCGTTGATGTTTTCATCCTCTTTTTCACTTTCTCACACTGCTCTATATAGATTAAAGCGACAGTTGAATTTATGAGATTCAAATTTTTTATGCTTCTAATCCAATGAACTTCTTTAAGTGATATACGCCTAAAAATGTTGACGTTAAGCCTCATATCGAATATATAAACACAAATCCAATCTAGCTCGGTTTCTTGACAAAATGGGGAAATCCTATAATGGATACATCGCATGACATGATCTCAAAATTCATGACCAGGAAGACTGGGATCAAATTTCTCATTAAAGTCAAATTGTTTTCCTTTTTTATCACTTCCTCCTATCTCTATATCACTCACAGTTGAACAAATGATTTAAAAGTGCCGGTCAGGGTCGACCCTGTACAATTCTCATTAAATTTCATCGTTTAGATTAAAATTTTACTACTTTCAATGCTTCATTCCTCAAACAAAAAAAACTTTTTCTTTGCTTTTTATTTCATTAAAGTTTTGTTGAACTTGTTTATTTCGATGAGTCTTCAAAACTGGGAGTTGGGAGTCGTTTCTTTGATGTAAGACATCGTAATTTGAATCCAAATTATTTAAATCTATGCAAATTAGTTTGCGTGATAATTTCAACGTTTCCAACGGTGATTTAAAAGGAGATGAGAAAATATGAAAGATTAAGAAATTCTATAAACAACAAGTTTTTAATCTCCTTTGTAAATTGCGGAAATTCAAGACATCTAAAAATGTTCACGCTTTTGATCATGTGCTTTTCGAGAAAAGTAATTAATACGGGACAATTGACGTCACATAATAATAAATATGAAAGAGATTTGTGACATTTCAAATGAACTTGTTCGATATTTAATACAAATGTCAGGTAGTAAACAGAAAAATAGTAAAGACATTTATTTGCCTACGTTTCATGACGTAAGAATTTAAATGTCTAACGATGTCCAATGTAAACAAATTTATGAGTCACGCGCCCGACGATGTAAGCTTTCATCATTTCAACGACTCGCTTTTCGGACAAAGCCACAAAAGTGCTTGGCTTGTTTGTTTCTATTCCTCTTTTAGTATTTAATTTTTTTTCTTGTTTACATTACAAACATTCCAGTCACGATGAAAATATATTTTGTAAAGAGCCATAGGGACGAGGAATATCATTTACTTGATAGTTTCGAAAATTATGAAGAGAAAAATGACCGCTGTCAGCATAATGAAATTTATGAATAAATTTCGACAGCACATTTAACTCAGTCGAGCTTAATAAAAATCTTGATTAAATTTTAATGACGTTTAATTCGTGTAATGCAATTCAAAACATGATTACAATAACTAGATTAAATGACATCATGTTTTTGTATGTTTTACAGTTTCAAATTCGTATCTCTATTTAGAAATAGAAAATATTTGCTTTTAATTTCAAACTTTTCATTAAATTCGTAGGTTTTCATTATTTTTTCGAAAGCATTACTCTCGGTTTAGTTTTTAATGAACAGTTTAACTAAAATTCGTTTAGAAATGTTTTCAGTCATGTGAACAAAAATGGCGAACATTTTAGTGATATTAAAATATGAAAACTTGAATAAAAACAATACAAAATAACATTAACGACATGAAAACTTCATACAGATAATTTTCATCAATTCTATTTGTCATAATAATAAATGATCTGTTTTTTAGTGTTATTTTTAGAATCTGACATAAACAGACTTTTCCTGATTAATGTGCGCCTTTTGTGCGATGTAAAATTCTACATTTATTAAACTCAATCTGTTGATGGTGAAGATTCTTGTCATAATAAATCGTCGTGGTGAATACAATTGTAGAAAGTAATAAGAAGCAGTTCATATCTGAACTCAAAAAAAGAAGAAACTGAACAATAACAAATTCCTCACATGGTTATTCAGCGGTTTCAAGCTTCAATGTGACAAGTGATGTAAATAGAGGAAAAAGCTCACCATTTACTGCGTTATTATTCGTAAGAGGACGTATGAATTTTTATGGAAATTCATTCTTTCTCTATCAGGATCATCAACGCAAGCAACGAAGCATGGTGAATGATATGTTATCGTTTATGGCGTAAAGTTGATTGATATTGACACAAGAATCTCTTTAAGCTTCAGTCTTTTGATTTTTCATCTTGTTGAGTGAGCTTTCTTTATTTATGAATTTAATTCCAATTGACGTTCATGCATACATTTCCGTCATCATTTTCTTCCTGCGTAATACGATTTGATAACAACATGATTGAGTATTAAAAATAAATTCGAATAATTTTCTAATTTCATTTTCCTTTAACGAAATCATTTTGTTATTTTTGTGTTTAAACCAATTTAAAATTCACAGGAAAAGAAAACATAAAGCTAATCATAAGTCAAGAACGTTGCTTACTCCTTCGTTACAACTCATATATTAAGATTTTATTCATAATTTAAGTTCATCTTATCGTTTGCATTGCTGTCTTAGAAATGAAAAATGTAAATGAATGAACATTGAATAAGAAGATGGAATGAAGGCAAAAAATATCGTAAGAAGCAAAAGCTGAGACTCTCGAAAAGATTTATTTACGAGAATTTTTTTCCGTTCTCAAAAGAATCTTCATCAAGGGAAAAATCGTATCAAATATGTAATTTCATGCTCATATGAAGAACAATTTAAAAGGTTTATGTTTAAGGTTGTAAGGTAACGTCGTCATAATTCAAACTCTAATTTACTAACACATGAGCCTTGTTCTTTGTTAATTTAGGCAAGAAAAATAAATGAAAATTTAAACACATTTTGGTCATCATAAAAAAGGGTTCATAACAGCTTCTAACTACATGTGTTTATGGGATGGAAGTGGAAGTTGAAAATACTTTTACGACAGCATTCTCTGAAAACAATTGCCAGAAAGCAAAGTCATAAAAAAATCATGAGATTATGATGAGATTTTCGGTGTTTGAGCTGTTGTGAAGAAAGCTTCTGTGAATTTCTCTAAGTTTTCCTTCATTTTATACTTCCTCTAGTTAACGCTTAGAAATATTAGCTAATCATACATAAAACTTTCTTCTCGAGAGAATGTTATATCTTTTCACTGATAAGAAAACTTAAACATCATGCAACAGCAGTGAAAATTTTTGGAAATTTCTTTAATAATCACTTGAATACAGAAGTTTACTCCATTTGGCTCGATCTAATTTAAAACGTTTTGTTGAAATAGTATTCGTTACGAAAATTAATTGCGAAAACTTGAGAGAACAACAAACATTAAAAGCAAACAGAAATCAACCAGCTTTATAGCTTCTAATTACATGAAATGAAATTATCTTCGCTTCATTTGATAAAGTTAAAATGTAAAGTGAAAAAGCAAGGGGGATGGAGATTAGAACCTTAAATAAAAATATTTAAGTTATAGAAAATGATTCGTTCTCTGTGTGTCGAGATTTGTGCGTCTTAACTTTCAATGTAATTAACGAAATGAAGGCAAGCAAACTTATTTTTGAGATGCTTCATACTTATTGAAAAGTTTTGAAATTAATAATTTCCATCAAAACAAAAAAAAATTCAATTTGAATTAAAAAGTTTTAAGTTAATTTGAAAACTTTAATGGTAGCAAGTAAAGTCACACTTTATTTTTATAACTCTATAAATAATTGTTGGAAGAGAATTTGTTTTCATTCCTCGAAATGAGTTTACAAAAGTTTATCTTTCTTGATTGCGACTTCAATTTGTCATGAAAATGAAATCTGATATGTTCAACTTTCAACTTAGTTGCTTTCTTCTCAAGCTATGGAAATAAATGATTTTAATACAATCTCCTTAAGTCATCCAAAGATTATTGTAAGACTATCAAGACATTGCGAAAATCTTCAAGATGGAAGCAGTTTGATAAATTTACATATGTACGTCTCTCAATCAAGAAATCAGCAGAATCCACCCACACTCTTCATTGTGATTCAAGCGTGTGATAGACAAATGGGCTTAACTTCCACTGTTTTATTAAATCTTTCTTCTGTTTTCTTGTTTTCTATTTCTTCTTACTTGTAGTAAATTGTTCTAAAGGCAACAAAGCCGAAGCAACGTTTGAGAAACTTTTAATAAACATAATAAATCTTATCTTATCGAGTTCTCCCCTCAATGTTCACATGAATGTTACGTATACATGTGAATACATATATGAAGCTGAATGAAGCATACAAAAGCTGAATCAAAAAAAAAACTCGAATGTATAAAGGAATAAGTTATGTAGAAAGTTCAAAATGGAAGACGTGAATCACATTAATATAGAAAGTGTTGTTTCTGCTTATTTTTCTTTATTTAATCGTACGTGTGGTTTCCCTTAAAACCTTTTAGTTTTAACAGCCGAATCTTTGCCATAAATAGAGACAAGGAGAGGGAGAAGGAAAATAGGAACAATAAATATTGAATGATTATCACGAAGAGAAAGTCAAAAGCTCAAGGAGCCCTCCAATAGATTGCAGTAGTGGAAAAAAAGGTTAATTTAGCAAGAAAGAGTCTAGGGTATGTTTAATGCTTACGAGGATTAAATGTGTAACTTATGAGTGCTTTTCTTGTTTATGGACATAGGTCAAGAGGAAAACATAGCAGCAACAAGGAACTTCGACAGCTAAAGGCACAATCTGAACTTCGAACAGGCTTTCGGTCAAGTGAAGTGGAACAAAAGCAAAGTAACCGTAACAACAAGTTTATAAAATATGTTCACTTTAACCGACCAAATATTTGGGTAGAAATTGAATAAAATTAAATTGAGTTAAATCACAAATGATAAAAGAGAGAAAATTGTTCTTCAAATTATTTGTTTTTCATTTTCTTTCAGTTGAATTATTCATTACAAAATTATACAACCAGAGAAAAGCAATGAAAGCTAGCTTTCACTTCGTCGAAGCAGACGTTTTGATATATAAATTGAATTAAGTTTCTTTTTTCCTTTGTACATACTTTCAAACCTGTATTGCTTTCATATCTTTGTTGCTCTTTTCCACTTTTTTCAATTTTGAAGCATTCTTTTTTTTATTCGTTCACTTTTCCCCCTCGCGAATGAAAATGGAAATTTTCATTTTCTTTTGGTAAGCCGAGAAATTATCTGGCGAAATAAAAAAATCAATAGCGCCAACACAAAGTTTTATTATTTTTTTCGACAACACGAAATAATATGATGAATATAATTTACAATAATCGATTCTTAATTTATGTCATCAAGTAAATACAAAAATTCAATTTGTTAGAGAACAAATGAAATTTATGAGCTTCAAATTAATGTGCAATTCCTTGGAAAATGTTTTCGTTATTTTTGTCGTGGTAATTGCTATAATTTTATGTATAACACTTAAGGTAAAGCATCGTCGTATCCATAAATATGTAAATGGAACTTTCCGTGTTTTTAATAAAAAAATATCAATTTTTTTTAGTTCTTTACCATTGAATGGTAAAGTAGCTTTGTATGTCATTAGGAATGTGTTTTATCTAATGTAAATGATGACACAGAAAGTTTTTCACTGCCGTTTATAAAATCATGTCAACAATTGAAGAAATAGAGTAGAAGTTGCTAATTCCGGCTGGTTTTAATACCGTTTTTTTCGGTATTTTAAAACCGTCTTGAGATTTTTCATGTGAAAATAAGAAAATGTTTTCAACTTTTAGCTAAATATCAAGATTTCAAATTGAATTGAAAGCCTAGATATAAAGCTAAAAGTTGAAAACATTTTCTTATTTTCACATGAAAAATCTCAAGACGGTTTTAAGATACTGAACAAAACGAAATTAAAAACAGACAGAATTAGGTACTTTTACTCTATCCGAAAAACATTATTAAATATTATTATTAAAGTTGACTAATATTTTAATGCATAATATCAGAAAGTAGAAATTATTTGTAATTCAAACACAAGCTTTTTTGCTTGTTGATTTTTCAATGTATGCGATTCATGAAATATTGTTCAATCATATGGCGTATGTAAATAAACGAAATAATCGATTCAAATCATTTTGGTCAGAGATGGAAGGTATTTTCCAACATTTCAGCCTTCCAGGTAATTTCTCCTTTTTTATTCTACAATTATGTGAATATTCCCTGATTAACAAGTGATAAATTTGTTACTATGTTATTAATTAAATAACATTCGTTAATCAAATAACTTTATTCCTACTCGGGAATTCCTGAAAACTTCTCTGCTATCATTTTTCCCTCTTGGATATTCCCAGCCCAGGGAATTTCCATCTAGCTTTTTCTGATTTCACTTAGTTTTTTATATCGATTTGTGAATTACGTGCACAGACACTTGTTACAAATTGTCTTAAATGAATATTTGATTTGGATATATTTTGATCATGACAAATTGATTTAAGAATCCTTACTTATGCTTTGATATACATTTAAGCATATGTGCAGATCCACTTAAAAATGTTGCGTAAACCTTAATTAAGAGTCTTGACTAGATTCAATAGAAGGTCTATCGATTTTCTATGAGGTTTGAAAGCTTAACCAAATGAAAAATTGACTTTCATGTGGGCAACCTCAGTAGCTCTCATAGATAATTTTTTTCAGCATTTGCCTCAAGGATTTTGTTATTAATGTTTGAGGTTTCTTTTTAAAATGACTGAAAATGTTAAGAATTACTATTTGCGACATAAAGAAAACTAAACTCGCATAAATTTCCCTCAATAGTTTTGAAGTGACATGTGGAAGCAACAAGCAACTGCAAAATATCTCTTCATGAACAACTGTCGAAATGTACACTCGACTGATTTTGTTCATATATTTCCAATAAAACCGCAAATAAAATATTGTTTCCTAAAATCAATTTCTATTTAAATAAACGTAATAAATTCCACACCTCGTTTGTTCTGTTATTTCTATGAATACAATGCAAACGAGACATTGAATAATATATTGACTGCGCATCAAGACTCAATTTTAAACAACTAAACGAATACTTCGGTTTCACATTAAAGGAATTCCAACATTACTGTTTGGAAGCTTTTACTTAATTCATTATTAAGTCACTTTGCATAGAAAGAATCTATTTGCATTTCGTTTAACTCTTCCCACAACACTTCATTCTAATATTCTGGTTAACTTTAAACGAACATAAACGTCAATTTTCTCCTCCATTTGTGTCAATTGTAATTTAAACATGCTTTACTTATGCGCATTGAATGAATATTTACGATCCTCCCAAGTATTACTATTATTTTTAATGTATGTACATATGGAAATTTATTATTATACTTATAAAAAGCAGAGAAAATTGAATATTTGAATAGCTTCCGCTGCTTCTTCAATGCAAAGACTTTAAACAAATATTTATGATAATAATCCGCTTCATATAGATTCAACTTTAATGTTTCCTTTCAATTTCAATGACATTTTCGAAAATAGATAATGGTTTTAACTTACCGCCTTTCAAGTACTAATTAATAGAGCATACATCAACTTCTAATAAATTATAATCAAACGTTACATAAATGACTTTGAAGTCAGCACATTATTGTATGAATGTTAAGCTGCTTTGTAATCCTATTTGTTTGACACATTTCCCACATAGGAGTTTACTTTTGATTCGGATCTTTACTTCGTCTTACCGAGAAGAAGCTGAAATTGAGTTTGCAAAATTTTAAATAAAGTATGAGAAAGTTCTTGGAAGACACCTGGTAATAGTGAAACACTTAAACTGTTGCTTACTTAATGGAAGTTTTAATATTGCAAGCTTTCACTGCATGGATCTCATCTCGAACAGCTTTTACCAACAAGCAACCACATTAACCGAAACCATTCCCTTATCACTCTTTTAACAACAAGTAAAGTGCTTCCAAAAAAGAAATTCTTTCTATTAACAGAGCAAAATTGAAATTTAAATAAGCGAATCAATAAATATTCGCAAATTCTCAGGAAGTCGTTTAAGAATATTTCAATCCATAAACATAGTTGGAATAAATTTTTAATGAACAAGTTTTTCAAATTTGTGGTTCAGTATTTCGTAGTCTATGTTAATCCTACCTTTAAATAGAACAAAATAAGTTTATTATCGAGCAATTTCGGAGGAATAAATCTTTTTACTATTTACGCCATTATATAGAAAATAATAATATTAGATATTGTCTTTTGCATATCTAGATATACCCATCACGTTTTAAGGTTTCGTATTCTGAGTAAATCCACATAAATCCTTTTCTAATTGAAGCCGATTTATTTTCCACAGATAAAGCCAACATTTAAAGATTCTAAGAATCCCATAAAAGCCTGAGATTCAATTAAGCAGAACTTATACGCTTTCACTTTCTTTACATCAAAATATCACAAATTAGTCATGTGACGAGGGTTTAGAAACTGTTCTCAAAAAGATTTATTGCTCACACATCAAACTGAACATTTATGGTCGATATCAGACGATGAATTTTATTTGAGAATACCCTCATAAACAAGTTCGATTTTTAACATTTATTAAACTTCAAACTTTCAAACTGATTTATTCATGATTCGAATGTTTACAATTTTAGCTGTTCGATTTTCTGTATTTTGGTTTTAAGAAAACGTGCGTAGATTATAACATTAAGATTGATTTAAAATAAACAAGCAATGATGAGCATATTTATTTTGATTTTAATATTTTTCAGATTGAAAGCTCCATCATCAATCACTGTTTAAAATAACGCCATTTAGGATCATAGCCAAATGGGAACCTTTCGTACTAAATATTTTATATGCTTATACAGCCGACATTGAGCTTCTTGCAACTAACACGAAAAAGGATAAAAAGCTACTCGTAATTCGCTTCTGTTGAATTCTACCTTTGCCAAACGAACATAAATTGCTAAAAGTGTGGCATTTAAATTGCTTTCGAGCTCATAAAATTACATGAAAATATCTTGGGAAAATTCGCAATTCAAATTTACGCTTTTAACCCGCTACTTTCCACTGCGCTTAGTTTAACCCTGAATTGGAAGCTATAAAGTGTTTCATCAGATTTTTGATAGAGTAACAACTGCCAGGTTTGAATTTAAATTAATGAAGAGATTTAAGATTTATGCGTGCGGAACATGCAGTCGTAGCGATTAACGCGCTGGTAGTCACGACGAGTTCCGGTCTTCTACTTGCCTAAGCTTAAAGCAATTAGAGGTTTTGCATCTTTAATTGATTATTCAGTCAAGCATTTCTAAAGCAAAGGAAGCATTCTGAAAGAAATGGCATATAGTGTTAAATAAGAAGAGAAAAACTTAATTAATTAATTTGCACCCTTTTCTAAAGAAGCTTCTTCTGAATACCAACTTGTATAACTTGAAACAAAACGGCAGCAAAAAGTTGAGGCAATAAATCATTAAAATTGATTTTCTTTTTCTCCCTCACACCTTCACAAGAATGAGAAATAATTTTCTAGTAAAATTTTGTAAATAAAGAAATGAAAAACATGAAAAGCAGGTGAGAGAAAAAAACACAGTAGAATGAAGTTGAAGGCTTGAACAAAAGGTATAATTAGGAAAGTTTTTCTTTCTTATGATTCCATTCACCTGTGCTTTTGCCTCTGGTTATCATTCGTTTTCTTCCCCCTTCCATTCACGTACAACAACGTTACACAGCAGTGATGTATGAAAAAAGTTAAGCAGAAGGCATTAAAAGCTCATGGCATGAACGAACAGGGATCAAAACAGAAATTGCGTAATAAAGCTCGTAATAATACAAGTCGTTGAGAAAGTTTTTGTTTTTCTTCTTTTTTCTGAGCTAATCAAAATTTTATTAACTTGCTTCAAAGGGTTTAGTTTTGGTGCAAGAACTTTTCGAGGAAATTATGTGATTCAGTTTTTCTTTCTACTTTTATAAAGCTTTATAAAGCTGCTAAAGAAAAAGCTTCATAACAGATAAGAAGTGAGATATTGCATTACAGCAAAACACTTTGACGTGATAAATGTCAGTGAGTTATTTTTCTTGATTACAAAGAAAGAGTCAACTCAATTGTCTCTTTTTTTATACTCAGGACCAACAGTGAGGGATCTCAAGATATCATATGATAGTTAAAGAAAGTTCTTACAAGCAAAAGATAAAATAGAGAGGAAGAGAGAGAAAATATTCACAACCGTTTGTCTTCCTTTCAGACACCACATCATTAATTCCATTTCCTTTGGGTTATGTCACAATGTTTTCCTATTGTTGCTTCCGTCAACTTCAATAGAAATGCTGTAGGATGTAAACTCAAGTCACATGAGAGTCTTGGTAAGGTTCAAATATGTTTTCTTCTCATCGTGAAATTTATTTATCAACGTGGGTGAAGGTTAAAAAAAGCACAAATTTTATTTATTATTGAAGATGTTTTCTTCCTTGGAGAACTTTTTCCTTGGAACGAAATTTTTTGGGATTATCAGAAATTCAGAATGAAATAACTCAAAGTACTTGGCATATTTAAGAAGCACATAGTAGATAGATGAAAATTCCTTTTCCCGATTTAAGATCATTCACAAAAAAGTTTACAATACATGCTTTATGTTTATTTGAAGAATAAATTCAAACCAATAAACTCGACTGTACAAAGTAATAAATTGCTATCGCAAACATTCCCTTAATAAATTAGCAATATGGCATGAGTAGAAGAAAAAGAGAGAAAAAAGGCATAAAACGAAAATATTTATTCCAATCATGCAGAAAATGTCCTAAGTTTTCTCTTTTGCTCGCTTCCTTTCCGCTTCAGCCACCAGACCCCGTTTCCTTGACGCCACTTCTAACAAAATAAATTACGACTGTGTGAATAACTCTTTCGACTATTTCTTTAAACACTTCGAGACGATAACAAATAACGGGTTTATTGTTTATACATGCCGACTTTAGTTGGTGCTCGAGCCTTTTTATAGCCACTTCTCTTTAACAATAAAACTTATTCTCAATGTATGCTTGTTTCTCTAGGAAATTTCGAGGTTTTCTCGATCTGCACTTACTATGGATTTTCATTCCTTTCAACAAGATAAGGGTTCACAGTTGAAGCTTACAGTTCCTTGCTTTGGATTTATTAATGTCTTTTTATTATTCTTCCTTCCTTCCTCTATCTCACACTCTTCTGATCATAAAATAAATAAATAATAATAACTCAATTTGAATATTAATGACAAATTCCCTAATTTTTCGTTTGTGCAAAATTTGCGTATTAATGTTCTAAAATGATAATAAGTTGAGATACCACAATCATCTAAATAACGAGATCGAGACGACGATTAAATAATAAAGTGATAAGATAATTGTGTTTTAATTCTCAAGCCCAGATCAATATAGGTTGTGTGTAGGTTGCTTTGAGGCAATGACATTGTAAATCAACAAACAAAAATTTCTTATCACGCTGGGTTAACTGTAGCTGTGTGTGTAAGCACTTCAGATATCAAATAATTTTACAGCACAGTCACGACTTCCATAGCATCATTCTCGGTTAGATCCGAAAAATTTAACGAGAAGAAATATTCCTCGGCAGTTCATGTTTTAATCCAGTGCTTAGTGAGAGATTAATGTCGGAAGAATATAAAAAATATGAAAAACAGTGACATTAAATTGTTGACAAATAATGAAGCGAACAAAAATAATAATTTTAATAATAATGAAAATCCTACAATTAAATTCAAAGATGCAATTCCGCAAATTGCTGCCAGCTGTGCTATTAATTTGATTGTTATACAGGCTGGCATGTATGATGTTCTACAATTATAATTGCGACTCTAATGATTTCCAACAGGTATCAATATGGCGTTCTCATCAATTCTTATTCCACAATTATCTGAACCTGAAAGTGATATTCAAATAGATCTCAGTAGTTCATCAAATATTGCTTCGATTGTAGTTGTGTCTGTAGCATTTGGTGCTTTGGTTTGTGGTTCACTTATGGATACATTTGGACGGGTAAGACTATCAACTATGATTTGTGTGCCTTTCGTTGTGGCTTGGCTGTTGATAGCCCTCTCGAGAAATCTTTTCATGATTTACACAGCTCGGATTCTCTCAGGCTTTTGTGGAGGTACGTACAGAATCCAACCAAGGTTGTAAAATATTAATTGTAATTAAGAATACATTCAGCCATTGCTGTCTTTGTCACACTCATTTTTCTCCCCTCGCTTCTAGGCCTAACAACTGTTGCTTTGGTTTATGTAAGCGAAATTTCCAGCCCCGAATACCGCGGAATGCTTTTGTGTTTAAACAGCGTAGCTGTGTCTTTGGGAATTTTAATTACATACCTTCTGAATGTCTACTTCAAATGGCGTACAATTGGATATATCTTCGCCGTCTCAGCACTATTAACATGTAATAATAATTTATATAAGAAGAAGAAAGTTGATATATTGATTCAGCATTTACTTTGTACATCCTCAAATACTTTAAGCGATGAAATATGTTAGCAATCTTTTACCCTCCAGACCATTAATAATTGTTTTCCCATTAAAGTTTTCATCGTCAGTCGACTGCCAGAGTCTCCCAGTTGGATTGTTTCTATGAGGAAGAAAAGAAAAAATTCTGACGCTCTCGCATCGTATGAATGGATTTACCGTAGACATCATGTAAACAAAATTCTTATCGCAACTTTCTGTTTCGTGAAACCACTAAAAACTTTTTCTCTTCTCTATCCTTTTCATTCAGTTATCTTCATTTTACTATCATCAATTAGTTGATAACGAGAAATTGAAGCGGAATCATTTGGAAAGCTTGGAAAAAAAAGAAGAAGTGAAAAGTATCCTAAAACTTTCACAGGAGTCAAAAGTGTACAAGCCACTGATAATTCTTTTGTTCATGTTTCTCTTCCAACAACTTTCCGGCTGTTACATTCTCATATTTTACACAATAAACATCTTTCGAAACTTGAGCTTAAACTTCACAGAGAAAATAAACGAGAATATGGCGCTCATGTTGCTTGGTACGCTTCGCTTGATTATGTCTGTTATTGCTTCTGGGTATGAAATCATTATATAATAATGATACAACCTCTAAAATTAAGGTGCAACTTTGCGGTTGATGGTTTTCATCTTTTCTTTCTTTTTCTTCCTTTTATTTTTTTTTTTCATCTCGTCGTCTCAATTTTCACCTCTCGATCAACTAACGAGTCAGAGCGTCACGCAAATGCCATAGGAAAACTCTTCTTTATATCTCGGGACTAGGAATGATGATATTCATTTTTATAGCTGCCATATTGGTGCAAAATACGGACGGATCAACCCAGAATTTTCTGAGCTCTCAGACATCGATGAATCATACGACAATAAATGATGACAATGGGAGTTATAATGAAGTTTATCTACTAATCAGCATATTGTGTTACAATTCCTTTAGTGCGCTAGGTGTTATGATTCTTCCATGGACATTAATATCCGAGCTTTATCCCATCGAAGTGAGTGATGGTTTTTCTGTCGTCTTAAATAAACATCAATATTAATACGTTTTCTCATCCTTTTCATAATATTATTCCAGGTAAAGGGAAAGATGGGAGGATTGACTGTGGCCATCGCCTACGTTCTAATGTTCAGTGTAGTTAAAGTTTTTCCCTTCTTTTTCAATTTATATAACATTGAGACGATGTTCTACTTATTTTCTGCAAGCAGTCTCGCCTTCTGTGCTTTCGTTTATCGTTTTCTACCTGAGACTTATGGAAAAAGTTTAATTGATATTCAGAATTATTTCGTAACAGTGAAACAGTAGTATAATAAAAACAATTGCCACCATAACTTAAATGAAAATATAAACAATTTTGAATTCTATACCACAAACTGTACGGAAAATTTTCAAACGCTTTTCATGTATTCTCGATCAGATTTATTTTTCGCAAGTTTCACGCTTTTGGAAAAGCAAAACGAACCTACATATCTAACGAAATAAATACTTTTGTTGCAAAACTTTTTAATTAATTAATTGTGATATTTATTGAAAGCAATTTGAGGCACTTGGCGTATCTCGTAATCGATTTTCTTTCTTATTGCCCTCAACGTGATCGAAGCTTAGTAGGCGGAAAATTCACTGATTTCTAATCTTTCTTTTCCCCTTTGGAGAAAAACCCTAACATTATTATGACAAACATCTTTCGACGAAAGGATAAAAGCCTCCTGACTGAAGGGAAAAACATGTCCAATAAGATTTTCTTTATTGACCAGAACGTTTTTCGTATTATCATAAATTGAGCATAGATATAAAAGTTTTCCTTCATTTCTTTCGTTTTCTTTGTTGACCATTCACTTGCGAAACTATCATTTCGATCACATGAACTCAGCAAAAATATCGTTTCTTCTTCCTACTTATCTGAAGATATATTAAGGCGGAAAATTTCCCTTAAAATCTCATGTCATCTCAACTACGCTCTTTCTACTTTGCTTCTTTACCACCCGCACAAAGATATCGTTCATAAGAGAAAGTTTGAAAACAACATTGAAACTTAAATCTTAACGATTATTCATATCGACCACAAACTATATCGACCCGACCTTGCAAGCTTTCATATTTTTCGAAGTAGAAGATTGTAACCAAAGGTCCTTAAAAGTCTTTTCACGACTGGCTGGTTACAACTCTTCATCCAACCAGCTTATTTCTCTTACAGATTTTTGTCCACTTGTTCTTGTTTTATTTTGTTTTGTCAAAAAAAAGGAGAGAAAAGAAATTTTCTCACGATGTTAAGTAGAAGAAAAGTCACTTAAACATCCGTCTTGTGATGAAAGCTCTTTAAAGTGCAAAGTGGTTACATAATTGAAACTTCAAAAGTGACATAATCTTACAACAATCCCTTAAAGCATAAATATGATTTTAAACTTGTTCTTCTTCAACAAAATGTTTCACTCTAAGTGGAAATTATAAAATTGTGGTTTTTCATAACGAAAAGTTTTAATTCTTAGACACAAAAACGAAGTTAAATTTTCTCACCGAAAAAGTCATTGTAGTGGAATGAAAATAAATGGTTAACTAAATAACTACGTTGTTGCCTTCTGTTTCTCACTATTACAGCGACATTTGAACTCGAAGCACGATTTGTTGGGTTTTTGCGTTTGTTTCGAGAGAAAAAGTTTTAACAACCCCAGCCCTAAAATAATTAAAGTTTGCAAAAAGTTCAAGTATTCATCGTCTGCGTTTATGATTTTCCTCTTTTCGGTCGAAGTGAAATGTAATGTGGCAAAGGTCTTGAGTTTGCCTTCTATTCACCCATTTCGAAAAGCTTCCCATTCAAACTATAATAAAATCACGTTTTTTGCACAAAAAAAAGACCCGAAAGAGAAGTGATTTAGGTGCGATGAAAATTCGTTCACAATGATGGATAGTAATCACATAATAATCTGAAAATCCAATAATCCATTTCCGGTTGTCAAACCCTTTTCCATCTGCGCCCCTTTTTTCAAAACAAAAAACGAAGCAAAACGAGTAAAATGTTTCCAGTACTTTTGTTGATATTCGTACAGATGTTTGACTATATTAGAAGCATAACTGAAACTTTCCTGTATTCAATAAAACAAAAGCTTTAATGTTGGTCAACTTTTTTATTACAATACCACGTCCCGAGAAAAAAAAAGTAAGAAAGGTTCAGTAAAAGAACTTTTCAATTCCAACAAAATCAATTAAAGTTCGAAAGCTTTTTGCTCGTCGTAAATTTGATTGCAAATAAAGCAAAAAAAAAACTAAACTCATGATAAAGCTTTACAGGAAAATAATCTGCACAAGAAAAGTTATGCCACAAAACAGAAGAAAGTTTTCTTACTGAAACTGTAAAATGAAGAATATTTTGAATCAACTCACATCACTGGTTTGTTGTTTTATTTTCTTCTTCACTTTCGATGTGATTTTTTTTTTCTTTTCTTGTATTTTGATAACGAGAAGACTTGTTACAGCATAAAAAAAAGTTAAACAAATCAGAAAGTAAAATTTCGGCTCCAGGCTGCAATAAGAAAGAATTCTGCTGTATTTTGGTTAGCTGTCGCAGTTCCTTCAGCGTTAGCGGGTTGGAAATGTTTGAACCCGTTTCTCTTCTTGAAGTACGAAAATTCTTTTTCTCCCACATTTTCGATCAGATGAGTTTATTATAAAAGCTCTGTTGAAAACGAGTTGGAACATTTTGAGAGTAAATCATTACGGATATCACTCCCACGCATCGTGGGTTTGCACCTGAATCAATAAGGATGAAGGATGAAGAAGACATAAAATTGATATTGTTCAATGATTCAATAATAGACTAACAAATTTTTGGTATCTACGTTCGTTTATTTTTTTAAGCTTCGCTCATCGTTATGTAAAATTAAACAAGCATCATTTCTCAGTCAAATGGATTCGCTTATCATGTCATCGTACAAGAACGGTTTCACTGTCAATCAATTTTGACTCACTTCCTGATGATTACCCAATGTTGCCATCTCACCAATGACGTGTTCAGCGATCGATAAAGAAAAAGAATTACTTTTGATTTAACGCCTCATTACACAACGATTTTATTTCTCGATGTTCAACTCTCACTCGCCATTCCATGCCATAAATTTACTTGACGATCGTTCGGCTATTTTATTGGTGTGAATAAGGTTTAATGCTCTTATCGACGCGAATGTTGGTGGTTATTTTATGAACAAATGGTATCATAAATTAGTGCAAAATTGCTTCACACTTCACATGTTAGAAGATTCAATCTCAAAACAAAATCTTCTGTTCAACACCATGTTTTGATGCTTAATGGAAGGGATTAATGAGAATCTTATGAATTTGTTTAAATGTCTTTGAAAAACGAAGACGTTGAAGAGTTACAAAAAATTAAATTAATTAAATTTCATACTCAAATAAAACTATGAAACTCGATAGTGGTCAGATCAAATGTGATCTAGTTGTGTGTACATAACTCTAATCTTTAAAGTGTAAACCAACATCTGAATATTCGCCAACATAAATTTCACTTAGAAAACCTACAAAAGATTTTCCAAACTTTGATATTATTCAAGGACTTGGTCGTCCCTTAAGCTCAAATCTGCCTCAATTTTGTTCCATCCCCAGACATATCTGCAAAACTCATAAAATGTACGTTTTGTAACATACATAACGAAGAGAATTTCATATGGGATTACTTAATTTCAATACAATTGACATTCTATGAAATTTCCTTGTAGTAACGAATAACGTAGCATAACATTTCCACTCCAAATATGCTGTATCATAATTCTCCTTGTTCGTATTTCTTTTTTCGGATCGCTTTTCCTTCGTACACATGAGATAAGTATCACAATGTTGGTAGTTTTCGAATTCAAAATGACAATAGCATTCCTAATTGAAACATATATACGAATTCGATTTGATGGAATTGTTCACTGTACGTCTCACAAGGAACAAGCAGCATCATCAGAATAGATTCTTCTTTTGCCTCTCTTTTCTTCTTTTTATTTATTTTTTATACTTTCTTCATCGCTATCTAAAAACACAACAATAGCGAACAATTTTGTCTTATCACATTTCGCTTCGAATCTTGAATGAGCATACAGAAACATAATACAAAATATATATTTTTGTTGAGCGTATTTTTTTTACATCTCCATCAGCTTTTTTGTTTGCTTTAATTTTTTTGTTGTTGTCCTAGTCTGTCTGTTTGTTTGTTCCTTTGCATCTGAGTTTTCAACTTCTTTGAAACTGAATAAATGTTGGCATGTTGTATCTTCATCGTCAAGCTAATGTTTCGAATCAGAAATAATGATATTATTATATTTATTTGTACTGTTCTTTTATTTTCGTTTCACGTTATTTTCAAATATTAGAACTTGCACAGCCAATAACTTTAGGGACACTTCAATTTTTACGACAAGGGCGTTGACGCCATAAGAGCTTTCGAAATTTATTACTGTCGATACTTTTTCACAGACTTCCTTATCAAATTCATATTTATGTCACTGACTTTTGTTTGATTTCACTTCATCCATTCTTGTCCCTCTTTAAAACTTCTTAAACAAACATCTTTCTGAATCATGAAGTTCCCGAGCAAAATCAAATAAAAAGAAAATGAAATTTTGACAGCTTTCAATAAAACGTTGAAAAACATTTTTTGTAGCCCATGAAAATCAAATCATTATTTGCTATTCTTCGAAATTTTTAATCGAAATTGATGTTATGTTTTTTACTTAAACTCGGCATAATCTGAAAAGAAATTTTTTGAATAGATCTTGTGACACAAAGGACGAGTGAATCCCTTGGACCATATTGAAGGAAGACAAAGCATGAAGAACAAATATTAAAAATCAATATGACAGCGATCAATCTTCAAAACCAGAAATCTTCCTATTATTTAAACATAAAATATTGATGGTTTTCCTTTCTTTTCGTCTGTTTTTGTCTCTCTGCTTTTTTATCTTATTTTTGATTTTCCTTTCAATAGTAACCGACCACTGTTCAATCTTTTCAACAGTGCGTTTTACTGATGTTGCCGAATGTCAAGAAATATATTGTTTAAATAAAATGATTTACGATGGAATAAAATGAGCAATAAAACATTTCCACTTCGCAATGTATTTTTTTTTCTGTTGTTCGTTTGCCTTTTTTTCACTCCCACCATCAACTTAAATAAAAACATTTTAATTCGGAACAATCATAAAAGTCTCTTGAAAAGCGAATAGCGCTGAGAGTAAAACCGCTTCAAAAATGAGAAGAGATATATAAAAGTGATAAAAACATCACCCAGTCTGACAATCTTTCTTTTTCTTTCTTTTGCCTTTTTGAATTCTTGAATCCCGCAGTAGAAATAAGTAATTCGTTGCGTGTTACATTAATTTTCGCGCGATGAAGATGAAAGCAAAGAACTCATATCAGATAACGCTTCATGCTTTGCATAATCAAAACGGGAAGGAAGAAAACAATTTTAATCATCTCATTCCGGTGGTGAGTTCCATAAAGTGAACGAACGAAAGAAAATATCGAAGTTGGGATATTCTAGATGGAACATGATATCTCTTTAGCAACACTCTGTGGCCTCTTTTATTTGAAGAATGTATTCTCTCTAAGGGATGAAAATATTTAAGGTGAATATTTCTGGAACGTGAGGTCTTCTCAAAAATTTCTTCCTATAAAAACCGAAAGAGCCTAAGTTGCTTTTAAAAGACAAATTCCTTCATAGAAACTTTCCTCTTAACTTCTTTTTTTTCTTCAACAAAATTTATGCTTCACTTTCTTGGAATTTATGGCAGAAAAGCATAAAAATATTCCGACATTCTTGATAGCTATAAAAGAGCTGTATATTGTATCATAATGTTGACTTTTGCTCTTCAACGTGAGCCACCTAGAAAGAAAGAGAGAAAAATATGTTAAATTTATAGCGAAACCCGTCGAAATATGCGAAAAGAGTAAAGGATAATGTTGGCTTTCCTTTTATGAAAGGAAAAATTTTCCAAATGAGTTATGCTTGCGGAAATAATTTTTTAAAACATTGCAACTTTACTTTGATGAATTTTTTTAACTTCGTTTTTGCCGCCACCATTCGTGACCTGCACAATTGTCGGAGGGTAATGATGTTGTTCGAGGTAGGGCTGGAAGCGTACACGACAGTTGTAAACTAAAACATGAAGTTTTAACATATTTTGGGAGCAGGGCTTAGAATTGATTTTCTTAAGAATCAAAACAAATCTTTGGATTAGAAATTAGGAGGAATTTCCAATTCTTCTCCCTGCCGAAGATGCTTTTACGGTTTTGTTTTGTCTACGAAGCTTCCAAATAAATATTTACCACGATACAACTCGTATTCTCTCTTCATTTCAATTAAGTTTATTATCTCTTTTATTCCTTTTATTAGTTTATTATCTTTGTTCAGTCTAGTGAACAGCAGCTCGTCCGCCACCAACGCTCGAAGGTAAAATCATCTACCACAAAGCATTTAATGTTAATTTATATCTATTTTCTGCCACATTACACTCTACATTCTCAGTATTGTTCAGATAGAAGCTAACAAAACATCGTCATGATTGCATGTGAAAAAATTGTGTAAGTTTTGCCAATTTGCTGTTACATTTATCAATTTCTCGAGGTTTCCAACAAAAACAAACGTCTAACAAGTTGTCGATGATGTTTCTTTACTGTTACTTATTCAACTTAACCTGTAGGGATGATTTTAATGTTACGTCACGTTTTTGATAAAAGAAAAATAAATCGGAAGAGTATTTCGTTTCATGCCAACATTTATAAATAATCTTCATAAGTTTTGCTAAGCAATGGTTGGCATGGCAATGCTTTGTGTCTGTTTTGTCATTTAACGCCTGAACGCTTTTCATTTTCTTTTCTGATTGGAAAAAGAAAAAGAGAAAGAAAAATTTCCGTTTTCTTTTTATCGAAGAAGCATTGAAAAGTTAATTAAAAGAAATGGACAAAGAGTGGCCAAGTGATCGGGTGAACTACGGTGGCCTATTTCATCAACACAATGTTAATTATTCAAAGGAAACCCATGAAATGATAAAAAGTAAGCATGTCTTCCTCAATTCACTTTTAATTTCCTTGACAATTTCCTTTACCTCCTGTCCAATAGCTTTAATGAATGAGGCTAGGCTGACAATGATGCAGCGCAGTAAGATCAATTACTTCCTTCGTCAGGGATCCGCCCTTCCCCAACCTGAAATGCCAACGCGTAAATTGCCATCGGAAGAGTACGAAATGCGAAGAGCTCGCGAGATAATGGATCGCTCGAGAGTTGTGAGAAAGCGTTCGCTTGACACTATTAAGAAGTCGGGGGTGTTAGAAATTGAAAGGTGAGATGAAATATGAAGTCGTTTCACGATGGAATTCAGTGAGAATTTTTGGAATTTTTATGTTAATTTCACGTACATTTGCTCAGGTACGTTCCCAAAGTGACATCACGCAACAATGAAAAAGCCAAGCAACAGCTGCAAGAAAGAATGTCGGGCCTTAAAGAATATCCCGAACTAGATAAACTTACACTCAACACAAAAGACAAACATCGTAAAAATGGCAACAAAATTCATTCTAACGATCGGATTGCAGAACTTCTGAATGAAATTTACGAGCGAATCGAGTGGCTAAGAGAAATGAATGAACTTGGCGAAGGTAAAAAACATCGGCAGGTCATCGACGCACAAGTTCGAATGAGATTACGTGAAATCAAAATAATCGAAGAGAAGCTGGAGAAGGAGAAGCGTGATGGTTTGCAAGATCGGCATGATTAAATATTCAGGAAGGGAAGAAAAATTGTTTTTCATTCAGGAAATTCAAGCACAAGCCAAAATTTATACCCAAACAAATGAATACAAACGAGATCAAATCTGCAGTGGAAGTTTTTACGTAATCAAATCTTTTCTTATATTTTGAATAAAAATTCCAAGCATCCATCGCATTAATTATGCTTAAAATGCGGACTTAGCTCATTAAAAATTTCAGTCAGCCCTCGACGAGCCTTTCCACAAGAGTTGTCGGTTCGATGAAACGAAATAATCATACGTCTCGTGAATAGAATTCAGCAACTGCTTCAATATGCTAATTCGTTATTGCTTTTGGACATGCGGCGTATGGCTAACAACAAATTGAAGTTTTGCGCCTTTTTCTTGGAAAAGGGACGATTGGCAATGTCAATGTTTATTTGTCTTTGAAGGCAACATGAAATTTTAACAAGCATAAAGATTACTTAAAACATAAATTACACTTAATAGCTTCTAAGCACTAATTACACGATGCCCTAGATGGTTGTTCAAATTTTTCCTTTATTTCTACTTAAGTGAGTTCGCAATTCTTATCATAGTTAGCAAAGAAATGTTAATCATCATCGAGATGAAGAACAGTAAACAAAGAAGAAACTTTTAATCTCTTACGCTTCGATAATGTTCCGCTTAACCCCCGACGCGGAGAATTAATAATTCAACAGCTACGCTCATTACAAAAATTGAATTATTTTGCATAAATATTTTCACTCCATAGCAATGACCTAATTTGAATATATTTTTCAATATTCTTCATGCTTTCATCCGAAACGCTTTTAAGAATGGATCAAGAAAGTAAAAAAAGAAAAATTTGAGAGGGAAAATGTTCTCTATGAAAGCGGATTATCCCTTAAAATGATCCCAACAAGCATGAAGTGGAAGGGTTGAGTCTCACGAAATATTACCATTTATAGCTTGAATAAAAAAAACGTCTAAATTTACGCTGCTGTTACCGAGGTCTTCTCAAAACATGCTAATTCTAGGAGTTGTTTGCGTTTATGACATTCAGAACAAGGGCAAATATCGACATCTGGCGGAGCAGTTTCATCCCTGAAAATCTTGTTTTAGTTATAAATTATAACTAGAATTTTATGAATTCAAAATACGTGACAATTGCAGTTAATTTCATGTTATCACGCAATACTTTGAGCCTTCCTACAGATATTTACAACGAACGGTCAGACTTTCATTTCATCCCTTCAACTTTCTTCATTTCGACAGTCTTCAATGTTTCCAATTTTCCATTAAATGTCACGTTCGATAACATTCTGTTGTAATAACATGTCAATCGTTCCTCCATTTATGATATAACTTTGAATCATTTTGCTTTGTTATTGGATGAAGAAGGAATTGGGGAGATGAAAAAGTTGCAAAACAAAACAACAAAAAATAGAAATATCGCATTAAGTGTCATTATCTATTATCGATTGTCTTTGATGGACATCAGAAAAACATTTTTTTTTCATCATCTCAGTAAATAACATTTGGATGACATGTCGAGACAAGAAAATAGATTTGATTATTCTAATTGATTACACAAATTGCCAACTCACAGCATCATTACTTTTGGTTTAAGGGAAATGTCACAAAATGTGTTCTGAATGTTTAAGTAGAGAGAGAGGTTTGTCGATGCGCGATAATTAAGTTAAGGATATTTCTTGTCAGATGACATTAATGATTGGGAAGAACGAAAAGTTGATTAAAATCTCAAAATATTTATTATAATTTCAATGACTTTAGCTTAAAAGATTACTTCAAATATTCCCTTCATTTTAATTAAATGAAAATTGTGGCACCAAACAAATGTTGAAATTGTTTTCAATTTTTTTTTCGTATTCGAAAAGCTTCAATTAACACCACCACTCAACATTTAAGGAAAACTTCATTTGTGTGGTTTCTGTTTTTGAAGCAATTAAAAATCTTGTTAAAAATATTCTTCGCTCTCTCTTTTCACAACAGAATAAAATTGGTTTTAATTATAATGAGAAAAGTGCTAAACGATAGAAGAAGCGCTTTTAATTTGGAAAACCTCGTCTAGAACTTCGCTTAAAAAACAGATTTTCATTTCTTTGGAAGAAAACGAGCAATTGCTTATGTTTCTGAGCTTCTCTGAATCTCATTCTACCGTTCTGTCGCTTTCCTTGCAACTTAACGCTTACACACAGATTTAATTAAAGCAATTTAATGAAATGTGTTTCGTTCAGAGTGTTCTTCGTACTTTTGTTCTAAATTATTTCTTACATGGCATGCTGTTGAAGCGTATGAAGCATTAAAAGTGTTTAAGATTCTCCTTTTTTTCTTTCCTGCCTTTATCAAATATTGCTGAACAGACGGAAATAGCAAGAATATTGTTGAGTTAAAAAATTAAATCTGACTACAAATACGAAGTGAATTTCCTCTGATTCTTATTTAAGCTTGAAAATGAAGGCAAAAAGAGTGAAAAGAAATTCGAGTTCATTAAAATTTTATAATTACATGCAATTTTTTGTCTTCAGGAAACTTTTTTCCTTCTTCGATTGCGCTTCTAATCCATCGTAATGGAATTGATATCTAAGAAGAAGAAAATTTATTTTCCAGTTGATGTTTTTGTTGCTTTGCATGTTGCCATTGGAAAATGAAAGAAATCCTTTGGAAAGCTACGATGGAAAGTTTGAGAAATTATTTTTAGACATCGTGCCAGTAGCTATCAAACAGCAGTTAACATCAAAGCATCATCCAGATCCCGCTGTTTTTCATATGTTTACTACTGAAACTCAAAAGAAACGTCTAATCCCACTCATTAGTAACACGCTTGTCAAGCTGGAGATGATCTTATTATCTTATGAAATTAGTCGTTGCTGGTATTGATTTCGCTTTGATGAAAATTCAAGGCTAAGAACGAACTAAACGCTTTCAATATATATTTCGAGTTCTTGTGGAAAGCAAAATCAGAGGGATTAAGCAATCTGACCAAAAATTGCCTAATGGATGGACATAGACGCAAAAGAAGAGAGAAAAAATATCGCATTAATCATTTTGTGTGTTTATCTGCGTCATGTCGCTTTTGTAGGATTTTTGGTGCCTAATTGATGCTGATCCCACCGCCACAATTTTCTATTCAAAAAACAGAAAAAATTATCCCTTCGTGATCCTCGCAATCGTAAACATTTCAGTTTCCACGTAACATTTTCTTTCAACTTATGAAAGGATTCTAAATCGTTAGGAATTCTAACCAACAACAGAGTTTTGTCTTGAGTTTATTTATTGTGTCACATAAAATGTTAATCACACGAGCTAAAATCACTTGAAACAAAGCCCCCTAAGCACAGACTTTTCCCAGAATTGCATTTCACTTCCCTTGTCTCTTTTTGTTCGTATTCATCACGTCCACATAAATTAATGGAACAAAATCTTTTTGAGCTTCTTCTTTCGCTTACGAGTCGTAAGAGCTAGGAAAAAATAATTTTCTTATTGAATTTGAAGTCGATGAAACGGAAAACAACTGCTTCGACAACCCTATAATCCAGTGGCTCAGAATTTCAATTTCAGTCAATAAAAAGCATCAATTGAAATTTATTATCGCGTGTTATGATTCTATGGAACAGCGCAAGTTTATTCATTTATTCTCCATCCAATATCTTCTGTTTATTCACATCCAGTCACGCTCACGAGTATCAAACGATGATGCTAACAAATTTAAAATATTTATGATTGAAACGGTTGTTGAATAATAACTAATTGTCTTTCAACGTAGTTAAGGTGATTTATGATCGATTTTCGATTAGAGAAATCCGCAGATGACAATTATTGTAATCGGTAATCGATGGAACGCGGTGAAGCGACTTGTTCGGCATTTTAAGATTCAATGACGTGAATCATTTTGGAGTCACTTTATAAATTCTCATCATGAAACCGAAAGAAGCTTAAAAGCTTTTAAATTTCTTGCTTCTCATCGTCTTCTTAATGTAGCAAATAAAAGTTGCCCTGAATCAATACTTTCGTCTTAGTGAGATTTAAACTTGTAAGCCTTTCCTGAAGATTGAAATAACTTCCCTTCCTTCTCATATATTTTTACTTTCAACCACAAGATTGTGAGCAAATTGAGCGTGTTATTCACAGCTACCGACTTAGATACATGTGCGGCATGGAAAGAGCAAAGTGTCAAAACATAAATCACATAAACTATAACATATCACGCTAAGGAATCTTTTATCTTTCTCTGCTTTCTCTAGCGTGGGAATTTCTCAATCTTACATTACAAAAATCGTTCTATTTAATTTCAACTTCATTTGTATGGAGGAGCCACGTTTTAAACTCACACTTCGAACATTCAAACCATTTCTGACATCTTCATTATCATTGCATTGTTCACTGTCACAGACGATAATGTTAGTTGAAGGAAACGTTTTAACCGACAATGGGATCTTTGACTTGAGTTGAGTGTGTTTACAAATTCGATTTCCATAGGAAGTGGAAATTTCTATTTCGTATAAGATCTCAAGAAAGAAAAAGGATGTTAGCGAGTAACATGAACATTCAATACTTGTCGATAACGTCCCACTTTTGACATTCAACATCAGTAGGTTTCGACTAAAGTAAGTGTTGAAGACTTATAAATATTATCTTCGGAATCACATAGAAGCTTCTAAAAGCTCTCGTTGAAAATTATTCATAAAGAGTCGTCTTGAGAGAAAAAAAAGATGTGCGAATAACTTCATCCTCATTCTCATTCTGTTAGCAACTTGTCAACATGATGTCGTATGCATGTGGTGTATCTTCATCTGGTTTAGTCACTTGAATCTATTTTCACATCGACAGGTTTTTTTGTCGCATTTTCAAACGACTAAATACGATTAAAATTAACAGAATCGAAGCACGTTTCAAGCATTTCTCTTTGAATAGCTGTGCAACTTGTGTAACAACGATTGAGTGATAACAACATGTTTATGCTTTTATTCATTCTTTTAAAAACTACTCGTGAAAAATAAAATTTAAACTTCATCTATAGCAACTATCATGACTACTCTTAAAGTTTTAACCTTTTTTTTTTACGAACTTTGCATTATAAATTCTTTTCAGCTTTAGAAATACGACCAGTCAAATAATAAAAAAAACCTCTACAAGCAGTTGATGCTGTGAAATTTAAAACAAAAAGCTTTCACAATGTGAATGCGAAGCTTTAATCACTGTACGTAACATTGGGCATCCACAAGTATTAAATGACTGCTCAAACGACATAGTTTTTCATTACTTAGCATTCGTAATGATTTGGAAGTAAAGCAGTTAAAAACCACTCACTGAAGCCAAAGTGCCATTACAAGCCTCTTCATACTGAAATAAATACGCACAAGAGTCGTTAGAGACTTCAAACCTTTCCACTCTTATTTCATTTACACAATTTTCCCTTCATCCATGTTTTTTTCCAACTGAAAACGGTTTGCTTCTTATTTATTTATTCTTTTATTTCCCACATTCGACCATGTTCAAAAAAAGAAAATTTTACCACGTTCAAGATGTTATTCTTAAATACATTTTTGTGGGAAAGTAAATTGCGATTGAGTGATTAAAGAATTCGAATCGAAAACGATTGCATGAGCAAGGTTTACAGTGTTCGGTTAGAAAATTGTTTAACCCTTGAATTCCCGTCCCATATCTTCCTTTTTTAATGCCCCAAATAAACGCCTCAGTTGTAGCGTGAAAAGCGTCCGCTAGTTAAACACGAAAACCTCTCATTTGGCCTTCAAGAACTTTATGAGTTGAAAACATGATTTTATGTAACGCCAATCAAAGAGGCCGTAGCGTAGCCATTACAACGCATTTAGCTTTTTATGATTCCATGATATTTTTATAGTTTTTTCTCCATCCGACGTCGCTTGTTTGCCTTTTTCATTTCTTCGATCGTCCCAGCTACTCTTGAGTTTCAATTAGGTTTATTATCTGTTTTATTAGTTTATGATAGCATTTAAAGGAACATTATGGCTCTGCTCACTATCTCGATTCGTACTCTAGCAGCACAACACATGCAACGTCCACATGAAGGGTCGTGACGCAAAAAAATGCGAACCATAAAATAGTCATTTAATTGCTTCGACTTGGGCAAGTAAGCTAGGGAGGAAAAAACCTTCGAAAACCAATGGAACGTGTGGAACGTTAAATGAACTCAAGTTAATGCTTATACATATCGAGAGATAAATCTATTTTCTTTTTTTTTTTTTCGGTGTCNACCTGTCTTATTGCATTCTGAAAAAAAGAATAGAAATGTGTTGAATATTATACAGTATAAAATTGAAACATTTAAAAAAAAGCTTTTATTTATTAGCAAAACAAATACAGTTGACTCTTCATAAGCGGAAATTGAAGGGGGTGGTCGTGTGAGGAGATTTTCCGCTTTTAGAACTTTTTAATTTAAAATGCTGTTTGCCAACTAAATGGTGGATTAACGCATGTAGATGTCTTATAAATCAGACTGCTATANGAAAAGAAAATATCCACCCAACATTTTTCATTTGATACTCAATGTAAATAAAATATGCATAAATTACCTTTGAAATACGTTTTTATAAAATAAAGTCTGTTATCGAAAGTCATAGCCCGATATTTAAACAAATGTTTTATAAAATTAGCAAAACTAAACACTTAAGTTGGGCTCTGCCTCAGCCCACGCTTCCAGTAGTTAATTAAGTCAATTCTAGTTATCGGAACGTCATTACCCGACCGGCACAAGCGGAGCTTAATTTTCCTTCAAGGATCCTACCCGCACGTTTTTTCAACGCTACAGGGCAGAATCTCACGGAATCTGCTGAAGGCAAGCTATAGGCATTCAAGCGGAAAGCTTGTGCCACTCGGGTTAGTTCGAGATTGATTCTCATTCATAATACAGTTGACTCTTCATAAACGGAAATTGAAGGGGGTGGTCGTGTGAGGAGCTTTTCCGCTTTTAGAACTTTTTAATTTAAAATGCTGTTTGCCAACTAAATGGTGGATTAACGCATGTAGATGTCTTATAAATCAGACTGCTATACAATCTTCGATTATAAGAATTAAATTTTGCATGGTTAGTACATTTTCAAATATAAACTACAAAGATTCACATGCAAAAGAGTTGAAATGTTTACAAAAAAAAGTATTATTTTGACAATGAATCACAATTTTATTAAATATAACTTAAAAAAGAAAGCGTTTGTCGATATTTTTTTCAAAATTCATTGTTATACTCAAATTTGTGACATAAAAACTATCTTTGAATTTTCAACATTATTTGAAAATAATCATACGTAAAATTTTTTTCTTTTTATTTATCTGCTACATTTTATTTATTTTAATCGTTTCTAATTAATATTTTTGCAGAAAGAATTTTAATTACCGCGTTGCAGCTTGTTTTTACTTCCATGTGCATCTGTGGAGAGAATTTTCAATACAAATGCACATGGTCAAAAGAGAGCTTGCTAGATAAGAAATTTTCTGCTTTTGGAGAGTAAATTGTTCTCAAATGTGAGTGTCTCGCAATTTATGGAGCTTTTCTCTTCAGAGAACTTCCGCTTATGAAGAGTCAGCTGTACGATTAAAATTAACAGAATCGAAGCACGTTTCTAGCATTTCTCTTTCAATAGCTGTGCAACTTGTGTAACAACGATTGAGTGATAACAACATGTTTATGCTTTTATTCATTCTTTTAAAAACTACTCGTGAAAAATAAAATTTAAACTTCATCTATAGCAACTATCATGACTACTCTTAAAGTTTTAACCTTTTTTTTTTACGAACTTTGCATTATAAATTCTTTTCAGCTTTAGAAATACGACCAGTCAAATAATAAAAAAAACCTCTACAAGCAGTTGATGCTGTGAAATTTAAAACAAAAAGCTTTCACAATGTGAATGCGAAGCTTTAATCACTGTACGTAACATTGGGCATCCACAAGTATTAAATGACTGCTCAAACGACATAGTTTTTCATTACTTAGCATTCGTAATGATTTGGAAGTAAAGCAGTTAAAAACCACTCACTGAAGCCAAAGTGCCATTACAAGCCTCTTCATACTGAAATAAATACGCACAAGAGTCGTTAGAGACTTCAAACCTTTCCACTCTTATTTCATTTACACAATTTTCCCTTCATCCATGTTTTTTTTCCAACTGAAAACGGTTTGCTTCTTATTTATTTATTCTTTTATTTCCCACATTCGACCATGTTCAAAAAAAGAAAATTTTACCACGTTCAAGATGTTATTCTTAAATACATTTTTGTGGGAAAGTAAATTGCGATTGAGTGATTAAAGAATTCGAATCGAAAACGATTGCATGAGCAAGGTTTACAGTGTTCGGTTAGAAAATTGTTTAACCCTTGAATTCCCGTCCCATATCTTCCTTTTTTAATGCCCCAAATAAACGCCTCAGTTGTAGCGTGAAAAGCGTCCGCTAGTTAAACACGAAAACCTCTCATTTGGCCTTCAAGAACTTTATGAGTTGAAAACATGATTTTATGTAACGCCAATCAAAGAGGCCGTAGCGTAGCCATTACAACGCATTTAGCTTTTTATGATTCCATGATATTTTTATAGTTTTTTCTCCATCCGACGTCGCTTGTTTGCCTTTTTCATTTCTTCGATCGTCCCAGCTACTCTTGAGTTTCAATTAGGTTTATTATCTGTTTTATTAGTTTATGATAGCATTTAAAGGAACATTATGGCTCTGCTCACTATCTCGATTCGTACTCTAGCAGCACAACACATGCAACGTCCACATGAAGGGTCGTGACGCAAAAAAATGCGAACCATAAAATAGTCATTTAATTGCTTCGACTTGGGCAAGTAAGCTAGGGAGGAAAAAACCTTCGAAAACCAATGGAACGTGTGGAACGTTAAATGAACTCAAGTTAATGCTTATACATATCGAGAGATAAATCTATTTTCTTTTTTTTGTCGGTGTCTGGTACATGTAAGACGATTATTCATGTGATTTGATTTCCTTTCCACCCACAATAAACCCTCAGAGACCTTTGTTCGAACAACTTAAGGTTTGATTAATTTCAAAATGAGCAACAAAATTTAATTTTTGGAAGATCCTCTCTTCACATAATTGTCCGTCATGAAAATAAACAAAAAGCTGAATGATGAGGTGAAGTCAGGCAAAAGGGACTTCTAACATTTTAAGCCTAATTAGGAAAACATCCTCGGGGATTTTTATCCCGCTTCAAATGCTTGTAAATGAGAGAGAGAAAAAAAGTTTCAACCAAGGTTTTGATTAACATCATTTACTGTTAATACAAGAAATTGTTGAGTTACTTGTTAAGCAAGAGAACAGAGTGAAAATTAACACTTCAATCGACTCTGTAGCAGGGCCCTGCCCCAAAAGATCGTAAAATCATCGGATTTTTAATTAAATTTTAAGTGACTCATTCAAGCGTATCAAATGAAAGTTTTGTCTTCTTTTTTCTCAAACACCCTTATTTCACTCAACAGATAATAAAGCCAATGACAAAATTTTTTTAATTAAACTTTTTACATCACTCTACAGTGATGGATAAAAAACGGATGAATGGTGACAAGGAGGGTGACGACTATCATAAAAGATAAGTTGGATGAAAGAAACGAAGCGCTTGTTATAACTAAAATCATGAAGTACCAATAAAAGTTTGTGGAATAGAATTACGTTCATAGTCGAGATGAATCTTTTTATTGTCTCTTTTTTTATTATTTAAAAAAACTTTTAATGCTTAAACATTGGAAAATTGAATTTTCCCAGGGAAAAATATTCCAAGAACTACAAATCCATTCAGCACTAATCTCAAATTTAATTTAAATTGAAAACTTTCATATCAATGTTTATGTAGATTATGATAACATAAATTTATTCAATTGAAATTAATCAATAAAGAGCTTACATTGTCACAAATCTTTAATTCCCAATTCCCAGGGAAATTATCATTGGGGACGACACATGAATCATACTCTTTACTAACATTCAATGGGGAATTTTAATTCGATTAGCTACGAAATCGAATTCCAATTAAGCTCCCACTACAACCGTTTCTCATGAAATATAAATATTAAGTAACGTAAGAGAAATTTGAAAGCTCTAGTCACAACTCATCCCCATCATCGTTTTGTATTTAGATGTGATAACGAGAAAATCAATTTACATAATTCAATTGGGATGTGAAGTTTATTCAATTTGTGTCTTTTTTAATACTTAAGTACTCAGAGACTGAGTTATTTCATTCGAATACAAAAATTTACGATCCTTTGTGTTTCATCCCTCCGCGTGTCAAACCGCACTCTTAAGCACTTAATTAATTTCAAATTATGAGGTGGTAAAATTCTGACTAGAATTGGATTTTTATTCCTGGTTGACATAAAACTGACAGCTCATAAATTTGCGCTTGTTTTCACTGCTGTGGTAAGATTCTTAAACATTCATTGGAGATTTCTCGCTCAAGTTTTACAACCAAACGAACATAAAAAACTAAAGTTTTACGTACTTTTTCCATGTCGATGGTTGGTTAAAGTATTTACAAATTTCACAGTCAGGTAAACAGTTTAACCTTTGATGTAAAAACATTTTATTGAATAAATGCATTGAATGGAAAGCTTCAAACTTTTTCTTTTCTTTCGTTGTTATTTACAATAAGAACAGCAAAATAATGTTAAAAGCATTGCTCGTCAAAAAGAAAATATCATGAAAATAGCTTTTTATTTACTGAGTTTGTTGACAACTTTGTACTGAAGTTTATCATTCACGTTTTTTCAAGCGAAAACTGATGAAGTGATTTTATCCTTTCAAAGCTTATTTCTGTTACACAATAAATCCCATTTGTATTCTGAAAACTTCTCCGTCTTCTTGCTTGAAAGTTTTATTTTGATTTTTCATCAGAAATTTCAAATTTGTATCTATTCATAATCAGAATCACTTGACCTTTATCTAGCTACTACATAACATAATTTCATTTCATTTTCCTATCGATTGTAGGTGTTAACAGCATTGAAATGTGTTTCAAGCATGTCACAAGTATTTTGATTGAAAATTAATCACAAGTATTTGTGAAACAATTTCCGTAATGACTCATTTTAACTAAAATAATGCAACATAGAAAGTTTTCTTAAAATTCATGCAAATTCATTTCAAACAGGAAATTTTATTCAGAAACTTTCAAATTTCAACTTCAATGTCATTAAAATTTGTTATTCAGTAAATCAGAAATGAATGAACATTATTAATATCGTTCAAAAGTTAAGAATCATTTGTGACGTAAACTAAAGCTCATTAAAAGTTATTTAATTTAATTAAAAAGTTATTGTTTCACGTAATTAATACCTGGGTAGTAGAAGACTATAAAGCATCGTTCATTGGGCAACAACTACAGGCTAGAAAGCTTAACAAAAATATTCAAAACTCTCGCACAACAAGCCCATAATCACATTTTGCATGAAATAATTAAATTTTTAAATGACTCACCCTATTAACTAGCCCAGGCGAAAAGAGTTACAACATTACAACTGAACATAATTAAAAATTATGCAACGTGGGGATTGTAATGTGATTTCGTTTTAATGTACGGAAAATTAAATTTTCCCAAGCCCAAAAAAGAAAATAAAAATGAGACACCAAATAGAAGGAAAAGCGAAGTGAAACTTCACTAAATTATTCACTCGTTGGTATAGAATGGCGTGGCATTAATTACAACAGAATTTATTTCGCTCGTTAAAATTTCAAGCATTTTTTTTCTCCTTTTAATTTCTATTCCCCTATCATTTCAGCTAAAATTTTCTCAGCCTCTTCTTTGTTTTCCTTTTTCCTAGAGGAATTAAAGTATCAAATTTTAGAAGAAGAAGCAAAATGAGTGTTGTCAAAGTGATTTCTTAGCTAAGAGCGTCGCTTATCTCTGATACAAAGCGTTTATGCTTTGAGTAACGAAAAGCTTCCGTCAAATTGCAAAAGTGATAATATTAAGCTCTCGTTTGTCCACTTACTGTCATACTGGAAAATTGCTTCATCCGAGTCCGCTCTTGAGAACCTTTTCCTATGAAAAAGCTTTGACAAGACGGAAGTTGTTTCAAACAAATTACATGTAATTATTTTCCAAGCTAATAACTCTCTGAAACTTTCCCTTTCGTCTCGTCTCAGAATTCTCGTGTCTAGGAAGTTTTTTTCTGTTGCGGGGCTTTGAAGTCAGGAATTTGTTCACTCACGATAGGGAAAGTTACATGTATAAATACACATTTCTAAACTCGAACGCTGTCAAAACCTAACAATCCGTGTTGAAGCGGTAAAAAAATCTTCTCAGTAATTATGAGGGATTGACGATAGAGATTCCAACGCGAGAAGGGAGCGAAGAAAAAAAACTCTTTATTTAGCAATCATTATTTACTTTGTGAAGGGAAAATAAAATAAGAAAGGAAAAGAAAACTTTCCGTCTCATTCAGATATACGAACGGGGGAAATAAGTAGAAAAAAACCTCAGTCTGTTCTCCAAAAGATTTGTCTATGACATTAAAGTTTTGAAGCAAAATAAATTTTCATTAATTTTCTTCTTGCACAGCAAGCGCTGGAAGCTGAGGGAGGAAACCCTGTGAAGCATGGTGCAAACGTCCTACGCTTTAATGAAAATTAAGTTCATTCGAGAGAATGAAATATCAGTTCAGACTGAGAACGAATGCTGCGAGGAAAACAATGACATAATGTGGCATGAAAAGAAAATAAAATAAAAATCAAAATTTTTATGTCTTCAAATTAATCTGAAGCTCAGTCGTGGAAGTTTCTGACAGTCTCCAGCATATTTTCGAATAAGAAGAGAGATTGAAGATGATATTTCTCTCTCTTGAGTTATGTGATTATGATATCTCGCTTAGGCCCCATCGGTTTAATTCCATTTTCTCCACTCATGCTTAGAATTCAAATTCAATTAGATAACTTTCGCAAAAGCGTTGGTGGAGAAATAAGGCTTCGTGATATAAAAAAATACGCATTTCATTCTTTTTCTGAGTCCTTGACTGACTTTTGGTTTTTGTGGTTGAAGCGCAAGTGGAATGCCTTGGGACAAGAAAAGTTAATTTTGATTGTTGCGTAAACTTTTACTCCCCCATGCGTTTGCCTTTTTTACTTATTTCCCTTTTGCCGGTGCCAGTAAAATTTTTCACTTAGTTTTCTGATTGTCATCCCTCATCAAAAAAAAAACCAAAAACAATTGAATTCAGTATGAGTTAAAATTTTTGGAGATTCCTTACGAGTCTAGATGGGTTTTTGTTTGTTGATCTTCCGAGAATTAGGAGGAAACCAAGCCAAACCATTTTACAATCAGAGAGTTCAGTTGGTGAACTTTAGATGGGTAAAAAAACTTTAAGTTAGTTTTTTTTTCATGTCTGCCTTCTTCCTGTAAAGTTTTTGCTTTAAACTTACTTATGCTGCTTTTTATCCAACATTCTACTTCATTCGTTACGATAAGAATGAAGAAGAAAAGTTTGAAACGAAAAGAACGGCAACATCGTGATAAAGCATCGCAGCACGCTTTTCTGTTGTATTGTTTTTGCTTAAACGATTTGTCAACTGGGGCATCTTCTCGGGGCTTGTTCCATTTACCACAGATAACTAACTTTCACTATTTATTTATGGGAGTTCATAAAAAGAAACTACAATTTTCTTCTTTTCCACCATCGCATCGTCCTTGCTGTCTTATCACATAAATTTCATTTCATGTTTCTTGTTTCTCCGTCCTCCCTTCTCAAGCATAAAAAAATATACGAAAACAGCGAGTTCATAATGAAACAAGAAAAGAAACATTGTATGTATGCCGAACGTCACATCTCTGTTGTTTGATCTCTAGTCTTAATAAGAATGAAACTCGGGTGAATGAATTTATTTTACGACATTTGTCTTGTTATTGTTCATCTCTATTAACTCGCTTTTAGTATTTTCTCTCTTCTAATATTTCTTTGTTGGAAAATTGTAATAGAGAAAAGAAAACTCTATCGAAGGAAAATCTTTCAACGGCGACATTTCATAAGAATCTGATTTGCTTAATGGTCTAACGATCGTTGCCAAGACGACTTTTCGTTTTAAGCAAACAGCAGCAATTTTCTCTCAACGAATAAAAAACATTTCCATGAATATTGATTGACTAATTACAATTAATTTCATTTCATGTTGCAGATTTTCTATAAGGAAAACGAAGAAAAAGTTGTAGGAAATCTCGACGCCATTGTCTCTTTAACCGTTAATAATCTGGAAAAACTAATTTTCATTTTTCATCTACTCTACTTATTCTTCTTTCAATTTAGTGAAGCTTCTGCTCAACTAAGTAAGATGATATAATGGAATTTAGTGATCTTAAAAACCCTTTCAATGATGTTCCAATATTTACTTTTCCTTGGGAGATTGTGAAACTCCACAAGCACATTAATTGAAATATAATATAAACAATTTAAAAAATTTATAATTCCTTTTTCACTTTGCATTTATTATTCTTTTACCCGCTTGAAAGCGAGATACAATGAATGATAGAACAAAACGATGGTGAGAAATTTTTATGGAATGGAAATTCTGCTACTCATGCCAAGAGGTTTGCTTCACTTCATAGCTTAATTGCTGCTTCAGAACATTTTTTATTCCCTTCACTTAACAACCATTGCAGCTGCATTATTCCCCAAGATCTCGAATTATTCCTTTCTCGAGCAACTATACAAAACCCAATTAGGGGCAGCGATTTTAAAATAAATTCATCAGAAAGATTTTGAGCTTCACAAGAACATATTTAAGAAGCTTAATTGCCTTTTCCATAACCAACGCTATATTACTTGCTAAGATTTGTGCGGTGCTTTAATTTCAATTGGTATATCTTCACCTACTTAAAGGAAAAGCTTTCTTGAGCTTCTTGCACAGATAAATTGATACAAAGATTTTTTCTTTAATTTATTTTACTTTAATGAGCTCTTGTTTGAAGCTTTAAGCCTCATAGTAATTGAGATGAATTTTTAATTTCTTAATAATACTTTGAGGGTGAAATCAAGTTGATAGATTCCAGATAATTCACTGAGTAATTAGGCTTAGCGGTTTTCATTTCTAAAAATGTGGAAAATTCAAAGCAGATAAGCCCAAAAAATAAATGTTTGAGTTCTTTTTAAAAAAAAGAAGAAATTATGTAAATTCACTGAATTTAAAGAAGTGATTAATAAAATTTTATATTTGTATTCAAATTGCTTATTTCCATAAAGTTGGTCAGAAACCGTAATGAAATAATTTTTCACCTCCATCAAGCTTTCTTTCTTTTTAATCAAACTGACGACCCTTAAAATGTTTTCCTTTCATAAAGCAAATTATAAAGCCTTCGATGAAATGTAAATTGGTGTTGTGATCAAATTACAAATTAATTACTCTTTTCTTGCTTTTTTTTATTATTAAAATCTAATTTCGGGTTGCGATATTTACACAAAGAATTTATTTAAGAGAACGAAAGCAATTTTCTTTTTTTTTTCTTTTATTTGGTTAATTTTTAAAGTCTGTCAACATTCCTTTCTATGTGAGTTGTATTGAAGGAGAAAAAGAAGAAAAACTTCCGAATCAAACCAATTAACTAGAAAAAGATTTTTCTTACGAAAATAGAGAAAGATGTAGAAAAAGGTTTCCGAATAAATAGCGACAGAAATAGAAATGAAGGCAAATATTTTATAACGATTTGTAAGCTTATTTAAGCTTTTGATGTAATTTCAATCATTTCAATTAAAAAGCTTCTTCTCGGAAGAATAAGCTGGACGAAATGTTTAATTAAAATTGGAATGAAACTTTAATTAACAATTGAAATGCTGATATTAACCTTGGAAGCTTTTGAAATGTCTGAAAGAATTTAGATGTTAGATTATGGTTTGGTATTTCTTATCAGCGAATTAATCTCGATGGCTTCTCACTCAGTTATTTGAGATTCCATCTGCCTAACAATCAAGATTCATGATACCAGACACCATTGAAAATTTGATTAATGAACGAAACCAAACTATGCACAAAGTGCTAAAAGTGAATAAACTTTCTCGTCTCTCGTCACCCGTCTCGTCAGTGATGTTTGACAATCATTTTAATGAAAATTCATTTTCATCCAGACCTTATTGTGGAAAATCCAAGACTTAATTTCTCTATTAAAAAAGGTTTTGCTAAAATTCTTTTAAACCAAAATGTGATTGCAAATTGTTTGCCACTCTTTGCACAACACAAATTGTTTGGGTTTGCTTTGAATTATTTGAAAGCATTTGATGCTGTGTCACTAAAAGTTAATTAAAACTTTCACTATTAGATTTATCTAAACATGTTTTGAACATTTGAAGGGGGGGGAAGACATTTTAATAAGTACATTATCAAGAAACTATTTAAATATTAAGAAGTTTACACAGAAATGTATACTTCAAAAGACAAACAAGTAAAATTGTGAGTGAAACAACGATTAGATATGCTAATGGAGAAACTAGAGGATGTTTCTATTAAAACACAAGAATTTTGTGCTTTTCAAAACTTCGTCTCTTCTAAAAGTGTCATCATGTATTCAAATGTCAAAGCATTTTACAGATGGGTTTCACCCAAGTGGTTTAAACATCAACTTTTCAACATCTCTTTCTATGAAACTTGATCTGAAAGCATTTCAAACTTTCTCAACTCTAAGTCATCTCTACATCATCAAAAGTACTCTTCAAGTTGGAAATTTAATGAAAGAAACTTTCCATAAATTCTTTATGAATTTTGACACTATTTCTATGTCATTCGCATAACAAACTAAATAAAAAACGAATTCAATGTGATATTGAATTTGTTTTTAAAACGTCATTAAAACTTGAAAGCACGATACGATGAAAAACTTTATAAAAAAACTTTTTCCGTGCTTCTCCCCTCAAAGCTTTCAGGTGAATAAAAAAACAATGACAAGAGAACTAATTAAAGGAAGAGCGCACGATAATTTATTATGCAATTTCGTTGCGTTTAAGACCACTAATTAAAATCAAGCTTAAAGTTAAAAATTATTTATCGCTTTTCATGTCGATTCACAACTCATAATTTGCTGTCTTCAGCTTTAAAAATGGGTAAAAAAAACTTCAGCAAGTTATTTTCCAATTATCTTTAATCACTTCTCGACTAATGACTTCATTTAAAAGTTTCTACTTTCCAATACAAAAATCTTTAAAAATTACGTCAAGAATGTCGTCTGTTCTTACTTCTCCGGTTAAATGTCCAATGCATCTTACAGCATTTCTCAAACTTTGTACAAGAATTGCAAAGTCTTGTTCGTTCGATTGGTCAAAGTTACTCAAGAAATCTTGAATACTTTTCAAACAATTTTGAAGATAGTGTCGATGACGTGCTTGACTGAGTAGCGGTGATTCCGACGTTGGATTTCCACAGAGATTTTGTAGATTTTCTTTAATTTCTTCTAATGCTTCTTGAATGTTGATTGCTTTTGTACATGAAATTCCAAGGAAATTGCAAGATTTAAGAATTTCCTTATTACGACAACTAACGAGATCAATTTTATTAATTATTGTTAACATTTGTTTACATTCTCTAAAGCCATCATCCAATCCAAGTCGATTTTTGTATTCTTTAATATATTTTTCAACATTTTCTTTTTCAAAGTCTTTAAGTAACTTTTCCATTTTCTCTCCATCAATTAGAATAAGAATGAAATCAGCGTTGCTGGCGTACTTTTTTGCTCGTAAAATTCCTTCAGACTCAACGATATCTTTTGACTCACGCAGTCCAGCAGTGTCTGCTATTACGACTGGATATCCACCGATATCATAATGCGATTCAACTATGTCTCTTGTTGTGCCTTCAATGTTAGTCACGATAGAAATATCACGTTGCACAATGACATTCATTAAACTGCTCTTTCCAACGTTGGTTTCACCGACAATCGCCATTTTCACACCATCTCTGAGTCTTTCACCTTTCCTTCCATCGACTAGATATTGTTTAATCTCTTTTTCAAGACAATGAAGATCCTTTTCCATTACTTCCAAAACGTCATCTTCGATATTTTCATCTTCTGAGAAATCAATAAAAGCTTCAATATGTGCGATGTTACGAATTAATTGTGTTCTCCATTTTTTGTACAAATTAGATAAATGACCGTCAGCTTGTATCAACGCTTGTCGCCTTTGATATTCAGTCTCAGCGTGAATCAAATCAGCTAAACCCTCAACTTCTGTCAAATCCATTTTCCCATTGTAAAACGCTCGTTTTGTGAATTCACCAGGAAGTGCAGGTCTCAAGCCATCGACTTTACTCAATGCATTTAAAATTGCAGTAATAACAGCTGGACCACCGTGAACTTGAAACTCACAACAATCCTCGCCAGTAAAAGATTTTGGAGATTTAAAATATAAAATCAGACCATTATCAATTAAAATGTTTGTTTCAGGATCTTTTATCTGTTTGAGAGTAGCAAATCGAGGTTTAAAGTTATCAAAATTTGTTAGTGCTTTAAGTGCTTTATTAGTATTTTCCCCAGATACACGTATAACTGCAACACCACATTTTCCAAATCCTTCAAAAAGGCTAATTATTGAATCAAATTTTTAATCAGTGAAATTTCTTTATTTACCTGATGATTTACTGAAAATTGTTATGCTACTGAACAAACGAATGCTTTCGAAACATTTCATAGTTTCTTGATTCTTATAGTTTTTTTTTATTGAAGAATTAAGCAAAAGCTTTAGTTAAAAAGCCGAATGTTTTGTTTACAACATTTTTATAAAACTCTACATTATGTATTGCAGCGACGCTTCATTTTCAAATTCAAATATTATTCGGTAAAACGGTTAAATCAATTGATTCTTGATCATACAACCAACTTCGTGAACCGAATTTAAATGTACTTGGGGCCCTCAACTACAATTTTTAAAAAAACTGAAGAGATTCCTTCAACAATTTCTACTGTTTATCAATCAACATCAATGGTTCAGTGAATAAGATCGTGTAAATTTATCTTTAGTATTATTTTTGTATTTTCTGTTGTGATATTTGAAATTAATCATGCCTCGAAGACCAAGGAAAACCCGAAATATTGCTATAAATTTCAGTGAATATAAATGTAAACAGATTTATTCAATTAAATGTTTTTTTAAAAGAAGAAGAAAGGAAAGCCAAGTTTAACGTTTAAAAACTGTTTATCTAAAGATTATTTTTAAGTAATTAGTTCCTATCGCTTAGTATTTTTCTAGGAACTGATTGATTTCACCTGAAATTGATTTCTTATCGTAAATTCAATTTTTCTAATGAAAAACATTTAAAAGTAGATTTTTAATCCCACAATTAGGTAATACTTATGTATTTAAAAATATAATTCAACAGATCTTCCAACTACTTATATTTCGACACGAGACATCAACAACAATGCAAAAACAGGAAATGTGATGAAAGCTGAATGCGAGTTTGACTATCCAGCAGAGAAAATTACGATGACCTACTATTCTGGCCATCTTATTTTTCAACCGAAGAAAATCAGCGTTTACTTCAAAAAGAAATTGTTTTGGAACGAAAAGATTTTATTCAACACAAATGTTAAAGCTAACGAAGACTTTCGCATCACAATATTCTTTAGAAAAATTCCAATTGATTTCTTTGACTTCTCTGATGATCGAATATTTACTTTCCTCTTCGAATTTAACGCTTTGAATGAATCATTATTCACAACAATCTACGAAGTTAAGTTACCAGTTTTAAAACTAAATGAACTGCGTTATAAGGCACCGGGTGTGACATTTCCTAATCCTACCGTTAGAGCAATGTGCAGGCAACAATTCAAAATGAACGAGGATAACTCAGAAGAGGAAATTCAAAAAGTCATAATTCTTGAAGAATTTCGTATCCTCCCACTTGTTGAACGATATAAAGCTTTTGGATATGTTGAGATGACGAATTTATTCCTCGATATTGAAAACTCTTTTGAATTGGATTTGCTGGGAAAGCTCACGATAAATAATTCATCGGTTTATCAGATTAGTGTTATCTTTTATAAGATTGACGTAAGTTAATTAAGTTATGAAGTTCCTATTGTCAATTTTTCTTCATTTCATTCTACAGACTCCTGGTCAGATCCCTCGTGCTGCTAGCTCAGTTTGTTTGACACCAATGGAAGCGTTATCGTCAGGCCTTGACTCAACAGAAATAAAGAAATTACAAATTTCCTGTCCAATCGTTGGATATCATCCAAAATATGTTTTGGTTGAAATAAAACGAAAAGCTAAAATGATTGAATCAAGAATCAAAGCAAAGGAAAGATTTCGTGTTGAATTTTGCCCAAACTTTGCATCTAGTGCAGCAGCACAAAGATCTTTAAGATCCATAGAAAGTAACAAGTTTAAACATTTTTTTTTGGATTTTAAAAGAATTTCTCTACCTATGAAAGCGAAGAATTCAAAAAACTGTGATGAAAAGTTTAAAATCGTCCAATGGATGAATGAAAAAGTTAAATCAAGTCATTCACAAATGCAGGCTGTGATAAATATAGTCAACCGATCAAGTTTCCCGTCTCCTTATATCGTTTTTGGCCCACCAGGTAAACTTAAATTAATCATAAAATTGAATTCAATTTAATTTATTTTTTCGTCAGGAACTGGCAAGACGAGTACGCTTGTTGAAGCTGTAGCTCAAATAGTTAAACTTCAACCATCAGCGAAAATTCTCATCACTGTCAACTCAAATTCTGCGTGTGATGAAGTCGGTCAACGTTTATTGGCATTTATGGGAATCAACAAATTATTTCGCTTTTATTCGCCTTATTTCTCAACGAAAATGAATCGCGTTCATCCCAAACTCAAATGCTGTTCGAATCTTAAGCGCAGTTATCACATTGCACCATCGAAACAGGAATTTGAAAGTTATAATGTCATCATTTGTACATTGGTCACTTCAGCAAGACTTCGACACATGAATTCATCTCACTTTGATTACATTTTTGTTGATGAATGTGCAAGTTCAGCTGAAGCTTTCGTGACAATTCCAATAAGTAATTCAATCAGCAACATTGCATATTTTAAAGCTTTAATTGTTCTTCTTGGTGATCCAAAACAACTCGGACAAATTCTTAGAACTTTTCATTCGGAACGTTACGGATTCAATTTAAGTATGATGGAACGTGTGATGAAGATGAAAGCTTACGAGTTTGGCGACAATGGTTACGATTCAAACTTCATCGTTCAATTGACTGACAATTTTCGTTCTCATGTTTCAATTCTTGATTATTCAAACAAACAATTTTACAACTCAATCTTGAAAGCGAAACAAGCAGACAACATTGCCAACTTTGCAATTGGCTGGCGAATGTTGCCGAATCCTAAAGTTCCAGTTATATTCCATGCAAGTTGGACGCCAAGTTCCGATGAAAATACGAGTAAATTCAATACCGGTGACATTTCTATTGTTATTAATTATGTCAGAAATTTATTAAAACATGGAATAAATGGTAAGAAAGTTTCTATGGGCGACATTGGAATTATCAGTCCTTATGCTGCTCAAAGGGAACGTCTGCAAGAAATTTTTCCAAGTGGACTTGAGATTGGAACTGTTGAATATTTCCAAGGTCGAGAGAAGTTAATTATAATACTTTCATGTGTCAGATCAAAAACTCCAACTGTTGGATTTCTCAAGAACGAAAAGCGATTGAATGTCGCATTGACACGAGCTAAAGCGTTATTGATCGTTGTTGGAAATCCTGAGACACTCGGAAAAAATGAGTTTTGGCGGAAATTTATTAAATTATGCCGTGATCAGAAAGCAACTGTTGGAAAAATTCCTAATTGGCTGTGGAGTAAAGACAAAAGTCCGACAGATACAGAAGAGGACAAAGATGAGATCATTCGACTTGAAGAAATGATGAATGATTTGGGAATGGAAGATTAAAACAGCAACAAACATTGAAAGATTTTAAGTCATATTTCAGTTATTGTTGTGTCTTAAAATGTGCCTTATAAGATTTGTAATTTGATTCATAAAATGCAAAAAGATTTCTTATCGAACAAAATAAAATAATTTTTATAAATATATCGAAAATCTTCTTTTTACATTTTAGTGCTGAGTTAGCTTTGAAAATTTATTTAAAATTTTCTGTTTATCACAATTGAAATTAACTCAAAATTATTTAGTGAAAATTTTATCTCCAAAAATGTTGCGAAAAAGTATTTTGAAGGTTCATTCAATTGCAAGGCAATCATTAGGAAGAAACTCTGTTCGATTAATGTCGAGTGTGGAAGATGATGAACCTCCATGCAAATTGTGCCCTGACGTCGACAGCGAAAAAAGAAATGAAGCGACCGCAAGTGACAGTACAATTGAAGATAGTCCACCATTTAGAAGTCACCACGAATTAATCCCTAAAAATCTATCAATTATGAAGACATTCGAATTAGAATCCAACTCCACCAATTTTCACATGATTTCCAAAGGTCATTGACTTGATTCAAATTCACTCATTTTTATTTCAAGAATTAATTTGAATGATTAATAAAATTTGAAATTATATCTAAAGGTGAAACTTTGCAATTTCCATAAAGCTTATCGCAATCCGCACCAGAACTTCCCAATTTTTCAGCTTCCTCAAAAATCTTCTTTTCTTCTGTTTCGAATTTAGAGTCGAACGATTGATGGCGAGATGGACTGAAGATATCAAGAAAATTATATTTTCAATTAAAATTAAGAAATTTTCTTACGTTAGGATGAAATGCGTAACTTCGTTGATAAGATTGTCGTGATCATGTTCCAGTGGATGTTTCGCAAGCTCACAAACACATTTTATTAAACAATCTTCATGATATCCCGCACTGAAAATAATAAAATTGTTTAGAAAACGTAAAAATCAAATAAACGTTTGTTTTTCTTACAAAGCCATTGAGTTTCTTATGCCTGAATAAAATAAACCAGCACTGATGTCACCATTTTCGTTGGAATCACGTTTTCTTCGTCGTCTTCGCTTTTCAACTGTTGTAATTTCATCTGATGATTCTTCATCATCTGATTCAATATCATCGCCATCAATTAATTCTTCTTCCATTTCATCTTCATTCGAATCTTCATCATTATCGTTGTTCTCATCTGCAGCCATTCGTTCGACGAAATTCAAAAGAAGATTTGATGATTGGTTCGCGAATGATCGTGCCCAAAAGATTGGGCTGTAAAATTCCGAGAGTATGTATGGAAGTCTGTAATTAATCTGAAATCCATTATTGACTGCTACTTTGTGGCTTGGAATGTAAGAAACTTGAGAAACAAAGCACATCGAAATCTGCAATTATTAAAAGAAATTCAAGCAAAAATGAAAAATCCTTTCCTGAAAGAATTTTACTTGAAGAACGGTGAACTGTGGAAACAACAACTTTCGTTTCTGTCTACTTAATAATTTTTCACCTTCAAGTTCATTGGAACTTGTGAAAGTTATCAAAACGCACAATAAATTTATTAAAATTATCTTTAAATTCATGATTCGTCAAATGAAATGTTAACCACACAAAAACCCAACGGGAACTGATCAGAACTTATTCTTAAACGAATAAACAACATGAAGGTTGAAGAAATGTGCTAATTAAATTTACTGATATTTGGAGCATTATCGCATTCGAAAGAATAAACTGAAAAGCATTTCTCGTGAGTCGAAGTTTTATTATTAAATTTAAATGTTAAAGACCATTCCTATCTAACAGTAAAGCCACAATTGTTATTCAAAAATATTTAAAATTAAAGTAAAGTTTTATTTCTTTAACATTTCTTCAGATTTTCAATCAATTCAAAATTTTTGTCAATCAATTTCATTTCGGATTCCTGATTGAAAATTTTCTTATCTTCATTTTCTGGTGGAACGCAACCTCGAACATTACGAATTTTCTTTCGATCCTGATTGATACAGTTCCAGGAGTGCATTTGTGGCTGAGTGACTCTTGCAAAATAAGAAATTGCTGGAAAATGCATTGATGCTGATTGATTTGCCTTTTGGATAAATCTTGTTAAGTTATTCGTGAAATTTAAAGCCAGCAAATGACGATAAACTGAATTCATTTTTAACAGAGAATTTTTATTATAAAATATAATTAACAATCATCGATTTCAACCGAAAATAAAAAGTTTGCTGAGTCAAGGAAAAATTTCAAAGACATGTCGCATGTTGTACATGTCACATCAAAGTCACAAAGCTTTGCAACCTAACACAAACACGTAACCAACATGTAGCTGAGCGTTCTCCTCTCTTCTTTCTCTTTTATTTTCACACAATCACTTTAGCTTGAAATATTCGAAATATAAAAGTGATTTTTAATAATTTAATTGTTTTGAAAATCTATTTTTGTTATCTGATAAATGAAAAGTAATCTTCATAAAAATAAAAATCAATATTACAGGAATATCAAAAATAAAAGATGAAAACTTTTGATTAGGTATCAACTTGTCCATTCATGAGTTTTCTTGTGTGGTTTTATAAAAATTGTTTTTTTGTTTCAAATTTTTTTACTCTCTCACAATAAAAACAACAGAATTTAAACATTGGTAAAGTTGTATCATCCTTAAAAAAATTAAAATATCTCGTTATATAGTTTCATTCTATTGGATTAAATAACCAGAAACAATGCCAGGTAAACCGATTCCTTCCATAAGCATAAAATTTTCACGATATTTAATGAATTTCTTACGAAAAAATGAAAATTACTTTTAGCATAGAAAATTTTTAACCTAAGATGATTTAGCAATTTTTCAAAGAATATTTTTTTTTTATTTTTATTTCAAATATAATTAACTAATTCACAATTTCATCTGATATTTTAGAAAAAATGGAAACCGACAACACAATCATTCCCACTTATGAAGGTGGAAGAATTGTTAAGATGGAAGTTGATTACAGCAGCGCTTGTGATGAAACAATTCCCAAATGCAAGGAAATGGCTAAAATTGAAGGAAAATTCAATGAAGCTCTTGATCAGTTGATGTCTTTAGAGAAGCAAGCTCGAATTGGATCTGATATGGTTTCCAGTTCTCGTGTACTTGTTGCAATTGTTCAAATAATCTTTGCAGCAAGGAAATGGAATTTACTGAACGAATACATCGCCATTCTGGTTAAAAAACGTTCACAATCAAAACAAGCGATTGTTAAGATGGTTCAGGAATGCGCTACTTACGTCGATCAAACTCCAGACAAAGAAACGAAGATAAAATTCATTGAAGCTCTTCGAACAGTCAGTGAAGGAAAGATTTATGTGGAAAATGAACGCGCACGTCTTACAAAAATCTTATCAGACATCAAAGAACAAGATGGAGACGTTCTTGGTGCCGCTACAATCATGGAAGCTTTACAGATTGAAACTTATGGAACAATGGATAAACGAGAAAAAGTTGAGTTTATTCTCGAGCAGATGCGTTTGTGTCTTGCTAAGCAAGATCTCGTTCGAACTCAAATTATTTCGAAGAAAATCAGCACGAAGTTCTTTCAAGATCCAGTACATCAAGACTTAAAACTCAAGTATTATGATTTGATGGTAAATTCAAATTAATTTAAAGTTGGATTGTGATTTGTCTTAAAATCTTTTTGCAAATATTTTAGATCATGATGGACAAAGACGAATCTTATTTGAAAACTTCTCGCTATTATTTAGCTGTCGTCGATACTGAAACTGTTGCAAATGATGCTGACAAACGAAAGGAAATGCTTGTTAATGCAGTTCTTTATTGTCTTCTTGCACCACACGACAACGAACAAGTTGACATGATGAATAATTTACATAAAAATAAGCTCCTTGAGGAGATTCCTATTTACAGGTAAATTCCTTTAATTGGTTTCAGAAAATTCTTTTTATAATTTTTCATTGATTTTTTAGAGAATTGTTGAAGCTTTTCCTTTGCAAAGAATTGATAAACTTTGATGCATTGTGTAAGATTTATGGCAACGATCTTATGAACTCGACCGTCTTTAAGAAGGAAACGGTGCATGGGAAGAAGAGTTGGGAGGAACTGAAGAATCGTCTTGTTGAACATGTAAGTGAATTTAATAAATTTCCAACAAATTTACTCAAGTTTCTTTCACAGAACGTTCGTGTTATTGCGAGTTACTACACACAAATCACTTTGGTTCGTATGGCTGAGCTTTTGGATCTCGACGAATTAAAAACCGAGGAATATATCGCAAAGTTAGTAACAAATGGATCATTAAAAGTTAAGATTGATCGTCCATCTGGCATCATAAACTTCATTCAAAAGAGAAATCAATCAGAAGTACTCAACGATTGGGCTGCGGAACTCAACAAGCTCATGAATTGCGTTAACAAAGCCACACATTTGATGCATAAAGAAGAATGTCTCAATAAACTGATGACTTAAATTCTTTCTTGCTAATAATTTAAATTTATTTTGAATGAAACATTAAAACTTCCTTTAATAAAATTCATTTTACAAAACAGTAAATTCTATTAATTTTTATTAATCGCTTCATAAAGTTGAACTCCTGTTGATTCAATCATCTTTTTGATCTTGTCAGAACGTTCACGATCAACACAAATCTTGAGGTATTCATCAAAACTGTTGCTGTGCTTCGAATCAACAACAGCAAACAGTTCTCGGTTTATTAGATTCTTCTCTTCAGGAAAGATCTTCAAGACAGTGTCAAGAGGTTTCGATGTAGCGACATATTCCAATGTTTCCTTCAGTAAACGATGATAAAAGAAGATGTGACCCATATTCGCATCATTAACTTCGAATTCATTTGCTTTTCTTTGAAGTGAAGTTATTAAATAACTCCAATCGTTATCCAACTTAAAGTGACATCTCGCATACTCAAGAACACATTGCGGATTATTTTTGATGATCAAATCCAAAGCTTGATGAAGTGGAAGCAAAAGTATCAACAAACTATCATGACCGATGAGATTCTCACGATTTGATTGAAGATAACTCAAAACTTCTTTTGTAATTTCTGATGTCACTTCACCAGAACAAAGAAGTGCTTGAAGTTTAATTAAAGTCATCAACATGTCTTTATCTAAACTTTTAAAATCATATTGATGATCAACATCTTCAGCATTGTTTAAAACTTGCAAAAGATTCTCAAACGGTGGCATCCAATCAAGATATCGAAAGCGTTCATCAAGGAACAGAATCGGATTTTGACCAGCATTTTGAATCAAAATTTCTGCAATTTTATCAAACTTCGTCACTGGCTTTTGATTTATGAATAAACTTGAGCTCATCTCATCGATGACTTTAATCAGCTGACTTTTGTTGATTCTTGTAGCTGATGAGTCTTGTGACGATTTTTTCTCTTGTTGCATGCTCAGCGTTTTCAATTGACTCAGATAAATTCGTACAAGAACTCTCATTGCATGTCGATGACTTGACACGCCGCTGTTTAAATCTTCATTATTCCAACTTAAATCTGGTCGACCACGATGATGATCATCTATTGATGCTGATAATGTTGCAGTGTTGCCTGATGATGTTGATGATAAAAGTGAAATGTCGGCATCAATCGATTTCGACTCGTAATATTTCAAAAGATATTTCTCGAGCATCATTTTTAGAATATTCTGACCATGAATGTATGAATCGTGTCCGAATTGTGATGCGAGATATTCCATGAAGAGTTTGAGGATTCCATTAAATCGAATCGTTTTTGTATTGAAGAAATGATACATGAGAACGTCAGTGAAAAGTTCTCCACGTTCATTTGTTGAGCTGGTGAGAAAGAGAAGCTCAGTGAAATCAGAGAAGCTGATGATTGACTTGTTGCATCTCTTAACTCCTCCACTATCGCCTTCAGCAGTTGATTGTGAACTGAATTCAAAGAAAATATTCCAATGACGTGTTAGTAAGCGATATAAATCATCTTGATGTATTTGTGCAAGTAATGAATTTGCTGCTGTCACTTCGTCTTTCTTCAGGAGATGAAGAATAATGCAGAGAATGTCATCGATTGATTTCTCGGTTGATTCCAATAAAAATTCATGAATTTTCTCATCCATATAATCACGAAAAACTGTTGATTCGAGATTAAGTTGTGCAATCTCTTTCGGCGCGAAACGTTTGAAGAGTTCAATCAAAGCATTTCCAAATTTTATAGATTTTCGTTCATTGTTATCAGTTTGTGGGCAATCAATTGAGCTTGCGAAAATTTCGTCGTATTTTCTGCTATCGCAAGAAAGTTGAAGGAAGCTGATTTTCATTACTTCAATCAATCCAATCGGTTTAGGCTGTGAAAGAAATTTTAATATTATTTAAAAGACTTTTTTAGATTTTCTGCTTTCTCTCACCTGAAATATTTGATTTTGATTTAAAAATCTTTGAAGAATTCCAACAATGTCAAGCTTCGCCATTTCATAGAGCATTAATGATTGTTGAAAATTGTTAGAGTTTCTAATGAAAAAGAGATTAATAAAGATTAATTGCAGTAAACACCAAAAATACTCACAATATCAAACAATCAGCCAGAACAAGTGAGGCTTCTTCCAATAAAGCTTCACAATTATTCCACACGAGCTTGACTTCACTTCCACTTTCTGAATTATCTTCTTGTTCAAGTTTGGCTATCATACTGTTAGTTCTGACCATTACGTGAACTTCTTCTAGCAAATTCATGTAAGCATTAGGATACTTTCTTAAACTTTTGTCAGCAAATTCTTTGAAATCTTCATAAATAGTTTCAATTGATGGATACTTTAGATTGTAAATCGTCCAGTTGATTGTTTCATCGAGACTTTCGCCATAAGTCGACGAAGTGTTCGCTAATAACACAAGATTCTCATCTCCCGGTATCATGAAATGAACATTCATAAAAGGCCTTAAATTGACTAGAGAAATTGTATTTGATAAATTCTTGTAAACTTTTTCTCGACATCCATAATCTTGTAGAATCTTCTGACCAATTCGAATCGTATAAGATTCAATTCCATTCTCACACAAAGCGTGCATAACATTATCATTGAAATAGACATCTACAACATTTGACGTGAAAGGATAAACATTTAAAAAGCACTTTGAAGCGTCAAACTCAGTTGAAGTTGTGGTATTGATTTGGTACAAATATCCATCTTGTTGTGTTGTTATAAGAACGGCGACACCATAAAAGTTTTCTTTGAACTTTGAATGCATGAAAAACGAAGAATTTTTCATATTGCGACACTTTGGATTTTCATAATCAATTTTCGCATAAAGCGGCTTTACAAACATACACTTGAAAGTGTCAACATTTTCACGTAAAACTCCACTAATTTTCATCGATTGAAGCTTCAATTGAAGAAGATTTTGAGTGGTGAACTTTGATGGGACTGCAAAAGAATCTGGAAGGTTGTTCAAATATTTTATGACAGCATTCAATTCATTGACAACTGATGGACGCATTTCGGAGTCATCATCCCCATAACTTCCTATTGAACTTTCTTGTGTGCTTTTTATTTTGACGTTAAACGAGTTTCCATTGAGTTCCGCTTTATCACAAATGGTTTGGAAATCTACGTCGCTGTCAAGATTGATAAAAGTCGACTCTTTGGTTTGTGGCATTTCAGTTGATGTGCAAATATTTGACTCTGAAGTTGTGCTGTTCTTTTCATCAATCGATTCAGTAATTTTAAAAACATGAAAGTATTGTTTACTGTAACAGCTGACGATGTCTTCACAGAAAAGAACTTTCAATGGCTCGAAAACCAATTCGACATTGAAAGGTGCTTCGAAGAAATCGATGTACTGAAGTTTTGTTGTTTCATTTGTGCAGTATTTGAAAAGAAAAATTTGAATGATGTTCTTGTGATTGACAAGAATATTTCCAGTTGTCTGACAACACGCAATTGACGTCGGGTTGAGATTTAAAGGAAGTTCGAGCATTTCTAAAGTTTTCTTCATCGGTGTGATTTTCCCAGCAATTCTTGCTCTGAGGGCGTTTGGACTTGATTGCTTTGTATCCCAATTGGCATAAATTCTTACATAACGAATTTCAGCTCGCTCATAATTGCTCATCCGGCTTTCCAAAGTTAAAATATAATTTCCAACTTTTGAGTAAATAATTTCTTTGACATCATCAACACTTGAGAAGGACTTGATGGCAACATCTGGGATGTTCTCATAATCACCGAGAATGTCACTTAACGGCCTCAGCTCTATCGTATGATCAGATGCTCTTGCCAATGCAATTTCGCTGTCGGATATCATGCATGCTGCCGACAGCTCTTCAATTGAAAGTTGCTGAATGTGTTGGCTTGAAAAATGATAAATCGACATCACACGAACCATTTTTGCGACCAACCTGTAAGACAAATGTATTAGAACTGATCCTTAAAAGCATCGTAATGAAAATTAATATTCCGCAGCTTTTTCCGCACCTTCTAATGTTGGTATATCGTGTTATAAAATGACATTATTTTGTGTGTTCAGGGACACATTTAAATACGTTTTGATATCAATTTACATTATAGAACCATGGAGAAAGTGGAAAAATGCAAAAAAGGAAGGAAAGAAAAAAAAATCAATAATTAATCTATTTGTCATAAATACTCACTGATTTTATTAATAAATATATCCTTTAACTTATTTATACAGCCTTCTACTAATACAACACAATAGAATATTACAACGAAGAGATCGAATTGTTAAATAATCATTTTAAATAAATTAGAATTTTTATGTAAACTTTTCTTGAAATTTGTGGGTTTGTTTACTATTGAACGCTGTCTGGTGGCGAGAATTGAAAAATAAATTTTAAATTTCATCCGTTAATTTTATTTCTATCTAAATAAAAAAACTTAAAAACAATTGGACAATTTAAATCAAGAAGCAGTATTTACATTTATCTAAAAGCTTCCCAACATCATTTGAATTAAGGATCCACCGATAATCAACAAGAACTGTTCCATGTGACAAATGCTTGGAAATGTTCTCTTTAATTTTTTTAATTCCTTCATCTTTGTCAATGAAAATTATTTTCAATTCATTTTCTGTATCAAAACTGCTTATATTTCCACCTCTAAATTTAAAAATAGATTTTGCTGAATGAAATAGAACATTGTCATTGTCCGATGCAAAGAATCCCGCTGACATATTTCGAAAGAAATTATTTTTCAGGCCAAAACTTTCAAATTCTTTATCAAGATCTTTGAAGTTCATCTCAGATAAATCATTCTCAATATTCTCGCTTTTCATTGATTCTAAAAGAAGTTTCAACTCATCTACAGTTTTGATTTCTTCATTGTAACTGTCACCGTAATCATCATAAATATTTCTCAATGATTCTTTCATTTCATCAGTTGCAAAATGTAAATCAAGCAATGGACGAATGCTTGGCATATCTTTAAGAGTCTTTTCTCCTTTTTCACCGAAATTATTCACCAACCACTTCGCGTCAATGACATTGTAACATTTGTCCTTCATGTAAGCATTTACATTCCTTGTTAAAGAACCAGCAATGATTGCAAATGTTTTCCCTTTTCTCGGGAATTCTGTTATATTTCCACCATGTTGTTTAATTATTTTCTTCATTTGTTTAAGTGAAGGTAACTTTGGAGTCGTTGTCATTACACAGAACTCTTTTCCATCGAAAACATTATCAATAACTTCCATCTCATCGTCTTCAGAATTCCGACAAAAGCCTTCGATGATTTCTCTGTTTGATCGAAGGGTTCGTCTCTTCTTTTGTGGTGCTGCAATGAGATCATCTTTATTAACATTTCTCATCACAATTTTTTTCACTCTCCCGTCATTTTCTTGACACATTTCTTGAAATTGTTTCAAAGTATCCGACTCTTCCCACAATTTATCACGGCGAATATTTGTGATTCTTGGAAAGCGAAATGTGTAACTTGTGTATTGTTCTGATGTTCTAACTAATTCAGATGCTTTACATTCAAGAACAATTGATTTGTCTGGTGGAATCCAACAATGAGGTTTCTTCTTTCCAAAGAATATTTTTCCGCGATTAAAGGAAACTTCGCTCTCTCCAAGATGCTCAACAAGATGTGGTTTGAGACTCTCGTTGATTTTTATTCGTTCTTGAGCTGTCACTCCTTGACTCACTTCACCAACAGCAAAAACATTCATGCAATCTTCGTCAATTTTCTCAACAGCACCAACTAAATATTTATGAATGAAATTTCTTGAATTTAGATTCTCATAAAATCCTCCTATAATAACGCAATCAAATTCCTTCACAACATCTCCATCAAAATAATCAGCTTTCACTTTATACCAACCACCTTGTCTATCGCCAGGCTTATAAATTGATTGTGCATCTTTAAGTACAATTCCTTCCTCTTGTTCTTCAACTGCAGCATTGAAAAGATCCAACATATGATCGACATCACGAATTCTAATTGGTTTTGTTTTCACCATCACACCAATACGATCTTCGAACAGTTGTTGAAGAAGTTGGCATCTCTCAGTGTAAGGCCGATTCATGTAACTTTTATCATTGTAAAGCAGAATATCAAAAGCACAGAAACATGGTCGAAACTTTGAACTTTTGTCTTTTATATTTTTGACATCGACTGGTGTTTCTCCTTTGGTGAAGTAACGACTTTGTTGTGTATCATAAACAAGCATTTCGCCGTCAAGAATAATCGAATGAACGACTGTAGAAAATTTAATCAAAGGTGTTAAAAACGTATTGAAACCTTCGCTAAATTCATGAGAATTTCTTGAGTAATAGCGATATTCACCATTCTTCATATGCAACTGAAATCTTTCTCCATCCATTTTTGTCTCCTGATAAATTTCTTTTCGAAGGAAATCTTTATTCAATGATGATGTAAATCTTTGACAAAGCATTGATCGTATTGGTCTGAATACTTCTGTAACATCAATCATTGCTTCTTCCGATTTGCCACTTTCAATGAGCTCAACGACTCTTGACAAATGATTATATTTGAGAAATAATTCATGACCTTTGGGATGAAAGAATTTCAAGACTTTTGTCGTTCCCAATTGAAGATTCATCTTTTTGAGGATCATTTTGCAAAGCCATTTCTGATCTATTGCATTTGATTGCAGAATTAGTCGACGAAGTTCATTTTCTTGGAAAGATAATTTTTGATTGTCACTAAATAAAGATAAAGTTCTGTCGACTTCATGAATCGATAATGTTCCATCGGAAGTTCGCATTTTCATGATATCATTTACGATATTCGGAAGTCTATCATCGGAACAATTAGTGATTTTAATTGCATCTGCACTTGTCTTATGCAAATTTAATGCTTTAATGTAAAGTTGTCGCAGTGATTTTTCTTGCAATCCATAACTTCGTTCTTTTTCTTCTTGGGATAAAATCAAACGAATGACAGGAAATAATGACGAGTCCTGTGAATGATGATGATAAGGAATATGTTACAGAAAAAAAAAGATTAATTCCCTTTAACTTACTGCTTGTGGATTTTTCTTCACATAATCTGCCTTAAACTTGAGGATCTTGTCAAAATACTCTTTCATATAAGAATCACGTTTTTTGACAGCTTTTGTGTTTGAAACAGCTTCTAGCAATTTCGTTAAATCAGAAAATTTGAGTTCTTGTGTGAAAGCCATGGATTCAATTATATTTTTAAATGATGTTCTTTAATAATTTTAATTTAATAATGTGCAAAACTTTTTGTTTACGTTTTTTGTTGCATTTCACAATTCAAAGAAATGAGGCAAAATTTCGAAGCGAAAGTTCGCTTCTCTTGATCGGTTTAAGAAAAATCGTTTTCGCGCTTCTGAAATTAGTCAATCTCCTTTCTATTAATAAACACTTAATCACGCTTTAATTCATTTTTAAACTTATCACATTAACAAATCCTTCATCAATATATATGAAAAATGTCAGTGCAAGCACAAGCAAGTACTTCAAAAACCAAACAAAAGTCATCGAATAAAAGTGCAACGAAAACAACTCCAGCAGTGGAAAACGATGAAGTAGCAGGAGCAATAGCTGCAGCAGTAGAAAACGAAGAAGAGGAAGAAACAGGACCCAGATTAATATCAAAACTAGAAGTAAGTTTGCATTTTTAATTGAAAGGTTCAGCCAATCAATGATCACTTCCAGGGTGTCAATGGAATTACAAGTGGCGACATAAAAAAACTGATGGAAGCTGGTTATCACACAATGGAGTCAGTTGCTCAAGCATTAAAAAAGAATTTAGCTTTGATTAAAGGAATTAGCGAAGCAAAAATTGATAAGTTACAAGCAGAAGCAAGCAAATATGGTAAGTGGAGATTTTTGCTCTCTTGATCAGATAACTTCAAATATTTATTAATCTACAGTTGACATGAGCTTCAGTACAGCCTCTGAAATTCATGCAAAACGTGCAGATTTGATCAGTCTCACAAGTGGATCACGTGAATTAGATAAACTTCTTGGTGGTGGCTTTGAAACTGGATCAATAACAGAAATTTTTGGTGAATTTCGTACTGGCAAAACACAAATTTGCCACACGTTAGCTGTGACCTGTCAACTTCCAATAAGCCAAGGTGGAGGCGAAGGAAAATGCTTGTATATCGACACAGAAGGAACTTTTCGTCCAGAACGTTTGTTACCAGTTGCTGAAAAATTAAAATTAAATGGACAGGAAGTGTTGGACAACGTCGCTTATGCTCGTGCTTTTAACACTGATCATCAGATGCAGTTGTTGATACAAGCATCTGCTATGATGTCAGAGTCACGATATGCTCTTTTAATTGTCGATAGTGCTACAGCTTTATATCGTACCGACTACTCAGGCCGCAGTGAATTATCATGTAATTTGTAAATTTATTAATTAATTTAATATTTTGACAGCTCGTCAAATGCATGCTGCAGAAATTTTAACGAATTTCTAAATTTATTAATTAATTTAATATTTTGACAGCTCGTCAAATGCATCTCGGTCGTTTTCTTCGTCATTTACTTCGTATGGCTGATGAATTTGGTGTTGCTGTTGTGATCACAAATCAGGTCGTTGCTCAAGTTGAAGGTGGAGGTGGAATGTTTCAACAAGATCCAAAGAAACCAATTGGAGGAAATATCATTGCTCATGCTTCAACAACACGTCTTTACCTTCGCAAAGCTCGTGGTGAGAATCGTGTTTGCAAAATTTATGACTCGCCATGTTTACCTGAATCTGAAGCAACTTTCTCTATCAATGCTGATGGTATTGGAGATGCAAAAGAATAAATAAATAAATTTTCGACACATTTTTAACTTTATTTAAACTCATGAATTGATCTTTATTAATATACATTGTCGATCAAATAAATGGCTTCATTGTTACATGAACAGACAAGCCTTGATTGTTTGGAACAATCAACAGATGTGATGGATTTTCTTAAACCACTCAAAACTGTTGAGATTTGAACATTTTTCTTAGCTCTTTCGCCATTCAACCAAGAGTTGACAGTTTCAAGAGGAGTTTTTGCTTCGAAATCTTGTGGAATTGTTTGAATCATGTTTTGTGTCCATTTCCACATTTCTCCATTAGTTGAAGTTGAGAAGAGTTTATCAGGTTGTGTTGGATGAAACATTAATTCTGTTATTGCATGATCGTGTGCGCTTAAATATGATGCAGGATAACTTGGTTGACGTAAATCGTAAACTGTTATTGAACCCTCCTCAGATCCTCCCAAAATCTATAAAGAAAAAATAATTAAATTTAAATTAAAATCATAACAATTTAACTTACAATATGTTGCTGTGTTGGATGATAAGCAATGCAGGTGACTCCGTTGGATTTCTTTTCATCTTCACATGAAATTGCGAAAGTTGCCGTTGCTTCTTTCAATCCTGATCTCAAATCGAAGGATTTCATGATGCCAAGTCGATTACCAGTAATGAGTTCTTTATAGCTTATGAATTTGACAGCTGTTTGTGTAACTGAATCAGCTTTTTCAATTTCTGCACTCAATTTTTGGCTTGTTAAAGATAAAACTGCAATTTTTCCATCCTCGCCAATTGAACAAACGCTATCGTCATATAAAGCAACACCAGTACATAAAGCAGAGTCTCCAGTTTTAAACTTGTGTAGATTCTTAAATCGTTTGTTTTCTCTTAAGTTGTTTCTTTCGATGTCGCGATTTATCCACACAAAAGAAATGCCGGAACCAGATGAGACGACAAAGTTGTTATGATCCACGACTTCCAATCCTGTAACTTCACCATCGACTGAGATTTTAGTGAATGCTTTCGGCACTAGCTCACTTTCCATTTCGTCAGAGAACTCATTTCTTATTAATTTCCATAATTTCACATTATTTTTATTATCTGATGATCCACTCAAGAACATGTCGGGTTCCTGACTCGATTCTGTCTCTACGAATCGTACTTTATTTATCCTTTCAGAGACGAATGAGCTGTTGATCTTAACTATAGTTTCATTCATCTTTTTAATTGATATCGGTTATTATAAGTGGAATTAAAAGATTTGTTTATTTTAGCGGCAAGTTTAAGATGCAAAAACTTTTATGTTTGCGTCATTTTCCGCTTCAATTTGTTATTCAAATTTTCGCTTCTCCTTTTAATGTTGAATTTGCCGGGAGTAAACAAACGATGAAAAATAAACTTATCAGTCTTTTCATTGTTATTTCACTTAATATATTTCAAGAATCCTTTAGTAATGAAGTCAAAGTAGAAGAGGATCCTAATGGATACATCACATATTGTCCATGCATGGGTAAGTTTCTTTAATTTGCACATTTAGATGTCAAGCATTTATCGATCATGAATAAATTAATTTATTTAGAATTTAAACAATTTTAGGTCGCTTCGGAAACCAAGCCGATCACTTTATAGGAGCTCTTGCTTTTGCTCATGCTTTGGAAAGAACTCTTATCCTACCTCCATGGGTTGAGTATCGGAAAGGCGAAGCTAAAAGCATCCAAATTCCTTTCAAAACTTATTTCAAAGTTGATTCTCTTCAAGAATATACAAATGTTGTCACTATGGAAGATTTCATGGAACAGCTAGCAGATAGTATTTGGCCCGTTAATGAAAGAATTTCATTTTGTTATATGGAGAGATTGAAATTAGATGGAACATCAAGCGGAAGTTGTAATGCAAAGGAAGGAAATCCATTTTTCTCATTTTGGGAAACTTTCAAAATTGATTTTGCTGGTTCAGAGTTCTTCGGACCTAAACTAAACTATGATGTAGTTCATAGAGGAATGGATAAACTTTGGAGAGAAGAGTACAGTGCAGCAAAATGGAAAGTTATTGCATTCACTGGCGCACCAGCAGCATTTCCAGTTCAACAAGAACATTTACATCTCCAGAAATATCTTCAATGGTCTGACGAAATTGATATGAAGGCTAATGATTTTATTCGTAATATTTTACCAAGAGGAGCGTTTATTGGACTTCATCTTCGAAATGGAATTGATTGGATTCGAGCTTGTGAACATGTTAAGGATGCTAAAAATTTGTTTGCCTCACCTCAATGCCTCGGATACAACAACGAGAAAGGCGAGCTAACGATGGAAATGTGTTATCCATCTCAAGAATTCATTATACGAAAGATCAAACGACTTGTAAAGAAAGTTAAAGAAGTTCAGAAGAAAAATGAAATTAAATCAATTTTTGTGGCTTCGGACAACAATCATATGATTGAATATCTGAATGATTATCTTCGACGAATGAACATTAAAGCTTTCAAGCTACCAGAAAATAATCCTCATGTTGATCTCGCAATCTTAGGTCGAGCTAATTATTTTATAGGAAATTGTGTTTCATCATTTTCTGCTTTTGTGAAACGTGAACGAGACATTCGAGGTTTTCCTTCTGAATTTTGGGGATATCCAGTGGAAAAATCACATCGCAAAAATCAACATGAAGAACTTTAAAAAGTAATTAGTTAAGCATAATTTATGTACAAATTTCAACTTAATATCTTTACCTCATAAGGTCCTTGTTGGAAGACTGTATTTAGTTTCTTATTATTAAATTTAGTATAAGATTTCATATGAATTACAAATCGAATTAATTTCCTTAATAAAAATCCAAAAATAAACATTCCTGAAAATAAATTTTATGACAAAATGAAATGAAAGAAAGCATTCTTTTATTTTTAATTAATTATTTTATTCATTATAATTTTTCAATAATGATAATATTTTTTTTTATTTTCACAATTTTTCGTCTTTAAAATTATTATCGAAATATTTTTTTATTTATTTCCTTTTACTTGATTTAAGAAACATTTCTGCATTCTATTTAAGGGCGATGGAGACTTATTTCTTCTTACTTTTCTTTAATTTATCAATTTTCCTTGCAATAAAGATCATAAAATTGAATAAAATTGGTTTATAATGTTTTTTGTTTAAATGTTTGCTTGATATGCGGGGGATATTTAATTTTATTTACACATTTTTGCATAAGCAATCACTTTGAGTTGTTTTTCATTCTTATTTCTTTTTTCAAAAAAAAATAATTTTCTTTCTCCAATGAATAAGTAAAATCTGTGGTTATTCAGATTCAATAACAGCATTTCTTTTGTGTTAAAAACGTAAATGTTAAAACTTTCATCTTTCAATGTATTTCAACTAAAAATAAAAACAACCTACATGGAAAAACTGAAACATTAAAAACCTATAATAATGATTGATTGATTCGCTTTTTCCATCGCGTACTTATTTGATAAATTAAAAAATAATCTTTATAACATAATTTTCATGTCTTATCAACTGAAGTTTTTTTTACTTTTTTTTCACCTATCGATCGACTTCACAAAGCCATTTTTATTGCAATCAATTTCTGTACGATTTTTTTTTACTTTTTTGCGCTTATTTAAAACGTGGGCAGAGAATTTAATTCATTTTTATGCGATTTTTACATCTTAATGTCTAGTGGATTTCCTCATTTTCTTATGGTTATAATTAAACGTTAAAGTTAAAATGTTTCTTTGATATTTGTAGCTTACTTTTGCAATTTTTTTCTTATTTTTTTCTCAAATGAAGGTTTTGGTATTTTTGGAATATTTTTTTATCGGTCGTTGACCGCTAAGAAACTAAGATTGATTGGATGGTCAACTATAATTTCCTAATTTTTGAATCCATCCCTTGTAGCTTCTCGAAGAGTCTTGAAAATCTTCAAAACACTTGCAAATTTATTCTAGCTAATGTGGGGATTGATTTATCAATTCTAATCAACTCTAATGATTTAGTTTCATGCATTTTTTTGTAGTTTTCTATACATTTTAATTAATTCATGGAAATCTTTTATTTTTCTTTCATCCAAAGACTACAATTTGATTCTACTTCATCATGACATTCATTCCGAGATTAAATGCAAGGATTTTGGTTCCTTATATGAGTTCCAATTTGATATTTTTCGTCAGAGTTTTTCATATTCTTTTATACAATTCGAAGCTTTTATTAATTGCTTCTTATTTATTAGAAAAATCTAAAAATGTTTTGCAAGAATTGTTAATTTCTTTTCAAAAGTGTTGAAGTAAAAATTAGAGTAACTTTTAATCGTGTGATTAACTCGATATGCGTGTTGTGAAATTTATTAATGTAGGTATTTAAATATTATTTACTTCTCATTATTAAATTTTCACTTAAACTTAGCACAGAACGTCTTGTGATTACTTAAAAAATTGTTTTCTTTCCTTTTTTTGGTATCAGCTCACAATCGCTGGTAGCCAGCAATGATTAGACGAAAAGGTGAAAGTCTTCCACTCGTTTATGAGATCGCGGACTCTTCTTCACGCTTAATTCTTAATATTTTCAGAAGGAAGTGTCAAAGATATTTTTTATTTATTCTTCACTATATTTACAGAAAGGCTAAGAAGCTGAAAAAAAAACTAATTTTTCTTCTTCGTCTAATTAATTAAACATTACGTAAAACTTGATTTAACCACGCAAAATTTAATCTTGCTTTTTACACGATTTTTCACTTTCATTCCTTTATAAACATGTCTTAAGTATTTATTTATTCTTAACCTAACGTTTGCTTGCATTAATTATACTTTGTGCAAACAAAAATCTATTTCATCATTGAGTGTTTGATTTTCGAACATAACTGAGTTCATGAAACGACTATTTAATTGAGTAACAGTCTTTGTTTAGGACATAATCAGAAGAAAAACTTTTTTTTCCTTTTTGAAAGTTGAATGAGAATCTTAATCAATGTTTAATTTTTACAAGAAATAAATTTTCGAACTGCTTTTTTATGACTTACTGTACAATTTTCAATTCATTAAATGTCTTTTCTATCATTGCACGTTATATTATTTTAGTACTCCCACGCATTTGACTCGTCGACTTCTTTTTTCACTTTTACATCATCGCCATTTTCCCCTGAAGCTTTTTCAATGCTTGGTTTTTTAATGAAAGATTTCTTGATGTCGTCTTCATCGTTACCTTCAGCAATGGTCAATCGAGAGTCGGGTTCGTCACCTTCATCATTCGACTGTTCCACGTTTGCATCATCACCATCATCTGATTTGAAATCTGATGATTGATTCATTACGCAGACTCCATTAATAATGACTTCTTTATCATCAGCGATGTTCTTCTTAGTGTCGTCGCGCCAATCACCTGGATTCACTATAAAGAGTCAGGAATCAGTCAGTTTGAATGTTGGACATCAGAAAATCCATCAACTTACTTGTAATAAGTGGATTGACCCATTGTGGTGCTGCTGGTTTCCTTCTTGATGTTCGCGAGATTGCTTGTGGTGGTGGTGACATGTCTTTACCATGATCGTTATTATTATTGTGACGAGAATCTGAAAGTGATTCGTTATCATCGTCATTTCCACCTTCGTTGTCTGAGTTCTGATCCATATCATCGTAATCATCATCATCACGTTTCAATGATGTCATCGAGAGATCCAAGCCCATAATTTGTTCTTTAACAGCATTGTTTAAAGCTGCAAGTTGTTCTGCATCAGTTCCACTCAACAATCCACGACCAATCAAAGCAGCAAGATTAGGATTTGCAGCAAAATATGGTGGATAAGGTAAAGCCATACCACCAAGTCCCATTCGTTCCTTTTGAATCTCCATCAATCTTTGATTCAATAGAATTCTGAATTGAACGGGATCGAATGGAGCGCCAGATTGATTTTCACGTGATGGAATTGGTTCACTTGGTTGACCATGCGGCACTTGTTGCTTTAGACGCATGCGATGATTATGGAACCAATTGGTGATTGTTCTTGTTGATAAATTAAGTTCATTTGCCAAGAATTCAATTGTTTGAACATTTGGATATGGATCGAGTGCAAATGCAAGTCTCAAAGCTTCTTTTTGTTCTTCAGAAAACAACACGCGCTGTTTCTTATTTGGTGGTGCCGATTGTGATGTCACTGAAGCTGGACCTGGTGAGTTTGAATGATAAAACTCCGATGTATCATTGCTACTGGTGTCAGAACTGTTGTCATGACCACCCGTACCTGTTGAACGTCGTCGTTTGATTGCTTCTCGTCTTTCATTCTTCAGAAGTTGTAAACGTTCAACATTGTTAGCATCGTTCAACCACAACTGCATTCGAATGAATGGTTCACGTCCCTTGATACTCAACATATGCCAAGGCTTTGGCTTCGAAAGTAATTCCGATACAGAACCTTGCGACAATCCTAAAACAGCTTCACCGAAAATCTTCTGTCCAATATTATTCGCAAGCAGAGCTTCTTTGATCTTTGTTGTGATGACTTGAGTGTCCAAATCTTGTGTAAGTGCAGCCATCTCATAGACAGTTGGTGAGATATGTTGACTCATGTTACGCATAACATTTGCTGATGATGGCGGTTGCGGTGTGTCGGGATGTTGTGGCGAATGAATTGGCATCATCTTCTTATCATTTTGAGACTTTTGATCTTTAGGTGGCAATTGAATTGCATGTTGAGGTGGAAGACCAGGTGGTGTCAATAACAAAGGATGTGCATCTCTCATTTGTTGCTGTTGTTGATGATGTTGTTGTTGCTGATGTTGTTGTTGCTGCTGCTGTTGCTGTTGTTGAGCAACAGCTTGTGACAAATGTGCCATTTGACTCATCTGCATATGAAGCAACGCTGGATCTTGAAGTTTTGCCATTTGTTCGCTTAGAAGTTTCGGCATTGGTGGCATTTGTTTTGAAAGTTGGGCAGGAATTTGAGGGTTTGAGCTGTAATTACCAGTTCGCATAAGCTTGTCAGGTGCAATCTTATATTGACTTGCAACAAGCTTATGAACTGCGTTGTCATCTTCTAAGAACATCTTCATGCGAATGAATGGTTCGCGACCTTTCTGAGTTAACATATGCCAAGGCTTTGGACGCGCAAGAAGATCGGAAACTGAACCTTGTGACAATCCCAACACAGATTCACCAAACAATCTCTGACTGATTGAGTATTGCGACAATGCTTCTTTAACACGTCGTACGATGTCTTCGGTGTTTAGATTGTTGTACAAATCGAACTGTTGTTGAGTGATTGGTGGTAAAACAGCTTTCAATGGACGTTGTGGTGATGAATGATGTGACGGAACGGGCGATTGTGACATCAGAGAATTAGTGATAGAAGCCATTCTTTGAAGTGGACTTGCAGCAACTGAGAAGTCATCGGTTGGTGTGACTGGTGGCAAAATTGTGTTGCTGATTGGACTTGGAGCTGATGAAGCTGTTGTCGTTGGTGTTGAAGTAGGTTCTGGTTTAGGCTTCACCATACTGAAAGCACTTCGCATAGATTCTTCAAGATCTTTGTTGTTCTCATTATCACTTTCAGATGACAACCCATTTGACTTTCCCATCTGCTTTGGGTCTTTTGGTATCGATAAATCTTGAATGGAAGCACCGTTCAGTGCTTGCTGGTGTTGCAATGCAAGAAGACTTGTTAGATTGTTAGTAAAGTTGGGAATACCAGCTCCACTTTGCTGTTGTAACTTTGAAAATTCTCGTTGATACATTTCTAATGCAAGACGAATATTTTCATCGGCAAGCGGTGGCATGCCAGCAGCACTAAAAAAGTGTGGAAACAGAATACTAAAATTAATTATAGAATAATCTGCGATCGTGCAAATTTAATTTCATTCTTACTTGGGAAATGTGTCTCGTTGACCACGTGCCATAATTTTATGAAACTCTTCTTGATAAATCTTTTGAAGTTTCTCTTCGGAGATGTCATCATTTTCATATTTTTTCATGTTTCTCTTGGAGAATGGTGACGTGCAGTTTGGTGGTGACTTTGAGTCTTCAATGCTATGAGAATCTTCAAGGTGTTTCATGGGAATTGAATTATGCAAGTTGTTTTGTTGTGGCGATGGTTTTTGTATCATACTTGATGCTTCCGTTAAGATGTGATGAATGCGATCATCATTTAAATCACCTGAATCTGGTCGTCCAAATTGTGGCATGCCCGATTCTGGACCTGTAAAGTTGTACGAAATCCGTTATCGAGAAAATGACAAAAATCTTTCTACGGTTGACATCACAAGTCAATGTCTAAGAATCATTTATAACTTGATCTTGTTGATGAATATTAATTAACATGTTAAACTCCAGTAGACAAACGTATTGAACCGTCACGAGTGTGGGACGATAATGACCAAACCATACCCAATAAAAAAAAACGAATAATATAAAAACTTCAGCAATGATACTTTTTTTCCATCATTAGCTACATTCGAATTATTGAAAGAATGGTAAAAAATAATGAAATAATGATCAACATCAGCGGTAAATGATGCGTGATGTGATGCTATCCGAGCAGTTGATTGTTTCTTTTTTTCTTTTTTTGGTTAACTACGAAATGAGTCAAAATCCGAAAACGAGAAGAGTTCTGGGAACATTTTTAGGGTCTCGTATCGAAGTTCAACATTTGCTTCTTGAGTCATTAAGTTTCATAAAGATTTTTTTTCTTCTTCTTTTAACATGATTCAATTGTTCAATTGATGGATATCGTTTTTTCGGTAAAGAACAATGAAGATTAAGAACGCAAGAGTATCAATCAAATTATCCATGAGAGCGAGGGAATATTTTTTTTATTATTCATTAAATGGATCACGCGACATCTCGCTTACTGAATGTGTCATAAAAGGAGAGTTTGTAAAATATTAATCAACACAAATATCAAATACAAAGGAGAAGAAGAACATTGCGTGATTCGATCCCGAATCTGAAATGATGGACACTCAGACTCAAGACTTTGAATATTTATGAAAACCAATGATAATGTTACTCAATTTCTCCGAAGATAATTTCACGTTTCTATTGATGAGTAAAAATCAACTTTTTTTTTCTGGTTGGTGAGGGGAATCTTATGGAACGACACGAATTACCCTCGGGTGCAATGAAAACATTTTCAGCCTCTCAGAAATTCATCATCATTAATGGAAATTTTTTTCATGTTGTTTATGATACACACAATTACACAATTGCTTTTATTTGCAAAACATCAGAATAAAGATGAAGATATATAAAAGTTCGAGAGTACCTTGCAGCATCTTTAGCAATCATCATCGTTTTTTTACTCATCCCGATGAGGATGAATTCTTTGGAATGACAGAAATGGAGGGAACACAAAATGCACTTCGTTGTCTTTGCTTTTAATTTTTTATTCATTTCTCTTAGTTACACGAGGCTTTCATTGAATCGAATGCTTAAAGGAATTTAATTATTTTGACATAACAAAAATTGTTTGCATTGTTCTTTCCTCCGCTTCATTTCTATAATTTAAAACAAATAAAAATCACAAATTCTTATTCAGATCATTTCAAGTTATCATTGAAGGCTGAAAGATGACAATATAAATGACGTCAGTGTTTGTTGTTCGCGTTGAAAATCAAGGAAATTGATATAAAAATTTCATTCATGTTGAAAGTTAAATAAACGGTTCCATTGAAACTCTACACCCGTCCCTACCTAGTTGTTATTCTTTCGACACATACCTTTAATTAGAATCCAATTAATTATCAGTCACAACTCCCTCCCATGCAATTTTCGACGTGCGTGAAATGATATCGTTTGAATATGTTTCTGTTCATCAAGTCAATTTTATCCATTCAGCAATCATCTTCACATAATTACAACTATCGCTCGATTTTCCACAATATTTATATTTTTTTCTATTTCCTCCCCAGTACGCAACTTTTAATGTGTTTTCCCCATGTTGGTGTCTCTATTAAAGTTTATGCCCTTTTCATTACCATTTCCCGATAATTACAATGTTCAGCAATTTCATGTTTACCATCGACATTAACGTTCAACAGGAAAAGAAGAAGAAAAACATTTTTCATGTGCTTTATTGAATTTATGGTTTTTAATAGTTTCCATTTTCAGTGTTTTCTTGCTTGAGGGAAATCAATTAATAGAACAACGATGGAAAACAAAGAACTTATATGAAGGACACTACCAACATATCGTTGATTGTTCTGATTGTTAAGCTTTTAATAACATGCTTTCTTCAAATAAAATAAAGTAGAAAATAAGCAAGAAATATTTAAAGCCTTGATAATTGTTTTTCCTGCTTCAACTTTCAAGAAAAACGAAAAGAAAATTTATAAACTTTTCAAAGATTTTTAATTTGAAAATTTCCCTGAAGAAAGAAAACGATGAGAAGGAGATTGAATTTACGGTCGAATTTCCTCGGCAATCATTTCATTCTTTTTTATTTATCCATCTTTGGGTAATGCCATTATTTCTTAATTTGCACTTTGTATCGTTTTCCATCCCTCAACGCCGATATTCAAATTTTTTCACGGTTTTTTTTCTTCTTACTTTTCGTGCTATTTTGAGGCAACGGAAAATTACAATAATTGAATATTATTTCAGTCTCTCTTCACTGAGAACGAATTTATTTTATAGCCATTACAAAATATATTCTATTTCTTTTTTTAAATATCTTCTAGGGTTGCATGATAACACTTTTGGCATTATTCTCTTTCCAATTTGAATTTTCCACCTGCGACATCCCTAATTAACATTTCTTGTATTCTTTCTTGTTGCAGTTTATGTTGAGGTAAGAGAATGAATTATAATTTATTCACCCTGCTAGAGGATTGAATTTTTTAATCGATTTTGTATTAATAATCCAAAGTTGCGCAATGGCGGACGGAAAGAAAGTAAAAAAAATTATTATAAAATATAATAAAATTAAATTTATGATCGTGATATAACCCCCTACGAAGCGATTTTCTTGCTCACTCTGCTCTCGATAATGCGGTCGACAATAAATAATAATTTTTCCTTTTCTCACATTCTACTGACTGCTTTCTTATACCTGTTTTCTCATAAGCTTATTGCTTTCTGTATTTTACTTTGCACAAGCGAAGTTAAAAAATATTCAAATGAATTTTTTTGTTGAATGAAACAATATTTAGCAATAAGCGATATAAATAGTAAATTTCTTCATCCCTTCTTTGTTTTATCGCAACGCAATCCACCCACGCGAACGTAATAACACCTTCTATTTTCAATTACCATTTCTTGAACACTCATTCCAACAAATAATTCCTTTATTTGCATACATATTTTCCAAACCGATTTTCACTCTGATGTGAATTCAGAATAAGTGATGAAAGGATGGAAAGGGAAATTGAGAATCTTTTTAACACATTTTAAGTGCATTTTGCAGAAGAACAGAGAACGGAACTGCATTGAAGTTTTCAAAAGCATCTTCATGTCTTGTAGTAGCAATCTATTGAAATACTCTGTCAATTTCAATAATTAGAATTCAAGATACGTGTGAATGCATTTGGTGTACAATTAAACATTTTTTTCCCGTTTCTTTTAAGTGCCTCCGGTGACAACAACGGAGAATATCAGGAAGAAGATAACTTTGCACTGCAAAGAGAGTTATTGGATATGATGATGGCAGTTTGAGTGATTACATTTCTACTTATCATTGTCACTCGTGTTAAAAATATTCTATAGAAAATCGTGATTAAGTATCAAAAGGATTTTTTTATGTGGAAAATCAGGAAAATCCATTACTGTTATGTTTATGCTGTTTCCCATTCTATGGTTTCCAGCGCAACGAAATTTAACTTAGCTTTTCTTCACGACAACTTTGAATAACTTTCATATTCAATTCACAAGAAACTAGTCGCTAATGATCGCATTTAACATTCTGAGAAATGAATTTTGACGGCTTTCCGATTTCTCCCATCAAAAGCCAAAGCTATAAGAAAGGAAACAAGCACGAATTCTGTATAACTCGATGGGAGAATTGTATTTTTAGAAAAATTATTCGAAAATATTGTTCACTTCTAATTGTGAAAATATGGAAATTTTTGTGAGACTCCCTCAAGCAACGAAATTGTTGTTTCGCGCAAATCAATCCATTGTATTTGGTTTTTATTACATCCGTGATTTACATTTAATGTTGCGTTAGTGACTTACATGCCATAGTTGTTGGTGCTTTGTTTTAATTAATCAATAATCAATATCAGAATGGCACAGCGTGTGTAGTAAATTTTTCCTTGATGAGAAATGAAGAAAAATTATTCTTTTTAATTATTCGAACAAACATCCGAATATGATTTTGGGGTGAGAAATGTCGATAAAAGGGTTGGTTTTAATAGAAATAATAATTAAGTTCTAGTTTTAGAAATGTCTTTGATTGTTTATGTTCGCTCGTATAAATTATCCAAATATAAAAATTTCCACAAGCAAATCATAAAGCAATATCAGACTATGCTTATTTTTTATTTCATAATTTGTTTATGATAACGAGGAAAAGAAGTGAAGAAAAATCCTTTTGTTTGTCGATTTCTTGTTCCTAATTTACTCATTTTTTTTTTCTTCTTTTTTCGGTTTACTGCCATGTTTCATTGGTAGAGTCGTAAAGTCAGGAACAATGTTGTTTCTTATAACGTCAAAAAGGACGTTTCCATTCCCGTTCAATCTTCAACACGCCACAACTCTTTCATAAACTTTATGACGATGAATGGCAATAATTTTGAGCTGTTCATTTTTATTCTTTTATGCATGATTTCTTCTTCATTCAAATGATTTTTATGAAGTTGTTACAATATCATTTGTGTTTATATTAAATTTCAATGTGTTGATGATGATGATGAGGAGAGAATTATGTTCCGCCACAAGCTGATGCTAATTATTAGCAATAAATCGATTTCTTATGTAGCTTAAAACATATTAAAATTCCCTTCGTTTCTAAATGCAAAGAATGTTGTAAGATTTGCTCCCAACAAAGTGGCATTGCTCTAAGGTGAAGGAATTCACTTCTGTGTGAAATGAATGAAATATGTTGAACATAAATTTCATGCTTAAACTGAACAGAGATAAAAATGTCTGCACTTTTCTTCTTCCTAAATAGCAGCAATCATTTCGTTCAGTTTTCGCTCTGACTTTTTTTTGCAACAACGACGAAATGTCATGAATTTGACCTCAAAGAGAATCTGAACAA